GCCATGGAATCGAACTGCACGAGGAGACGAAAGGAGCATAGGCAATCTGCGACTCAATTTGATTCATCCCACCGCTCTGGGTCTACCAATTTCAAAGGATTGCGGTGACGACAAAGCTGGGCAGCGCACAAAGCCGGGATTTGTGTCTCACTCATCCACTTCGTCCCCGGCCCAAGACAGCAGCCATTGATACCAGTAGTGCTGAGATTCTACATACATACATACATGTGCGGCCGTGGCCGAAAAGTCTAGAAAAATATTGGAGTCGAGAGGCATCTGAGCGAAGCTGAACACGGCATAGCATCACAGGCCGCGCTTCGTGGCGTCCTGAAGCCGTTGAGCTACAGCGTGGTCACAAGTGCGTGAGCGCTACACCACATGGATGTCCCCGCCTCGTGAATTCGACCAGTGGCATGATATCGGGGTTTGGGGGCCGCGAATTCTTCGCATGTCTGCCATGATCAAGAGCAGAAACATTGGCAACATTGCAGGCGGAAGACGGATCATTTCACGAGAACAGCGCGAAGCGGCATAGGATGCTGCTGCGGCGCGCCCCAGCCGGCAAGAGGCGCGCGTCCTTTGCTCAACTGTCAGCCTTGGTGCAACCCTCGTTCAGCCTCCACGGGGTGTCGGCAGTAGAGAAAAAAGAAAGAAAGTATGCCGTCAGTCTGGTGTGACTTCAAAACAGGATTTCGACCACGGTCGCTACGCTCCTTCGACTTGCTGGTTATGGGCGAAGAAGAAGGACAGCTCCAGCACTGCATATGTGTATGATCTACCCACAAGGCATCATATTGGAAAGTCACGGCTGCGGTGGGGAGGCTGTCATGATTCTACGGATGGATCTGAATCACGGTGGCTGGCGTCATTCTCAAACGAGTTGATCAATTGGTCCACGGCACTTTGCCACATGGCTTTTTGTTTTGTGTATTTTCTCCCCCTTCCCTTTGCTACTGTGCCCCTGTCCTGTTTTCCTTTTTTTGAATCACCATGCGGCCGGCGGAACATGGGAGGAAACAAGCCGAAGTCAACGGTTCAACCGTCCCCGGCCTGTTTGGTGACACGCGATTCGCCAACGAGGTGAACGAGGTCGCATTGGCCGTGGGACCAGGGGAGCTGGGCATGGGGTCGCTTGTCGAGCTATGTTTCTGCAAGGCACCTGTCTGCACTTTACGACGTGCAGAGATTGACATTCCGACATGCCTACCTTGGACGCTTGGTGCCTTGGAACATAGCCCCCGTGCATGCTTGGCTCGAAATACCACGTCTATGCCGACCCGGCCAGCAGGAAGCAAACCCGATAAGTTGGGCGAGAATAGCCATTCGTTTCAATGTCGTTGGCCGACTTCCACGGCACTTGAGCGACTGCCAGAATGCAACAGTGAGTTTCGCTTCCATGGATGTCACGGTCCGGAGTTGCAAAGCCGTGATATTCCCCTGGCGGCATTGCACTCACAAGCGTGCGAATTGATTCTTCTGAGAGGCCAAGAATTGCCATCCTCCATGGACTTGAATTGCCGGAGCTGTGTTTCACTTACAAGCAAAGCCGAGCAGGTCAGTTGCGTACAGCGTCATGCTTCGCGCATGCGATATGCCCGTGCAATTAGAAGCAGCTCTTCCTTCTTCTGCCTGCTGGGGCCCCCCTTCCTTATCCAGGGTAGTCACCATCACAAGCCACATTGTTTCGAACCATTTTGGCTGCGAGAACCTGGCTTTTGACGAGACGCACATGCCAAACGAAGCGCTACGAGTCTTGAGAAACCCGCGCGGCAATGGTCCGGGAAGTGAGCGGCATCGATTACTTGCTACAGAGGCTGCTCCGAGAGAAACGCGGGATAGCATTCTGTCCGATGACACATATCCGACTCGTCCCGAGAGGCGATGCTACATGAAAAGGGCACTTCAAACCACCGACGTGTACCATTGACTGCCACTGCTACTGTGGCATCGGCTTCAACGCCTCCAACGGCCGACGGCATATGGCCTGGTGGATTTCGCAACTGCCGCACGGGGCAATACTATTCTGCATCGCGGCTCTAGGTGTTGGCCTGCCCTGTCTATCAAGCCTTCCATCCCCCACTTGATCTCATGGCAGCGGATTGATGTGTCACCTGGGTGCGCACATGACTCGTCACGACAGGAGTCAATTCAGCTGCTGCCGGCGAAAGACAAATAACAGCCAGCGGGACAAGGAGAAGACGACTCGGACTGGTCCGTTTGGCTGAACCCTTTCTCCAACAACAAGGTCCTGCAACAAGCCCCAAGCCACGCCACACCCGCGTATCCCGTCCGGGCTCCAGCTATTTCGGGCCACTAGAAGTAGTCTGTTTTACTTGCTCCAGCACCCCGGCTGGAGTGAAGCAGACCAAGAGAGGAGGCCCAGCCATGAGCATGAGGTCGAGCCGCCTGAAGAACCGAATCCATCAATCGGGAGCTCTTCACTGCTCGGACTCTGTAGGAAGTGCGAAGCGCATCATTCTGCTGAGCTAGAGCCAGATGCGCCAAATGCGCCATCCGCGGCTAGCTGGCTAGCCACTCTACCGCAAAGGAGCCTCGCGCATATGCCGTATTGTCGTCAAAGTTGACCACAGGTGACTCTTGATAGGTACGACCACTTGCGGGAAATCTTTACGTGTCATTTGGTGTATATCTGAAAGCAGATACATGTAGCCCTCACGGTGACACATGTCGATGCTTCGGGCAGTCGATTGTCTCGCTGTGTAGCTTACATACATGCGACAACCCCGTTGGTTTGAGTATGCATTTGCTACCGCTTGACGCCGAGGCTGAACACGACTCGTATACGCCACAATCCTGCTGACGTATATTTTCGAGTGATGACTTGCTCGTTTCTGGAAAGACTTCCGACTGCCGATTCAATATCATATATGACCAAATAGCAAAGTGCCACGGCCATCAGTGGCAACATAACGGCAGAAGCATGCCGGCCGATTGCCGCCCAAGCGATGACTCGGTTTCCCTTCCCTTTTCTTCTTTTCTTCTTCTTTTTCTTTCCCTTTTTTCTTCTTGGTGCAACTCAAGTAATTGGGCTGACCGGTCACAAGCTGGGTTGTCCTTCTTACGTGCACTGCCACCCGGATGCTCCTCCACGACCCGGATTGTTGGTTCTCAACCTTGTCTGGTAGCCTCTTCGTCTGTCGCTTGGCATTACCATACACTGGAAATGCTGGATCCCGCCTGAACAGTACCAATGATTCAGAATGTGCAAGCATAAACCTTGCAAGCAAAGCTACCAAGCGTGATGGCCGCAGCTGGGATGACCTATTGGAGACGAGAAAGGATTGCGCTTCTCTTATGTGATATATTCTCTCCACAAGCGCCCTGCGAAAACTCGACGAGAAGCTTCATTCTCGAACGGTCTGTAAATGGCCGTTGGCTGTGTCCTGCATATAAGCGATTTCCAAGTGTATTGGTGCGATCATTTGAATTCCGTAGTCGGTATACTGTCCTGTCTAGCGTGACGGGGAGGATATTCCGCCTCCTGATGCAGTCTGGCGCAGAATCCTGCCATGGGATGCCGCTCTTGTCTGTATCAAACGAACTAGAACAAAGGAAAGCACTGGAGTGATGTGAGTGATTGCGGCAGCGTGATGACCAGAAATGAAGTCATCACGTTTCATCCGCAGGAACCGTTTGCTTTCCTCACGTTTCGCCATTCTGCCCCTATTCGAAGTGACCCAACGGTTGTGCAGGAGACAGGAGACAGAAGGAAACCCCCCTTTGCCTGCGGGAAGAGGAAGAAATTCCAAGTAGCACCAAGGCAGCCAGTTAAGGTATACGAGCGACACACCCGATAGAAGAGAATGAACGGCCCAGATGTCGGGATGCAGAGTGCACATACAGAGTGTGTCACATCTTGCTGCCCCTTTCCTGAGAGGGCTCGCTTGCCGGCAGTCAATCTTGCTCATCAGGGTCGCATTGGCGGAGGCGCTTAGCTCAAACGTGATGCGGGCTCTATCACAAGCGCCTCTTGTGGTGGTGCAACCCCTTTTCTGTGTGACTGTGACTCTTGTTCTCGAGAACATTGGGGGAGAAGATTGAGAGAAGAAGAGAAAAGGAATTCAGAGAGAGGGAAAAGGGAGAGGAGTTATGGGCTGACAATGAGGGGGTTGTGATATGGTGGCGGCGGACATGGGAGAATGAGCGAGGCGATTGTTGCAGTTTCATTGAAGGAGTTGTTCGATGTGATGGCTGTGAAGGGGGTTGATTGGGGGAGAGTTACTGTAGGGGGTTGGAAAGGAAGCATGGCTGAGCTTGTCTTTTCTTTTCTTTCTTTCTTTTTGTGTTTTTTTTTTCCTTTGTTGGGTATCTTCATAAGGGGGTTCTGAGGGCTTGGGGACGAATAGAAGGAGACGGGTAGGTGTTTCGCTATAAAGCTCTCAAGGGTTAGGAGCAGACACTTCTCTGGGAGAATGGAATGAGATGTTCGTGGGCGTGAACATGCTCGGATCCACGTATTTGCCTGCGGTAGGCTCTACTTGACAAGGAGCATTGGAAACGAACGGTGTGCTTGAGAAACATGAAGCAACTGCATGGAAGTAGTTGCTCAACGAGGGGTGTAGCTGAAGAACGATACGGAAACAAAGGACGTTGTAGCATTAACTCCCGTCCTTGCGAAACTATATACACAGAATATATCCCACGCCATCTATAGCACTCTGAAGGACTGTCGCTTGTTTGTTTGCTGAGCAATCCGCCCCCTTCGCGTTTGACTGTTTGCCTATGTTTTGAGTTCCACCATCGACGCTCTGGATAGCTCTGCGTTGATTCCCCCCATATCTTCTGTTTACCATCGCCCCAATCATTCACAAAGACTCCCATGGTATTCGGCGCTTTAGCATACTGCCCCAGCGTACGACCCCCCCATATTGAACCCAAAGCCGAGGAAAAGGATGAGTGAAAATAGTCGATATGACGGTTTTGGGTATCATCATATATGCAATCGACGTATGCGTAGCGCCCACCGCTGTCAGAAGCTTTCATTTCCTCTTGAAGAATCCTCCAGCTCCCGACGTCACAGCAGGCCTATTCCGCTTCAAGAGCAACTCCTTGGTCGCCTTGGAATGCTTCTTCACCTTGGGCGCGAGCCTCTGATCCATCTTCTTCTCGACGCGGTACACCGTCGACTTGACCACCTCGTCCTTGGGCCCCGCGTCCAGACGCGTCAGCCTCTTCTCGACCCCAGCCACCTTGCGCCTCTTGGGCTGCCCTGCTACAGTTGAGTCATCGGCCTCGTCCTCGTCCTCATCCTCGCTTGAAGAGTCTGTGAGGAATTCTGCAGGCAGGACGGCAGGGATGTTGGACTTCCTGTCTGCTCGGTTTCTTCCTCTGGCGGCTGGCTTGGCTGAGGGCTGCTGTTCGTCCTGCGGTGCTGCTGCTGTGGATTCATCTGCTTTCTTGCGCTCCTCGGCTTGTTTCTTGAGGAGCTCGGCGAGCTGCTGGCGCTTGCGCTTTTGTGCAGCGACTTGTCTGATGAAACAATTTAGTATATGAGCATGAAAAAAAAAAAAAAGCATTGAGACAACGGGAAAGGGGGGAAGATGAAACGTACTCTTGGACTGCCTTCTGAGCGGCCTGCGTAGACTTCTTGATATCCTCGGCGGCCTTGGCGGTCGATACTGCTTCGGGAGCCTCGTCATCGCTGCTGTCCTCCTCCTCCTCCTCTTCCACCTCGACCTTCTTCCCAGCCGCTGAAGCAGGGGCTTTGACGGGTGTATTCAATTCCTCGTCGTCGTCGTCATCTCCGAAGACCTTGAGGGTGCCCTTGGCCGGCTCGGCTTTTGATGCTTCTTCTGCGTCCTCTTTGGGGGCATCATTTGCCTTGGTTGCCTTCTTCTGTTTCTTTGAGGGGCTCTGTTGTGTGGCCGGCTGCTGCTCTGTAGTCAAGTCCTGTGTGGTGGCTTCGGCTTTGCTGTCTTCTGGGGCGGTTTCCTGCAGGGCCTTTCTTCGCCTGGTTTGGACGACCATTTTTGCCAAGGTGAGAGATTGTTGGGCTGTTTGTGAAAATTCAGACTGGAATCTGTTGTCTGCTTTGACACGCCGAAGAGGCGGATATTTGTCTAAAATGAAGCCTCAATTCGTCCTGTATTTGGACAAGAATCTCTTTGAAATGAGAACCGGCTTACTTTTTTTTTTCTCTTCTATCAAAGACGCCGTTGAAGATGAATCATTTGTTTTGCTCGAAAGTTGTCGATTTCACCGCGATTGGCGCAGAGGTTTTGGATGGAGGCTCAGAAAAATTTCAATGGGTCTTGCGGTAGGGCGCGTCTGATTGGCTGTTTGCACTTGAGCGAATACGCCCGTTCAGAGCGACTTCAGACTTTGGTCGGGCTTTCATGCCAGTTTGCATTATCATTGATTCTTCGTCTCATCCAACTTTTCAATAAGAATTGCTTGGGATTTTCTGGCAATTGCAGCGTCAATTACTTTCTTGAGCCTCTTCTAACCATATTAAACCTTATTGAAATCTCATTGAGTCTTGTTTCCCAGCAAATGCAAGGAAGCAGTCCTGAGCCAACTCATTCTCCCCAACTCAATATCACGAACTCACTCGGTGCGCGCTGAATGAGAGACACAATCTGGTCGCTTCAAGTCCTCTCTGACAGATAGCATGTCAACTTGCCGCTGCTGCAAGGCCATTTGGCCTCTCATCTCATCAGCACGCTCATTGAGACCCGCCTCTACAGCGAACCTGATCCCACGGCATGTCGCGAAACCTGGCAGCAGCCAGGGGCAACTCCGACATTATGCGATACCAAGGATGAAAAGAGCAGGGCCATCGCCCCTCGAGGTGTACAAGCTATCAGAGATCCCGCTGTCATCCTTCGAAGCCGCCGTCAGCAGAAACGGCAACGCCTTTCGGCGGCAGACGCCTGCCGAGTATTACCGATGCGCCGAAAAGTTCCACGAGGCCATCAGTCGGGGCTCAGATCCATGGTCCGTCTCCTTGACAGGCAGTACGCAACAACAACCCTCTCTCATCTTTCCTCTCTCATCCTTCACCCTCCGCTCTGTAACTGATTCATGCCCGCCATAGAGGACGGCTTCCCCGTCGAGGTCATCCACGAGACGGCCTGCATCATGCGGCAGATCCGTGGCCCCCGGAGCGCAAACGCATTCGCAACCGCCCTCTGGGCATCCGCCTCAGAAGCCGGCTATCGGCCCTCCACGCTGTCCCTCGCAAGGCACCTCGCCCGGTCAGGGGCCTACGGACGGGTGCCCCCGCTGCGGAAAGTCGAGGCCCGCTTCAAGCAGCTCGTCTCGACAGCCAGAGACGCCGACGCTCTCACCGTGGAGGGCGAGCTGCAGTACGAGCAGGGGAACTACGAGGCTGCCATCAGAGCGCTGCAGCGGGCGCTCCAGGTGGGGGGAGGAGAAGAAGAAGCCTTCGAGTGGAAGCCCTACTGCGAGCTGTGCATGGGCAAGGCGCTCGTCAAGCTGGGCAGGCGTGATGAGGCAAGGGCAATCCTCGAGGCCCTGTCCGCGGCGGGTGGGCTTGTCGAGGCGGACGTTGAGCTCGGCAATTTGCTGCGCGTAAGCGACAGGGATGCCGCGGAAAGGCACCTCATCGCTGCGGCCTCGAACGGCAGGGCTGACATGTTTAGTGTGCTGTCGGAGATTGCCCTTGAGAAGGCTGCGGAATCTGGCGACGACAAGGCGGCGAGGGAAGAGTCCCTGCGATGGGCCAAGGAGTGGTCAAAGTTGGGCGACCCGCGTACGGAATACTAGATGGGGCGACTTCCTAGCAGCATCTGCCGTCTAGGATGAACGGACGATGTATGCCGTTGCTATCTGCCACGCTGGGTTTTGCTTGAGGAAGCTCAGATTACACGTATCCCGCTTTTCGAGCAAAAGATGGTCGGCTCGAAGCGGGATCCGGCGTGCTGGTAATACAACCATGGCCCGAAGCGACGGGAAGATTTGAAACGATCTAGGGTGCCTGCATGGACGGCTTTGTTTTCTTGGGCAATAACAGCGATATCCGATTAGGCGCTCCTTGATTGAAGGTGAGAACGGAGAGTCGCGGGCTGCGGTCGTGATGTGTTTGGGCTCTGAAGATGTTGGAGGGACGCTCAAGACTTGTAAGAATCGAAGGATAACTTGGGGGCACAGCTCGCGCACAGCGCCGCATACGAACATGTGCAATGCACAGACGGATGTTCGTGATCCGTGCAGAAGCTGCAGGAGAGCGTGTGTGTGTGTGTGGTCGTCTGGATGGGCGATGGCGAGTGCCTCGGCTGGCCCATCAGGGTTCATCTTCACTGGCCAAGGGGTGTGCATAATGAGCGCAAACACTCGTCGGGTCGACCTCATTGAAGAGCACGCCGATCTCTATGCTTGGAATTCATTTAGACTGGTCAAGTTGCCCGTGCTCAGTTTCAAAGGATTGCTTCAATTCAGAAAGGACAGGCCTCAGGTAGTCAACGGGTGTAAACGACCAACTGTTATCTTCCAAAATGGTGTAGATCACAAGGACTCCCAATAAGAGGCGCGAAATGCCAAGGAGATGGCTTCGTCAAAGGAGAGAAGGTAACAAGCTGTCAAACTGCCCATGAAGATTGAAGGGTTCCAGCGCATCGTGTTCCATTCTTGAAGCTTTTGCCTCGGGAGCACGGACTTTGTCGCTGGTATGCAGGCTGGAACAAGAACAGCTGGGCTGAGAACCTGGGGCGATTGGAACTCAGCTGTTGGGTTTTGAACAAAGAGAAGACGACGGACCACGCGTCAAGAGAGCATTCCGGAGGTGGTTTCACGTTGGCTCAACACGGTCCTCGTGGCAGTTGAGCTACTGCTACTACTACTACTACTACGACTGGGTTTTGATCGAGTTCAGCTCGTTTCTCCTTACTCTACATGCCAGTTGCAACACGCCCATCTCAAAAGCTGCTCGGCTCCGCGTCATTTACCGCCGCAACCAACATCACAACACCAGGCCATCTAGATGGGTTAGAAACAACTTTTAAAGTTCCTACTCCATACATCCATACATGATGCCACAATCCAGGCACCCAGACGGTCGAGCAAAAAGTCCGATTTCTAACAAGCTTTCAATGGCCTCGCCAACCCCTGCCAACCTTGTGCATGCCAGCTCGACTGAGCCCAATTCGTCTGCCCATGGGCCGCCTTATTGGTGCTGGGGGGAACGCTGATCAGAGGAACAATCGCGAGAAGCTCTGTCTGCATACATACCTCCTTGTGCTGACGTCACGCGCTGAGCAGATTGGCAATACATACATACGATGAGTTAGTTGCTGGTTTAAAAATAGACAGCTGATCATTTTTTTGAGTTCCACGATCCGCGTCGTGCGAAATCGCGGAGGTGCAGAAGCGTGACGAAGACGCGGGTTGTACAACCACCTTACTTACTGTAAGTACCTGTAAGTTTATGCGCAAATACGACGCCCGTGCCTCGTGACACAGCGCGCGTCATACAGCATGAATGCAGAACGTAGGGATCATATTGGCCATGTCGGAATTCCCCTTCTCTTTAGGTAGCTTGTGACTCCAACAAATACTGCTTTGTGCTTCAAGTTGTTTTGTGTGTCTTTTTTTCTCTGGTGGGGTTTTCTTCAGGTACGGAGTAAGCTGAGCTGCAACAGGGGGAGGCTTCCTCAGGCTTCAGCCATCTGGGATGCGGCTCCACTTGGGATGCAAGAGATTGACAAGCATGCAAAACAAATACAGTCACTACAGTAAAAGGCTTTCCTGAAAGCGGCAGTATTTTGGAATTGCCGGGTCGAGGTCGGTGGCCTGGTGGGAGTTGGGATTCCGCTGCGGGCCGCGGCTGGGCTGGACGCTGGAGAGTCATGCATCCGGTGCTCGTGGTAGGTACCTTACTAACGTACTTGTAGAAGATACGAGGTAGGAGAACAGGAGCGTGTACTCGCGTTACAATCGATGGAGAGGGCATTGGGAAGCTGTCCACGACATGATGTGAACGCAGATCCGATAGATAAGATTTGCACACGAGAACAGCAGGTTGTAAGGTAAGGTGGTGGTGATACTATACATACTCGCAGGTGAGTAGTAGGTTGATGGACCGAGCAAATGACATCTCAAGGCTCTCCTCACATGCAAACGCCAGCACCGGCGCATTGATATGTCAGGTACTACTACAAGCAAGTTCCTATCTGGGAACAGCGGCCAAGCAGAAACAAACAAACGGGGTCCGAAGGATTGCCTGCAGATGCGTCAATGCAGGTAGTAGTACTACTACATACAAGTACGTATTACTTGTGTAATACAGGATGTTTAGGTGCCAATGGGGGGCCTCTGTCCTCCTCTTCTCTCTCTCCCTTTTTCTTCAACGCCATCTGTTAGTGCTACGTACGTCCAACTGCTCCGTACCTACTTCCAATGTCGCAGACGCTCTCCCACGTGGCCGAGGCATTCCAGACGAGATTTGCCCCGGAGACGAACGGTGGATGCTGGGGGCGTAGTGTTAGTAGTATCTGGTGAGACTTGGTTTGCTTGCCCGTACAAGGCACACTGGTGAATCCTGTGCTTCACAAAAAACATGTGCGAGATTTGAGTCAAAAGGGGGGGACGCAAGCGAGCGAGACTCTCCACATGGAAGAGGCGATGCAAAGGATTCTGGGCTGCAAGTACAAGTAGTGGTCATTGAATGAAGAATACTGTGTCACGAAGGAGGAAAATAGAATGAGGAGGGAAAAAAAAAGTGGTGAAGCTACTATGTAGTACGAGTACTGCAGCAGACCCAGCACCTCCCAGGGCGCAGCATGTATTACAAGTTCTAGGGGCCATTATTCATGTTTACTTGATGCTTGGAGCGCGCCTTACTACTCCGCCGTGCGCCTTGTATTACCTTGACTGAACCAGGGGAGAAACATTGAAGATGTTGAAACGGCAAAACGGCTCCGTTTGTGTCTTTGACTAATCAATCTTTGTTCTCACGCCCCCTTCCAACAACGTGGTTCCTCGTTGGAAAGGGGCAGATGGCAGCCGGGCAACGGTCTCTGGTACCTGGCGAGTCGTAGACACGGGATCGGAATCTGAGATGAGATGAAGAAGAGATGATCCGGTGCTTATACAATTGAGCCTGAAGTAAGGTACTTGGCATACCCTGTAATACATGCAAGGTACTGCTGCACCTTACCTAGGATACGTGTACACTTCGTAAGAACCCAGCACGGAGCATGGGTACGACAGAGGCACATGATTCATTCATTTACGGAACCCAGGCGGAGAAAACAAACGTAAAATGTGTCCCTCGGTCGGTGTCAAATGTCTGTGCATTTCGACGGGCGAGTGCGCGAGTGAAGTAAGTATTGCCCTGGAGGGGTAGCATTGAGCGGGTGGGTTGCCCGAAAGAGGGTTATATTGAGGTTAGCACCATGACCAGCTGGGCAATAGGGTAAGATGCGTAAGATATGGAGGACGAGAAGAGGTGCGAAGAAGGTTTCCGTGCTACTGCTTATTGCCTTTTTGGTATGGCATCACGAATCAGATGATGATATAGTTTGAACCAAAGATACTCGTACCTTGCCTTGACAGAGAAGTGATGCTTTTGCTTTGTACCGGGCTTGATGACCAACGAAGCCCTAATGATAGGGCGGACTCATCAAGAAGCAGCCGGACAAGGGCCAGAAGTCCACGAACAAAGTGGATATGGAGACTGTATGTACAACCGAGACCTCGGCAGTAATGCGTGAAACTTTGTACCAGGGAGGAGAAAACAAACAGTGTGCGCAATTATGGAGATTCTTCCTCTCTCTCTCTCTCTCTCTCTCTCTCTCTCATTCTTCTTCGCCTCCATTCATTCATCCTCTCGTCATCTCTTTTGCCCGGTGCCTGTCAATCCGTCCTGCTTACCCGACTTGTACAAGCATTCATCCTACTGCCGTTAGTTCTGCCCGATTTCGATGGATCCGCGACCCATTGCCCAGGGGAGTTTCCACGACGCCGGGATCAGAATTTCACGTTTATTATGGATACTTTACACGAGTTTCCGCTGCTAAAATGTAACGCCGGGCCGTGGGCCCTTTTTACCCCTGGTTCCTGACAAAACTGACTTGTACGTCCTACTCGTACAATTGCGCGGCCTTCTCCCGAGAAGGACTGGACGTCCGCCCATGACTGGCTCATCATGTCGGGGGTTTCGTGCCCTGGTCCGTCTGTACGAGGTAGAATGGCTTCGATTCTGCTTCTTCCTTCTTCTTCTCCTCACTGTATACTTGTAGCATAACCTTGTGTATGTTTCATCCCTTCAGGATCTGTATGACAGGGTGATAGTACATGTAAGTTGGGTGACGGAAATGGCCTTGGCTGCCCAGGGCTGGTATCAAGAGTCAGACAGATTCAGCTTCACAGAGCTCCAAACCTTCAACGCATATACCTCCAGGCAGACTCCCCTTTGGGAATGCTCGTCCGGATTGGAGCTTTTGTCCCATATGAAGCAGCCATCTTGGCGAGTGCGGAAAAAGCATGTTTGCATCTATCGGCATCATTCATCTAATAGACTTTGGGTCCAGACACACACAAACTACAGGTCATCTGTCGGTAGATATGTAGACCTCACAAGCAAGAGAGAGACGGAGCTGACAAGAGCGAATGCTCTCTCTCTCCCTCCCTGTCACTCTTCTTCTTATCCCGGCTGCTCCGCTCGGGTCGTGCCTGTGCTTGTTTATGCTTGTACAGTATGACTTCTTGGAGAAAATAAACAAACAAGCATTGGGCTGAAGGGCCAAAAAAAGCCAAGCTTTTGCCAAACCCCTGTCACGATGCAAGGTTTGCCCTTCCCAAGATGCGCCGTCCCCTGTTCCCTGCATCCACCTGGCCGAAGAAGAAAAAACTCTCACTTTTTTCTTTGCTTCCTTTTTGCCCTGCCGGTGGGCTCCGTAGGTACTCTTCATCAGCCTGCTTTTGTACCAAAACCATGACAAAGTACCTCCTCCGAGCGCACGCCCGGAAGCCCTTCCGCGCATGATCCAGCAGAAAAAACGAAGTTCTTGTCCCAGGGATCCCCTCTCTCTTACATGTACACACACCTCTCACACACCCCCCCCCCGACGAGAGCACGCTCGATATTCCCCGACAAGCATGACACTCACTGTCTTTCCCAGACTCTTTTTAGTGTAGCTGTTTCCCACCCCATCTCTTCAGCCCAGGCGCTGCCTTTTTGCCTTCTTCTCTCTTTTCCTTCCCTCCTCTTTTCTTTTCTTTCTCTCGTCAGGTCATCAACCCTCCTGTTGTGCAGTCTCTCCTTTCCACCGGGAACCCCCCCCTCTTATGCGGGATGCCTATCTTCAAGCCACTGTAGCACACACACTCTCTTCTTCGAATCAATGAAATCGTCACCTGGCTTCCTGCCGTCTTTCGTTTGCCCTGGCTGCTGTCACCCTTCTCGTTCACTACTGCTGTCACATATCGGAAAAGATCGCGAGCCCCGGATTCCCACCATCCAAGTACCGGGCCTAGCAAGAAACCCGTACTAGAGCCCCCCCAACTACCACTACTACAAGCAGCATCAACTCGCTTTACACGAAAAAACGCATTGATCGCGATTCTTCTGTTGGCTGCCGTCGAAAAGAAAATTCTTTTTTTTTTTTATACCATAGCGCCCTTTTGAATTCCTCATCGAGGTCGTCGGTTGGACCGTGTCACTCTTTGGCGGCGGGCTAATCGATCTTGTGTGGTTGGCTCGCGGCTCTCTTGTGTTTCAGTATCCCTCCTCGATCGAACAACTGGAATTCTTCCACGAGGAATCGGCAATCTTTCTCTTCTTCTCTCGAATTCCCTCGTTTGGAACCTGACGCAACTCTCGTCCTGGTGGAAAACAATGCCTCGGATATTCTCTCTGGCGCTGGGAGCGCTTGCTCTGCTCACGACCACGGCGACGCTCTGCACGCAAAGCGCAGTCAGCGTTCGCATCTCCCACTCCTCCCCCGGCAGGACAGCCTCAACTGTCGCTGCTGTGTTTGAAGCTGCAGTTCTCATCCTCCTTGGGTGGCTCATCGCGGCCGATGCTGTCCCCTCATTCCCCGGACAGTCGAAGCTGTGGCGGAGGATCGTCTCTGGTCTCGAAGCCACGGCTTGTGTCATTGCGACTGGGACCTCGCTCGCTGCTCTGGTGTACTTGGCAAGGGCGGATGGGGGCGAGAACAAGCACCTCCTCGTTGCGTCTTCTGTGACACTTGGACTGGCCGTTTCCACTCAGCTGGTATACACGATATACCAGATCCTACCGACCTCTTCTGATGTTAGTGGCGCTTCCTGGCCAGGCCGCAAGGACGAGGAGTCCGGACGATCACGCAAGATCAACCTCAAGGCCATCAGGTACAGCCAGACGATGCCCATTGTCGACGAGCCCAGTCCCATGGCAAAGATTCACACTCGAAGCCGTCCTACTTCCGTCGACAACAAGTCAATCGCCGAGACTGTTGCCTCATCCGTCACTTACGTCGCCCAATCCATCCGATCTGTCTCGAGCAGGCCCAAGACGCGCTCCTCCAAGGAGAAGGAGAGGAGCCGCTCCATGTCCATCGAATCGACTGCCAACCGAAGCACCGTGGCTGACGATGCCTTCGACTCCTGGGATACCTCCACGGTCGACGCTCACTGCCGGGAGGCTGTGCTGGAAGTTTCGACGCCCACGCAAAGCAAGCCCCGCGGGCTCGAAACGATTCCTGCCAGCCCCGTGCCCAGCCGCAGTCCCTCGCCAGCGTCCTTTGCCGAACTCGAGCCGCCCCGTATCCAAACCCGGCGTCGGAGCCGAAGCTACAGCCCGGTATCCATCCGACGCGAGCTCCGCGATCTGCCAACCCCGGGCAGCTCAGGCAGCGAGGCTCACATTCACCCTCTGTTTCGATCCGACTCTCCTGACCCGCACCCCTTTGCGACGCCAGGCACCATCGTCATGGCGGCTCCGGAGACGGCGCGGGTCCTCGTCCACCGATCGAGCAACCTGTCGCTCAACCGCCTGAGAAGCGACAGCATGCCCAATTCGCCCAACGGCTTCAGCAGGCATGACTTTGACTCCAGGTCCCTCAGAGGAAACCGTTCCGAGTTGGATCTGAGCGAGCAGGCGTTTGCCGACAGGGGAATGGCCCCTCCTGCGCCTGAATGGCTGCGGAGGGAGCTGTGATGGAGGGGCTGGCTTTGGGAGGATATTTAACGACTTGACGTATTCGATTCTTCTTCTTCTTTGTCTTTTTGTGTTGTGTCTTCAGCTTGTAACGAACTGCACACTTTATATCCAATTCTCGGAGGAGGCGCCAGAAAAAGCGGAACAAATGGGAAATACCTACAAGTTAGAAGGGACATGGGACGGGACATGGCGATGATACCATTTGTTGTTGGATTTGGGGCCGGAGATTTTAGATGAGCGTTGGCGTTGGATGATTTAGTCTTCTTCTCTGGACATATATATATGTACCTATATACACATACATACCTCGGGGTTTTGTTACCATACATCCACTGGGTTCACGATATGAAATAAATGGCAGAATCACACAACTACTAGTATGTTAGTACTCTTGATGACCAGAGGTGAATACAGCGCTCGGATGACAAATGAGGCTCAAATGGCGCTAGAAGGCGGATATACCTGTATCCATCCTGCTGATCCAAGGCTGCAGTTTGTCCAGTCACCGACTTCTCCAATCGCAGCAAATGCCGGTGCTTGACGTATGAATGGCCCTCTGATTGCGCTTATCGTGATATCACCAGGCAGCAGGCAAGTCGCGGCGCATGTCGTCAGCGAGGCTGGGCTGCTTTTGCTGGGGAACTGCGATATTGGGGTAGAGGTACAAGTACATAGAGCGAGGACAGGGAGAACTGAGGGTGATTTGGATAACTTGGATAACAGATAACCTGAGGTGACTACCGTATTAAGCAGTCTTTCTTTCGCCTTGCCTTGAATCACTCAGCGGCCGTCGAGGTACTTGCTCATCAAGTCGCTGCGCCAGCTTCACGGTCGCGCAATTGCCAACCATGGACCGCAAACCTAAGCTGCACGCAATGGCGGCGGTACCGGCTGCACCACCCAGCACCAAGTACCGCGCCAAATCACATCACAGGCTTCAGGGCATCTGATCCCTGGCCTTTCATTCGCCGCGGGCCCTCTTGCAGTGGCCTTTGCCGCGCTGCCACTGGCCCAAACCCCACCTCCAGTACTTGCTCTGCAAAGCCGCAGCCTGAATCAACTTCCACCAGCCCGCGCCACTTGCTCCAATTTGAACCTTTGCCTCGCCTCGCCTCGCCATAGCTTTCTTCTATCCTTGGCCTCATCACCAACTTTCACCCCCGACAGAGCATCGCGTCTGCTGCAGTTTCCGCTATTCGCCTCAGCTGTACTGCGGCGCATTTTCCACCAGAACTCCCGCTGCTCGACTCTTTGCGCATCGACCTCCCGCTTCTCAGACGCCCCGCCTGGCAACGACCACAGCTAGGCATCCCGCTCGAAACCTCTACATCCCGGCCGCAACGAGCACCAGCTGCCCATCATGAAGGTCACGTTTCGAGTATGTGCATGTCCGCTGGCTCCGGAGAGATATGCGCAAGGCTTTGTGCTAGCTTTTGCCGTCCATCGGAGTCTTGTTTTCTCCTCATCACCGTGTGCTTCTGATGGCTGACGTATGCCTCTTACCATCAGGACCTCAAGCAACAAAAATTCGTCCTCGACGTTGAGCCTACGGACAAGGTACGCGCCCCCCCGTACACCTGTTACCTCCAAGGTGGCTGTTCTATTATACTCTTGTCAGCTGCTAACAACTGCGTGCTCGATCAGATCTCCGCCGTCAAGGAGAAAATCTCTGCCGAGAAGGGCTGGGATCCCAAGAGCCAGAAGCTGATCTACTCAGGTTTGACAAAGCTCGCCTTGGCTCCGTCGCACCGGACACCTTGTTCTGACTTGGCATAGGCAAAATCTTGAAAGATGACGATACCGTTCAGTCCTACAACATCGAGGAGAAGGGATTCGTCGTGTGCATGGTAAACAAGGTACGCCCGGATACCAAGAGCACCTCGGTTGCGATGCTTCATTCTCTCTGATTTCTGACTCGAATCTTTTGCCACACAGCCTAAGCCTGCTCCTGCTGCTGCCGCACCACCGCCAGCTACTCCTGCGCCACCAGCGGCTGCCAGCACACCCGCCGCTCCCCCTGCGCCCGCCCAGCCTGCTACTCAAGCTCAAGCCGCTCCTCCCGCGACCCCGACTCCTAACCGGTCTACGGGGACGCCTTCTGGCCTGGCTATGGGCTCTGAGCGGGCCGAGGCTATCGCAAACATGGAAGCCATGGGCTTTGAGAGGACCCAGATCGAGGCGGCTATGCGCGCTGCCTTCAACAACCCGGACCGAGCCGTCGAGTACCTTCTTACTGTAGGTCGCAGTGCCAAATACTTTCCGAGATGGAATCATCGCCACTGACCAAGAATTTCAAGGGTATCCCGGAGAGTATCCAGCAGGAGCAGCAGCAACAGCGGGCTAACCCACCGCAGGCCGCCCCTGCAGCTGCTGCCCCTACTGCTGATGACGATGGTAGTGTTAACCTCTTTGACCTCGCTGCTCAGCGAAGAGGCGGGGGCGCCTCGGGTGGCTCGCCGGCCGCGGCCGCTGCTGGTGCCGCCCAAGGTGATTTGGGTAACCTAGACTTCCTGCGCCACAATGCCCAGTTCCAGCAGCTTCGCCAGGTGGTTCAGCAGCAACCCCAGATGCTCGAGCCCATCCTGCAGCAGCTTGGTGCTGGCAACCCTCAGCTCGCTCAGCTGATTGCGTCAAATCCGGACCAGTTCCTCCAGCTGCTTGGCGAGGATGCCGAGGACGACGTCCCGCTGCCTCCCGGTGCCCAGGCTATCTCCGTCACAGAAGAGGAGCGCGATGCGATTGAGCGGGTGGGTGTTTTCTTTTCTCAGACTTCTTATCGAGTCTTTCATGATGTGCCTGGCTAACTGTTTCCCCCCCCTAGTTATGTCGACTCGGATTTGATCGCGACCAAGCTATTCAAGCCTACTTTGCATGCGACAAGAATGAAGAGCTCGCAGCCAACTTCCTCTTCGATCAGCCGGAGGACGACGAGCCACCGACGAACTAGGGTTGGAACCGAGAAATGACGATAATGAATAGGGAAATACGTGGAAGAGCAATTATCCAAAGACTATCATGACGACTTGACACAATGGGGCGTAGGATGACTCCGTGGCAAACCGCCGCACTCATGTTACTTATTGCAAAACACAGTATCATCTACAGGTTGGCCCGGCCGGACGAAGGAGGTACCGGCTTAATTGGCCTGGAGAAGACTGGTAGGGACTGGGTAGGACGAGACGCTTTGAACAGGATCTGATGGAAGCTGTTGAGATGGGACACCGGCAAACAACGAAAGAAAATGTCGTCGAAGCAAAAAAGACTCTTGTGTGTCTTGAACCTCTTATTCGGTGGTCCTTTCAGTAAATAGCAAGACTGGTATAGCTTGGACCGGAACGCAGTAACAGGAAAACGAAGCACTTGTTTGCCTTGAGATCCTGTCGTTTGTCGAGAAGATGCATGTAATTTGTGGTTGGTTCTGGCTTTGACGTGCCCTGAGTGATACCTAAGATACCTATAAAGCAATCGCAAAGTCCGCCTGTCCTGAAAAGCTGAGTCCTTCCGACCCTGATAGTTTGCCCGAGCGATTCCTCAAGAGTCTCTAAACGCCGATTCTATGCTGACAGCCCAAAAGGATGGGGAAAAAAAAGGGAAAAAAAAAAGCAAACAAGAAACTAGCCACATCGATATGTGGGCAACCTGCAGAATTAATCGACGCGAACGGGAAAGGGAAGACAAAAGGGTGGTGGAGAAAGAGAGAGAGAGAGTTTCCCTTCAAGCAAGAATCGGCTCGCCATTCAACCCATACTGCACAGCCTGCTTCCCCTTCTTCTTCCCCTTCTTCCCCTTCTTGCCGCTCCCAGCAGCGGCGGCGTCCTCGTCGGCAAAGAGCTCCTCGCGCTTCTTGCGCATGACCTCGGCCTGCTCGTCGGCGATGCGCTTCTGCTCGGCCTCAAAGTCCTCCTGGATCTTGCGCTGCTCGGCCTCGATGCTCTCGACGGACTCGAACTCGATGCCGGTGAAGGCCTTGTACTCGTCAATGTCGATGCGCACCGTCTTCTCGCCGATGAGGGCGGCGTTGATGAGGTGCGGGCAGTGGCGCTCCTCGCGGTTGTACTTTAGCTTGACGTGCCGGCGCTGCTTGTTGGGGAACATCTTGGAGATCATCTCGAACTCGGTGCCGAACATGCGCAGGCCGCGGTAGAAGAGCTCCGTCTCCTCCTCGGTCCAGATGTTGGGGCCCTTGAGCTTGGACGTGTTCATGAAGGAGCTGCTGGTGATGAGCCGCGTGAAGTCGTTCTCCTCGACCGTCTCCATGTCGCCCCGCGTCGCGGCCGCGCGCGCGTGCCTGTCCATGACGAGCGAGCTCTGGTCGATGATGATCTGGCCGTCGACGATGCGGAACTGCGGGCCCGAGGCGGGTGCGGGTGCCGCTGCTGCCGCTGCCGCTGCCGGCGTGGACGACGACAGGGCTGTTGCTGTTGGCGTGGCGCTCTTGCTCTTGATGACCGACGGGTCGGCGGCGCCGTCTGGCGGTGTCGTTGTTTCGGGGGATTCCGACTCGTCACGGCTGCCGTCGCCGCCGCCGCCGCCCATGAGCTTCTTCAGCTTGGACTTTATCCTGGATTGTCGTTCCCGCTCGCGCAGCTCGTCGTGGCGGCTGAACTTTTTGCCAATGTGCAAGTCCTTTGTCAGGTCGGTCATTTTCAGGTTCTGCAGATCGACGACCTGGCTTTCTGCGTCGTCTGGCGTCACTGAGCGAGCCCTTCTCGCGCGTGTCCGCGGCGTGGCTGTCCCATCCCGGGAGGATGATTTGCGCTTCTGCTGCCTGGGCTTCGGGGCCGTCGTTGTCGAACCATCCTCATTCGCTGCTGGGGTTTTGCGCTGCCGCTTCTTCGGCCGCGCTTCAGCATCCACTTGGTCATCGACACCATCCGGCGCTGCTGCTGACTCGGGCGCTTTCCTCCTGCTTCTTGTTTTCGGGCCCGGGGGCGCTGCTGGAGGTGTGGCTTCATTTGAGTCTGTAGTCTCGGGCACATGATCTTGAGCTTCCTGGGGAGCGCGTGGGGGATCTCGCAGTTCTGGCGCAATGTTGTCATCTGCAATAACGGGAAGTGGTTCTCGCGGTCTCGGGGCGCTTGGCTGCTGCTCCAAGGGTGGTGGGCTTGCCGTCGCGGCTTCTGCCCCTTCGTTTGAGTGTGTAGTTGAGGGTTCTGTAGCGCTTGATTGCGTAGCTGAGGGTTCTGGAGCGCTTGGGTGCTGTTCAGCAGCCGGGGTTGGTTGTTCTTGAGGTTTCAGGCCAGAGACATGCTGCTGGGCGGGTGGTTCAGATGCGACAATCGAGTCATCTTTTGCAATGTTGGACGGCTCCGGAGAGGCGGCATTCTCAGACTCGCTGGTGCTGGCGACGATGCTTGAGGCCTCCCTCGCATCAACACTCGGGCTTTCTACCGCTGTAATCGATGCTGCCTCTGTCTCGACGACATCCTTCTCGACCTGAACGTGAACATCGGTAGCGGGGATCGCGGGGCGAGGCCGAGCAGACGGGATCTTTGGCTTGAAGGCGAGGCCGCCCTTCTTCTTGAACATGGAACTCATTGCTGGAAAGGCTCTTGGATCTGCGGCGACAAAATCACGAGGCGCTCCGTGAGGGCGGTTCGGCGCTCAATCCATTTGACGGCGCAGACGGTTGTCGGGGAGCTGCGGCGCACAAGGACGGAAAGTGATTTATCGTCGAGATGCTCCAAGTCCGGCCATTTTTTTTTCTGCACGATGCGCCAAAGGGCCCTCGGATAAGCCCAGAAAAGGCACTGCAGAAGTGGGGTGCAGCAGCGCCGCCGACGTTTTGCCGGGACATGCAGCCGATAAGCAGAAAACTCGGCCGGGCTAAGAAGGGCGCTAGTCTCCATACAGTTGCGTGGACGTGCCTCTTTTGATTTGCGGCAACTTCGAAAATTCAACCTCCTGGCGGCCTTTTTGATTCCTGCATCGCCCTTCGCCCTCCAGCCCTCGCCTGCGCGCCTCTTCTGCACGAGCATCTGCGCGGTCTGTCCACAAGAGGATGTCGCTTCGCCCAGCATCTCGCTGCTTATGAACCCACCAGCCTCACCATCGCCCTCACATTTGCTGGCGTGACGCGTTCTCATGCCTGTTGCAACGACCCCCTCTGCCTCGCCTCGTCCATCCACGCTCGTGAAGATGGAGGACAGGAAACGACCCGCCGTCAGCGGCGGTGAAGACCTGGCGCCTCCTCCCTCCAAGAGAGTTGCCATCAATGGCTCCAAAGCCAAAGACGAGAACGCAGAGATGAAGGAAGACTACTGGGTCGAGGTAGGTCGCATGTTCCCCTCCCCTCTCTCTCGCCCACCCCCCCGTTCCCCGTCCAACCCGCGAGACAGCTTGACGCGGATTGCATCCCGTCACCGTCCCGGGCGTCATGGCATCCTGCACACACAACCTGCCTCGCCCTCGCCCTGTCAGCTGCCGCTCTCGTTGGGGGGTGTTGTTGCTGGATGATCGTGCTCACCAAGCCAGTGATGTTGCTCGTTACCCAGCGAGAGCAGTCAGTCGGCTTCTTTGCTTTTTGAGGGAAAAAAAAATCCAGAAGATGAAGGGTATTCCGAAACATCCGCTTCTGCCTGACCATCACCCTCCCGCGCGCTGCGTCCGCCGTGACTCCACAACCCCGTCATCACTACACACCGACTATCGCAATAACGTGGCGCTGACTAGCTGAAATCAGGCATTCACGAAAGGAGCCATATATCGGCAAATGCAAGAGTACAGTCGCAAGGCTGCGACGGCCGAAGCGCGACTAGAAGAAATACACAAACGATCCGTCCATCACGACGACCACATCCGGATCGTAGACGCTTGGTGGCGACAGGTATGCACTTTCGCGACAATGTTGTTTGGTGCCCCCTTTCTTGTCACGTCAAACACGCAGCATCTAACCAATTGCCAATTCAGATGTTGGAAGAACTCGAATTACTCGTTGAATCGGCCATACCGTCAACGGAGTCTCGCGGTATGTCTTCCTCGCATGGCAATGCGACGGCTTCGATTGCAGATTCTAACGTACCAAATCAAGACTTTCAATATTCATACGTTTCGGGCATCGCCTTCAAGGATTTACAGCACTTCCAGAGTCACCTGCAGGAAATGGGAAAGTCAATCAAAACGAAGGCCGAATCCCTCATCAACCGACTTGCTGCACAGAGAGAAAACATTTCGCCCAAGACATCGGAGCTTGAAAGCCAAATCGCCAATCTCCTCGCAAAGCAGAAGGAGTATCATCTGAACCTCGACAGGCTGAGCGCGGAGAAGGAACAGTTGTCGGAGCAGCTCAACGCCGCGACACTTAGGTATTTCAAAGCCGAGAAGAAGCTAGACCGTGCCAAGAGCGCGCAAGTCCAAAGGCTAGAGCAGCAGGCATTCGCCAATGCCACGCGCCCTGTCACGACGCCCACCGAGGGAGGATCAGAACCCAGCGAAGCCAACGGCAATGCGCTCGAGATTACGATGAAGTATGAAGAGGCGGCGGCGACTGTGTCGAAACAAAAGGAGCAGCTGGATTCGCTCTATGCAGAGTTGAAAACCTTGCAGGAGGAGAACACCACGCTCAAGTCTCGGCGCGAAACGCTTTCCGACGAAGATTACATCCGGACTGATGTCTTCAAGCAATTCAAGAGCCAGAACGAAGAGCTCATCAAGCGAGTCAACACGCTAGAAGCCTCCAGCAAGCAGCTGCGCGAAGAGGCCGAGAAGTTCCAAGCCGAGCGAACAGCATTCCGGGCTCAGCTCGAGGCCGATATGAACCAGGTGGCGCAGGATTACGAGGCGGATATTGCAGCACGAGACCAGGACCTGGCTCGCGTGCGGTCCGCTCGAGACGAGATCCTCGCAGAAAATGTGCAACGACGAGCAAATGCGGAGCAAGAGCGCATCGCCATGGAGCATATCAAGGAGCTTGTAGCGGCAAAGGAGGACAGGATATCTGCACTGGAATCAGAAGTTGCTCGTTTGAAGCCCGCCTCACCAACAGGAGACGGAGAAGCGAGTGGTGGCGGAGACGCCGAGGCTCTTTCAGAAGAGGAGCTTCGGCAGAGATACAAGAAACTGAAGCAAGATTTCGAGTCGATCAATCAGGAGCTGCCAGCGATGGAAAAGGCTTACAAGAAGATGAAGGATCTTGCTCAGAAGAAAGTTCTCGACTTTGTCGCTCTGGAGGAGAAGGTGGCTGTCCTTATTGCTGAAAAGAGTAAAGCGGACCAGAAGTACTTTGCCGCTCGGAAGGATGCCGATACCCGGAACAGCGAGATCAGGACTCTGCGGCACCAAAGCGTCAAATCCGCCGAGCTTATCGCCCAGTTGAAGGACTTCGAGTCCCAGACCCGGACTTTGCTGTCCAACTTGGAGAAGCAGTTGGCGGACCTGAAGCAGGCCAACGCGGTTCTGGTCGCCGAGAACAAGAAGATGGAAGCGAACAGCTTGGAGGCCTCGAGGAGGGCAGAATCCGTTGCGAAGCAAGTGGCAGACCTTACCAACCTGGTCAAGTCCAAGGACTCGTCCACAGCCATCATCCGAGAGCGAAACGCCATGCAGGAAGTCGAGGTGGAGAAGCTCAGGGTTCGAATCGAGCATGTGCAGAAGGATCGGGATAGCTGGAAGAACAAAGCGTTGAGTAATTCTTCAGAGGAGGAAGATATGCTTCGGGTACGTTTGTCCTTCTATGGGTTCCCCCCCTTATAGCCACCTCGTTGGCCCTTTCGGAAGTACTAACAAAATTTCACGATTCAGACCATGGCCTTGTGCCCCGTTTGCCATGCCAACTTCAAGAACACAGCACTCAAGACGTGCGGCCATCTCTTCTGTAACAAATGCGTGGATGACCGCATCAGCAATCGCATGCGGAAGTGTCCGAGCTGTTCCAGGGCATTCGACAAGATGGATGTCATGCAGGTTCACTTCTAGGGCTCAGTCACACCAAGGCGTGGTGCCATCCACTAATTTGGTTCATCTGTCAAGTATGAATCTTTCGCATTTTGTTTTTTACGGAGAAATAATTAGAGGGTCTTCGACGTCATCACGAGGTCTATTCACTGTGTCGGTGGCGCATACGGTTGCTGTTTGGTAAAGCGGTCGGATCTACGGTCAGGGTTGTGTCTTTTTTTTTCGTCTCACGATATTCGCTATTTCTTTTTTACTCGACTTCATTGTCCGCCGGGCTGGGGCTTTTTCTTTTCCACCTTTCATTATGTTCCGCCCCTTCGGAAGGGTATAGGGGTCGGCGTGTTTGGACAATGTAGTATCAATTGTAGCACCAGTGTACGATATATGAGTATAAAAGGTTACCGGTTAGGTAATTGCTTGCTTCCTGAAGTATATATAATATGAAGCAATTGGTTACTTCCAAGTCGAGTGCAAAGCCATGATCCGAAATACATGCCGGCGCAGCCAAACTTGGCAGATTACCACCCTTGATAGGCCGTCTCATGCGCCCAGACTACAGCTGCGATAAGATGGACAACGCCATGACGAGCAGCTAACAATTTCCATCTTCCCAATAGCGATGAAGAACAACTGAAATGGCAGAATGTCGCATAGGTATTTAGCTACATACATAAAATCCTTCTGATATAATGGAGAAAACCACACGCCCCTTCCCTCTCCCTCCCTCTCAGGACTCAACGCCCAACGCCTTGACGCCAACAATCCTCCCGCCCTCGTCGTCCCGTGAAATGACCCAATACTCGGCCCTCGTCAGATCCCGCGCGACCCTGTACACCCTCACGTCGTTTCCCTTGGTGGCCTCCCTCACGGCGTCGATGATGTTGGCGTACTGGCCGTCGGAATCCCAGTCCACGGGATCCATGATGTCGATTTGCGCGTTTTCGGCATCCCAGTGGTGAATCAACTTTGCGAAATCAACTGAAGCACATCCAGTTCCGTTAGCAACAAGCCAACGCAACGAAAGAAAAAAATAAAAATAGAAAATAAAGGAGAAACCTATAGGATTTGCCTTTCCTCGGGGGAAATAGCTAGAGAAAAGAAAGAAAAACTGTTACTACCTTCGTCGGGAAGCCCCCCTTCGCCCTTCCACCGCAGTGAGACGCCGGTAAACGGCTCGTCGGCCTCGCTGACGTAGAATGCGTCCCGGAGGGCGTCGGCAATGGGCTTGGGGATCTGGGCGCCGTCGTCTGTGGCTTTGAATGTCCGCTGCGCTGCTCCTCCTTGGGGTCTTTGCGCTGCTGAGGCTCTGCCTTGGTCGGCGTCTTGGTTCGCCTTGTTGAGGAAGGCCATGTAGTCTTCGTCGCTGGCCATTTTGCGGGAGGAGGGCGTGCTCGATAGGGATCGGCGTGGGCTTGGCGCGGAGACGATGCGAGGGACGATGGTGATGATGGTTCTTCGTGGGAGAGGTTTGTGGAGGGTGGTTGTTGTTGTTGGGAGAGCGAGGCGTGCGATTTGTTTGGTAAGGCGATGATGAGGTGCTCGTTTTGCAGCAAGAGAGAGCGCGCCGAGGAAGGGTTGGTGAAGAGTTGGCATGGGGGGAAAGGGAGAGTGTTTGGTGTATGTATTAGTTGGTTTGAAAGGCAAGTTTTGTATGACGATGCCCTGCTGCGGTTGGGAACCGTGAGAAAGGTCGGGTCAGCTCGAGGTGGGGTGACGTCAACGCAAGACAGCTCTGTTGGGCGCTATCAAGTGTTTGTACGTAGTTGAAGCTGTAATAAACCGCCAATACTTGCACTACGGTCTACTACCTAAGGTAGAGAATGGAAAGAATGAATGGCCTGGCTATTATTCTCAAGCTCCTATATCAGCTGCGCTTGCTCACTTCTTTTAGTCCTTTGATACAAGGCGAAACGAACGAAGCTACAGAGCAAAAAAACTTGTCCGGTGCTTTTTCTTGCTAGCTATACTATTTGAGAGCAAAGTTCGTGAAGTGAGAGAAAGACATGAGAAAGCTAAGGGACAAAAAAAGGCATAAAAAATGCGTCATCCGGAACTCGAATCCGGGCCTCAACTTTTCAATTGGAAATGGAAGAGTTGAATCCTAACCCCTAGACCAATGACGCCCTTGCAGACTTGGGATATTCCGCCGGAAACGGAGACCCACTGACGGAACTGGAGGCTGAAGTTTTGCTCTTATAAGCCCTCCACTTCTCGACCCGCTGCAGGGACCGGCAAAACATCGGCCTCGTCTCAAGTCCAGTACCTTAGGTATTAGTGTTCCTAGCGGCTGCCAGGGGCCAAGCCTTACGTGGCTGAAATGCGCGGTGCTTGTCGCAGCTGACTGCGCCCCACGCCAGATGATCCTGTTCGCCGCGATCAATCGACTCTTTTTGCTGGCCATTTGAGCCTCCGTTCCTTTTTCCTCTTCACTGCTGCTCAACCATCTTGCCGCCTGGCCTGTTCTCCTCCCCTCCGGCGATTCACGATCCCTCCGCCTCTTCTCTAGAATTCATTTCCAGCGTGGCCGAGAGCATAAACACCCCCCGGTTCAATCAACCTCGAGGCGACGACCAATTGACAGCCCTCCACCATGGATGCGCCAGAGCCTGAACGGACCCCTTTCGAGGCGGTTACAGCCCACACCACCAGGCTGCAGAGAGTGCGTTTGCGCGGCTGTGGTTGACTTGCGTTTGATCCATCGTGCTAACTGTGGCCAGCAATACCAAGCGATTCTGGACCAGTCAACTCCGTATGTTATGTACCGATGGATTGGCACCGGCGTGGCCTTGGTTCTCTTCTTCTTGCGCATCTTCTTCGCGCAAGGATGGTACATTGGTAAGTTGCGGCGTGCTTCGGTAGACGACCGAAAGAAAAAGAGGTTGACACGGCGACGAATGGGAATGAAACGCGAATTACTGAAGCTGAAGCTGACCTTTTGCTCCTTTCTGCGCAGTTGCATACGCCCTGGGCATCTACCTCTTGAACCTCTTCCTGGCTTTCCTCCAGCCCAAGTTCGACCCTTCAAACGATGCGCTCGATAACGAGATGGAGGACGGCGCCGTTGGCACTCTTCCCACCAAGCAGGACGAGGAGTTCAAGCCCTTCATCAGGCGTCTTCCCGAGTTCAAGTTCTGGTACTGGGCCACGAGGGCCATTGGCATCTCCTTCGTCTGCACCTGGTTCTCCATCTTCGACGTTCCCGTCTTCTGGCCCGTCTTGGTTATGTACTGGCTGATTCTCTTTGTCCTCACGAGTAAGAACAAGCTTAGATGCCCTCAGCCCGCCGTCAATCTGCTAACAAAACTCCTGCAGTGCGCCGACAGATCCAGCACATGATCAAGTACCGCTACGTGCCCTTTACCATCGGCAAGAAGTCCTACATCAAGGACCGATCGTAGACGGACCGGACAACGACCAGCGTGGAGACAAGAAGGTCTCTGCTCGATGGGGCTCGAATTGAAGGAGGGGGGAAAATTGTTTCGCTGGGCTGGCGTAAGCCCTGAACCACAAGGCAACTGCCTACGCGTGTCACGATGGCTTGTACGGGCTGGATGTAGAAGAGACGTGTGCGGCACACGATGGCGCCTTTGGAGGGGATCTCACTCTTGCATGGGACAACTAAAGAAAAGCACCGGGCCTGTTACTGAATCCTTGAAAGGCGTCGACGGATGGGTTAGACTCGGGATGACTGATACGAAACGCATGGGAACCAGGTCTTGGAGACGGAGCTCTCACAGGGAGCGAGTAGTTACCTATACTTAATTTAATGAGATAGCTTTTTTGTACGCTTACAAGACAGCAAGTTATTATTATTTTCCCTCCACTTGTCCTCTTCGTTTTCCCTTTGTCAAGCCATTTTGTTTTTGTTCTCGTCAATTGCTGTTGGTGATAGTTGGCCTATCCGCTGCAGCCAGTCGCGTTGGTGGGGAGCCGCTTGAGGCTGCCGCAGATTTACAGCCTCGCCTGTCTGAGCTGCGCGCGACTCTTTTTTCCCTACTCCATCATCACCCGACACTCCGCCACGTCCTTCCAAATCGCACTCTAACCCGCCCAATTCAGGGCATCGGCGCCGATTCCTTCCGAGCGACTTCTCCTGCCTCAGCAGTTTCATTTTGCAGCTGATGCTCACAGCTTCGTCTTGACGAGATCAGCCCAGCAAACGAGAAGTCGGGGGGAAAACAAGAAAAAAAGGGCCCCAAGATGTCGTCCTCAGCAGCTCGCTCGGGCGAGCGCATGATTCACCAGGACTTCATTGCGCGCATCCGCTTCTCCAACGCCCTGCCTCCTCCGCCGAACCCCCCCAAGCTGCTCGACATCCCCAACACCGGCCTCGCGAGCGGGCAGTACACGACGCCTGGCTTTGCTTCACGCCTGGCGCGGGAGCAGCCGCTGAACATTGAGGCCGATGCAGAGCTGGGCATGCCGCTGGATCTGGTGGGCATGCCGGGCGTGTTTGACGGAGACGAGCGATGTGAGTTGTTGCTTCTTCCCCTTTGTTGAAGAAACTCGTAATAGCAACACCCAGAACTCTGACCTGGGCCTTTTGCCTCGTAGCAATCCAAGCATCATCACAGCCACCGCCCGTCCACCCGCACGACCGAGCCCTCCTCAGACCCATCGCAGCCCTCGGCAAGCCCAAGGTCGCCGAGGCAAACGTTTCCTTCCTCCGCCGAACGGAATACATCTCGTCCCTGATGCCGAAGCGCCTCGAGGCGAACCACCCCAGAGCGCTGCTGGCCAATAACCGGCGGCCGGCTAAGCGCCCAGAAGCCGCCGCCGACTCGCCGCAGGTCATCAAGCGAAAGATCGACAAAAGCTTCGAGATTGCCGAGCAGGACCTCAAGGACCCCAAGCGCGTCAAGCACCCGTCCAAGAAGCACCTCAAGGTCGTCGATGCCAAGCCCCTGCTGCCGGACCTGGACGCGTTCCCCGACTCGGGAGCCTACGTCACCATCAAGTTCCTCACGAACCCCGTCTCCAGCTCCAACGAGTACGACACGCGTCTGCGCAGCGGCCTGTTCAGGCCGATAGACCGCACGGCGGCCGAAGAGGCCGCGCTCGAGGCCGCCATGGAAGCCTACACCCAGGACCCCGTCAACAACCCCAAGCCGGCCAACCTGATGAACTACGACTTCTACCTCGGCCAGACCCGCGCCGATGCCGATCGCTTCCGCCGCAAGTTCGACGTCGACGACCCCAGCCACGACGACGAGGACCTGTACACGCACAAGGCGGACACGGGCGGCTACTTCCAGTTCAACCGCATCAGGGCGTACGAGACCGCTCAGGAGACGGAGCTCGACCACCCGACCAAGTACGAGGACGAGATCATCCTGGCCGTCAACGACGACGACACCTACCCCAAGCAAAAGGCCGTGTACTACTACCCCATCATGCAAAAGTCCACCATCCGGCCCCAGCGCACCAAGAACATTGCGCGCACAAACTACGGCCTGGCCGAGGACGACGAGACGCAGGTCGTCGACCAGCTGGACCTCACCGTCGAGGACCCCACCGAGGAGATGCGGGGCGCCATGAAGATGTACGCCGAGCACCCCCTCGGCTGGGACCAGGAGGAGGGCGCCGAGGAGCACGAGCAGGAGCATATTGAGCAGTCCATCGAGGAGGCTGATGTCGACGCCGACGGGGAAGAGGCCGCCGAGCGTAATGGCGCTTCGAGCCCGGGAGGACAGCAGGAGCGGTCTCCTTCTGCGGATCGCGATGCTGAGGGTGATGAGGATGAGGATGAGGACTAAAAAAAGATATTGCTGGCGCGTTGGGGGGGAAAAGGGGTTGAAGTCGAGACGTTTGACTTGTGTGTTTTACTGAATATATGAGTTGGCATCTCTTCCCCCTTTTTAGTTTCGTCATTATGCGAAATCTTTTGAGGAATGGATGATTTTCAAAAGGCGAATGATTTTCCACTCAAATTTTCGACTGAGAGGGCAAAAAGGGGGGGGGGGGGGGGCAAGCAGAATTGGTGGGCTGTAGGGAGTCGGGTCTGCTTCACAAGGGTTTCTTTCTCTTTGGGTATATAGATGGAACAGTAATGGAAAATGAGTGGCCTTTTTTACAGTAGTGATATTTGCGAATCAAGGAAAGAGAATCTTGGAGGAGAAGAGAAGAAATGAAGTTGGAGTGATTTATTATGTTGTGTGAGCGTTTTGTATATATATATATATATATATGTATATATACCTACAAATGCGGCGCCAACAAGTTTCAGATTCCCTCTTCTCAAATCATGTACATCCCAATATGATCTGGTGATTCGTAGAGAGTCAATACCGGTTTGCAAACAATGGTATCATTTTTCATATATACAACGCCCAAATGATGCTTGATACTGTCTTCTTTTCTCTCCCCACAATGCCCATTCGCAGCTCTCATATCTCGAATCCAAGATTTTCTCTATTATCATCAATAACCCGTGCGTATCTGCCAACTTCTGTCAGCAAAGAAAAAACAAGATTGTGTTTACGAAAAAATCAAGATAAACACATGAGAAAGAGAAGGGAAAACTCACTCCAACAGTAACCTGAAAAACCACACCTCCATATCCACCTTCCGAACCGCCTGGTTCGCCCACTCACGGCTCTCCTCCGCAATCCTCCGCCCCTCCGCAGACCCCTCGCCATCCTGGTCGATGAAGCGCACCGCCTCGAGCCAGTCGTCCCCCTGCAGGCTCAGCGGCACGTAGTGCACCCACGGCCGGAGCCGCTCGCTGTGCCACTCCCGGAACAGCGCGAGCTTGAACGTCAGGCTGCGGCTCTGCAGGAAGGCGTAGAAGCGGCCGGAGAAGGCGTTGCCGTCCATGTCGACCAGGTACTTGTACCCCCAGGCGTCCTGCTGGTCGACGAGATCGACGACGTCGAAGAACTCCCTTTGCGCCTCGCAGTCGCCCGGGTCGCACTGCCCGACGTGGGAAAAATGCACGTCGATGAGCTTCTGATAATCACCGCGCGGCACCTCCTTGGGCTCCCATTTGGAGGGGCTCTCGGGGGCGTTGGTGATGCCGCCGCTCTTGGCCATGATCTTGGCCTGCTCCTTGGAGTTGATCTTTTGGACAAAGCGCTGGCGGTGGTGCCTCCTCCATCCGCCGTTACGGCTGTACCCCCCGGTCGTGGAGCCTCTCCAGTAGAGCTTGCTTTCCTTGTCGTCCCAGGGCATGTCGTTGCTCTCGTTGTAGGCGACTTTCTTGTACCAGTACCAAGGAGATGGGTAGACAATGTCCCCGTAGGACGAGATCTTGGACTGCGAAAAGATGGGCAGCAGGTCGTGGGTGACCTTGAACACGTTTGGGCGGTCGAAGAAGCCATACGTCGAACTGAGGGACGGCGTGAGGCAGATGTCGGACATGGCAGTGGTGTTGTACACGAAAGCGAGGTCACTGACGCCGTACCGGCTCAGATCGTCGGCGCGCTCCTCGTCTTCGAGGATCCTCGCCTGGCTGTCTGGCGGACAGGACATGCGGGAGTCTGCCCAGGTGGACTGGTACCGAATCGTGCTGAAGCGAGTGAGCTTCGTCTCCTTGAACGTCTTGCCGTCGTTGACATCAGATGGCCTTGCTGAGAAGCCGTTGACGAGCTTCGTCTTGCCACTCAAGGCGGCCATGTTCACGTCCTTGGCTTTGCGGACGAGCCGAGACAGATCGTCGTGGGGAACCACGACTCGAGGCTCATCGTGAATGTTAAAGGCCAGGTCCATGTCCGGCAGATACTGCAGGAACTTGTCCATCATGCCCTTGGTGGCGTTCCTCTGCCACTCGAACCCGTACTCCATGTGCATAATCTCATGATCTCGAATAGCGACCCCAAGCAGCCCGTTGTCATAGCCCAGCGCCTCCGCCACCCTTGCCCGAAGCGTCTGCGGCTGCAGTCCCCAGTAGGGAGTCATCATGTCGTGGACGGTGTCGAATTCGTCAACCAGCTGCACCTTGTTGCTCACGGCGAACTCGTACCACTTGTCAAAGTGCGGAGGGGGCGGCATGCCGTATCGCCTGCGATACTCTTTGACGGCCTCGCTCAGAGACCTGGACTGTCGCTTCTTGATGTCGGCGAACTCGCGCTGGGCGTCTTTCATGAGGTGGATGATCGGATGCGTTGCTTCATCGGGAGCCTTCTTCGGCCTTGGTCCGCCTGTTACTGCGGGTGAGTCCGCCCATGTGACTGGGCCCGGAGAGCCGGAGCTTTCCGCTGATTTTGTGGGTGAAGATGGTGATGGTGTTGAGGCGTGCTCTGACAAGGGTTGCTGATGCTCTGTCTGATGATGCTGAGGCTGCGTGGGAGAAGCTGGTATACTGAGGCCGACGTCGAATATACCGATGAGGGAATATAAGCAGAAGCACAAGAGCAAAGCAGCCACAGCAACGAAATATGGACGCCGCCGCATCTTGACATCGAGCATGGAATCCCACACGCTCAAGCTCAGTTATAAAAAAAGGTGTGACAGTCGCATCGCCAGAAACAGGGCGGAAAGTAAAGAGCTGCAGAATTAACAATCCTGGATCAACGAATGAGCATAACAGCAGCAATTGAGCGGCTCAAGTTCGTCAATATTAACCAAACCATGACAGATCCTGAGAAAAGGCGTCTTTCGTTGAGCAAACCAATTGTTTTGTTTACTTTGCGCAGGCGATGACGATGGCAACCCATTTCCAGGCACTTGTCCACCTTATTGGTGGGGACTTGCTAGCCTGCCCATAGATTACATAAGGATTCGAGATCTCATCTGCACGGCTGAAATACACTCAACCATCACAAAGCATTGGGAAACGTAGTTTTGGGCTTTCTCATCTGTGGTATATTGCCAGTGTACGCTAAGCTAAAAGGTGGAAAACCCCAGTATAAATCAGGAGATGCTGATCACTGTCACCGCGATCACCATTGGAACGCCGAGAATGCCCAAACCCTTCTTTTTTTTTATCATTCCCTCTCTACCGCCAATTTTGTTGTTTGTCTAGTAGAAGAAGCCAATGATCTTGCCGGCAACGTGCTTTCGTCGGGCCTCCTCGTGGTCCATGATACCAGCAGAGGTGGTCAGGATGATGTAGCCGAACTGACGGGCAGGCAGCAGCTTGACGACCCACTTCTCGAGATCGGCCAGGCGGACGTTGTAGCGGGGAGAGATGACACCAGTCTTGTTGAGACTATTCGCAAGAGTTAGACAGGAATTGCTGAATGAGGCCACTCTCATGTAGACTTACCGGCCGTTCAGCTGAACGACAATCTTGCCAGATCGGTGGTCGTCGACCTCCTCGAACTCGCCAATGTAGCCTGCAAAGAGTATATTGTCAGCAATGTTGCGGAAGACCTCAGGCGATTAATAACGTGATAGAGAGTGTAGAAATCTGCTGGAAATCCACCGCAGGATAATATATCGGCAACTTATAGGGGCTGGACCGTGGTGCGGTATCGATCGTAGCCCTAGTTATCATGCCGAAGGGAGGGCAGGAAAAAGAAGAGCGAGAGAAGGTATCGCAAATGATCCGTCCAAAACGTACCGTGGCGCTGCATGACCTGCAAGAACTTGACAATGACCTTGGAGCTAGGTCGGATCAGGACCTGACGCTTGCCGGCCTTCTCGGCATTGTTGATGGAGTTGAGGGCGTCGTGGAGAACGGAAGTGCGGACCATTTTGGCGGTATTGAAGGTCGAGAGGAGATTCTCAAGTCGGGTTTGGAAATGAGGTATCTGCCACACAGCGAAAAACACACACGTTAGACTCGGAGTGGCCCATGAGCATGGAGAGTGCCCTCAGCGATCCGTCGACGAGGGTTCAGCCCGCTCATTGCCGAAGGGGGAAAACAGCGTATCGCCAAAACGCCGGCCGTCGAACCAGGGACGTGTTCGCAGGAAACAGAGCGTGATGCAGCATCACGGCGCGTTCCATCGAAGCTGTTCGCTCATCCGGGCCGGCGTCGACGATTGCTGTCCCCGGCCACGATAAAAGGCATCATCCTGCCAGGTCCGAATCGCCGTCAGCGGTGACCAAAGGCCATACGTACCTCGTTGTTCCAGAGTTTGGCTGAGGAGTGGGAAAAAAGATCGAAGGAGGCGCTGAGATCGGTAAATTGAAAAATTGAACCCCCCAGGCGGCGGCTGCTGCCAGTATGGGTCCAGCCTCGTTGGTGCGTTGTGTGCCCTGGTGGTCCGTGCGCGCAAAAATGCCCTAACGCTTGCACACTCGGCTGCCTTGATTTCGGCAAATCCCCGTTATCCTCAATCTCTACTACCACCTGTTCCGCGCACGACGCAAAAACCCCCGTCACTAATTCTTCACACATCAATTCAATCTTCGAGGATCGCCCGACAAGAACAACAATCAAGATGGTGAGTTGCTCGCCCAGACTCCCGGAATCGCCAATGCCGGCATGATGCTCTTGTCTTCTTTTCCGCGCCTTGCGAATGCGAATGCACGAAAGAATGAGCTCCTCGCCGAATACCTTTGTCGATTTTGCGAAAATTCCTCCCCCTCCATGAAGAGCAGGAATCTAGGGAGCGCAGTGCTAACCAGGCAACTTGTTTTGCGAAACTGCAGTCGGACGTAGAAGAGAACAACGCCCCCGAGGTCGCCGAGGAGGTTGAAGTTTCCGGAGATGCCCCCAAGGGCCAGATGTCCGTCCTGGACGCCCTCAAGGGTGTTCTCAAGCTCGCCCTCATGCACGACGGTCTCGCTCGCGGTCTCCGAGAGGCTTCCAAGGCTCTCGACCGTCGTCAGGCCCACATGTGCGTTCTGAACGAGAACTGCGAGGAGGAGGCCTACAAGAAGCTGGTCATCGCCCTTTGCAATGAGCACAAGATCCCTCTCATCAAGGTTCCCGATGGCAAGCAGCTCGGCGAGTGGGCCGGTCTCTGTATGTGATACCCCTGATTTGGATCTGAAGAGCCAAGGAAAAGCGGATGGGAAGACCAATTACTTACACTTTTTGTCAGGCGTTCTGGACCGTGAGGGTAACGCCCGCAAGGTCGTCAACTGCTCCTGCGTCGTGGTTAAGGACTGGGGTGAGGAGTCTCAGGAGCGCTCCATCATCCTGAACTACTTCCAGACTTCCCAGTAAGGGCATGGACGGCGTTGATTAAAAAGGGTATAGAGGTTGCGGTCTTGGTTTCTTTTCAGGACGCGTGGAAAAACGACTTTCTTTAGGGTTGTACTCTAGGCCTTGCATCATGGCCATCTTGCATGACGGGGAAAATAAAAAAAGGAATTAAGAATCATCTGAACTGCTGGCCCTTGTTCGTGCACTAATCCCTGGCAGAGGAAGTCTTGTCCATCCATTGATTGTTCATTTTCGCCCTTCGACCTAAAGGTTGCCTTGTCAGGATGATTGATCCGGATGACTTGCCCTCAAACTCACCATTATGATGTGATAGCCAAACGACGTCTTGGCCTCTCCAATCTTGGGACTGCTCGTAGTGCTCGGCTCCAAAGAAAAGGCGACTTCTTCAAACGTAGGATCCAGGCTCCCCTTTGTCTTCCAGCCAAGAGAACCCCCTGCCACGGACATAAGAATTGCAGTCAGCAAATGATGGTTTTGGATGAACAGCAAAAGAGATCCACAGCGGTTCAAGATGGGTACCTTGTCGTGCCTTGTCCTCAGAATAGGTGCGTGCCACCTCGTCGAACTTGACACCCTCGCTTAGCTTCGCCAGAGCTTCTTCCTTCTTTGAATGCTTTTCACACTGTTCTCGTGGTCAGTATCTGATCCTTGTGTTTGCAAGTGATTCTGTGAAGGAATATATCGCCGCAGAACATGATTAAGGGGGGGTTTGACAGAACGTTGCTCCATCGCCTCCTCTTCTCTCATGACGTACCAGAATGTGCCGGACGTTGATGGACATGGCTCCCTTCGCCTTACCCCCGCCTTCTTTGCCCTCAGCGCCCTTTCCCTTGCCGCCGCCCTTGTCGCCCGATTTCTTGTCGTTTTTACCCATCCTGCAGGTTTTGTTCTGTAAGTCGGCCAATGGTTGGTTGTACGGGCGAAGTTTTGTCGACTTGGTGAGCCCCGCCTCGAGAAAGCCCCTCCAAAATCCTCAGTGAGACAGGGCCCCAGCTTAGTACATGATGTGCATCTTCATGAACACTTCATCCTATCAAGACGGTAATATGATGTTGCACCAGCAATGCCTGGAATATCTTCTCCAGGTTGAAAAAGCACCACTCCCTATGTATTTGGGATGTGGGATACTAGGTATCATCTTGCTTAAGCCCCAAGTCGCGCATTCCGTAGCTGTATCTCGCGTTCCGGGCTGTGGTCAAGGCAGCTCCAACTTCGAGAGCACGTCTCCATTGCCGCCGGTCCATCCTTTCCTGCGCCTTCATCAACTTCCAGTCCAAGAAGCTTTGCTCACCGCGGTGCTGCCGGATCATCTCGCCTTCATACCTCTTAAAGAGCAACCAGTCATCCATCTGTGAGGGAAGGGGGATTTTGGCGAGCTCCGTCATGCTGGGCTGTTCTGAGATTCTCTCTAATGTGACAACGATGCGATGCAGTCGAGTCTGCGGATTTTGCTTATGACTGTATTGCCTGATGATGTACCTACAAGCGTGTCAGCAGCTCTCTGCCTTACACATTTCGCCTGAGGAAGAAGAAAGAGATGAACATACAATCCATCATATCGTATGCCCGCCTGTGGCGAGAGCGGGCTTCTGAGCCGGTGGCCTCGAAGGATGCGGATATGGGAACCGACGTAGGATATCAAGGAGATGTGTGTCTCTGAGAGCTTTGCTTCTCGCATGTAGCGGACGGTATCCCTAGGCATCACTTCTTCGCGACCCGTCAGCAGTGGAAGTGCTGCAGCCCCGTATCTGCCTTTTGTGGGAGTTTCTTTGATGCTTCCCACAATGCCATCCCGGTACGCACACGCCAGGTTCAACCACTAGCTGTAATAGTTGTCAGTCTAGAATAGTGAAGAAGTTCGTCTCATTCAACTTACTATCCTGGCTTGAACTGCAGATTCCACTCAAGCCCCGATACTGTCTTACACTTCGCGGCCTTCCAGAGCTCCTAGCCATTTGTAGCCTTTTCGTTGAAAACCACGTCTTTTAGCCTACTAGACTTTGACAAGTCTTCCTGACGAGTCTGATCAATGTTGAAGAAGTCTTCGCGAAATCTGGCCACCCATGATCTCTGCAGTCTTTCGGCCATCGCTATGTTGAGGCGAGGTCGGAGGGAAGCCGACGCTTGCTGATGTCCCAGTGTCAAAATGTCAGAAAGCAACTTGTCTAGTCGTGCATTCTGAATTGTCGCAAGGCTCACGACTGGTATGGCGGCACCTTCGTCCCTCACCAATTCGCGGAGGACTCTCTTGACCATTTCGGCTCTGGGGCCAAGCGAAGCGTCTTCAAGAAGATGAGACCGGATTTCATCAGAGAGGTCCAGCAACTTGGGCTCGTTCAACCCTTTGCCCCCAAAGTCAAGCAGTCCAAGTGGCGTCAGCGAGGCATGGTGATCTGGAAGTAGTCAGCAAAATACGGCATACAGAAGTTCCCATAGAGACACACCTGGCTGCTCAAATCTCTCCCCCAGATCTGATCCAGAACCCGAATCTTGGTTCGACGCTCCAGAGTCGATTGCAAAACGTACAGTTGGCATGATCCACCTCAGCCGATGAGGCATGCTATTCGGCTTTGTGTCTTTGTTTTACTGGACTGTCCTCGAGGTTGCGCCTTTAGTTCTTCACGCAAGGCGCCCGTCTTTACAGGAAAGGAACAACAATAGGAGGCCGACAAAAGAGCGGGTGCCCAGGGTATGGTCGTAAACTGAGCTGTAACCACATTCGCCAGAAGGCAGATATAAGGGAACAATAATACTAGATCGGGTCTTTTGATTATGCAGAAGTATGTATGCAATATGAAAGGGGGAGGATACAGCAAGGGATGCAAGGATAGGCAGGAAGAAGGTGAGGTTAGATAGGGGAGTGCAGTGTTTTGCAGCCAGAGGATCTTGATTCGTTTTAAGCCTCGTTTATAAGAGAGACAGATTGTTCGTCACGTGTGTATGTATCATTTGGAAAGAATAACTGCTATTTGAAGCACTGCTCTGATGAGTATGGATGTTATATCGTGATCTGGCAATCAGGACAGAAGGTGCGGTGGAAAGTATGACATTACTTGTACAGTCTCAAATAAACAGCACATGGTATCTTCAAGATCAAGCCCATTATGATTACTGCAGGATGGCATTCAAGTTCACAACAACGTTCAATGCACTTGAGAAGCATTTGAATATGCCCAATTCGCAGCGCTCAAGAGCAGTGTAAGCCTCTACCGCCTACCTCTTTGGCTAACCGTCACGAAACATAGGCGCTATGCGCTCCACCGCCTACTGTATACAAACCAAGCCTGCGAAACTGCCGGCAGAATGCGCCCCACAAGACGCAAAGAGCCATGTCTGCTGAGAATTTCCCAACAGTACCTATGAAGTTCAGATCAAATCGCTTCACGCCTCTTTGCTGCCTCCACGTTATCATGAGCGAGCAGGCGCATTACAATGTGCGCCAGAGTGCGTCTCACGCCAAGTCGATAGGAATCACCCAGCGCGCCACGCCTCTGCGATTCCCCTGGGTCGGCGACCTGCGCGTGAGGTACGCGCTTCCTGATTTATTCCCCCGAAGCTGAGAATGGAATTGGAGAGATGGCTAATACTTCTATAGGTTCTCAGACTTCCAGGTCAATGAAATTGGGAAGGACGGAGCCGTCGTGCATCTGCGCAAAATTGGACTGAATGGCCAAGAAAAGCAGGTAATTGATCACTTGAAGCTGATCCCAGATGCAGATGGGTCTGACCAAATACATAGACGACAGACGCTGCACCAGCGCAAGAGGTCGATACGTCCAAGCAACAACAAGATTCAGCCGGAAAGGCCGATGCCAACGATGCCAATGGCGCCAAGGATGCACCCCAGGAGAAGGAGATTATAGAGATTCCAGCAGAAGATGTCACGGCTCTCAGCAATCTGGCTGGCGAAAAGTTCGCACAAGAGCTCGTAGACTTATTCCGAGAAGGCCAGGTGGACGCTTCGGAAAAGAAGAAGCCTGTCGTCTCTGAGCCCGTTGACGACAAGTTCAAGCGCGGCGAGATCCATCAGGAGATCCGACGGATCTTCAACTCCAGAATAGAGACCAGCACAGACGATGCTGGCGCCATCGTTGCGAGCTATGCGGCGCCCACGCGGCGAGGCAAAAGAGGCAGAGGCGGACGCAATCGCAACCGAAACAAGCAAGACGACCAGCCCATTGGCGAGTATCTTCACTTCACTCTCTTCAAGGACAACCGCGACACCATGGATGCCGTCAACCAGATTGCCCGTATCCTCAAGGTGAAGCCTCAGGTGATCAACTACGCGGGTACCAAGGACCGACGCGCTTCTACGGTCCAGCGTTGCTCCGTCCGATACACGCGGGACCGAAGCCTCGCAGGCATCAACGGGAAGCTCTGGGGCATAACGACGGGCGACTATGAGTACAAGGCGGAGCCTATTCATCTGGGGGAGTTGCTGGGCAACGAGTTTGTCATAACGATTAAGAACTGCCAGATCGTTGGCGAGGCCTGCACGAAACCCATATCTGAACAGGTCGAATTGATGCGTGCAAACGTCCAGTCTGCATTGGACCACATGACGGAGCATGGATGGATCAACTACTTTGGCCATCAGAGATTCGGCACCCATCAGATTGGAACACATGAGATTGGAAAGCTGATCTTGGGCGAGAACTACGAGGCTGCAATCAACGCCATTCTCGCCTACGACGAAGAAATTGCCCGAAAAGCAGAGACGGAGGGCATCCCCGACGAGCCGGCCAAGAGGGACGAATACAATCGCCACCTCGCTTGCATGCTGTTCAAGACGGAAAAGGACGTCGACAAGGCCATTGAGATCATGCCCCGGCGGTTCTCGGCCGAAGTATGCGTCCTCCGACACCTCAACAGGCAGGGCAAGCAGTCCCGAAGAGACTTTGTCGGCGCCCTCATCCACATCACCCGGGGACTGCGTTCCATGTACCTCCACGCGTGCCAATCCCACGTGTGGAACCACGCGGCGAGCAGGCGATGGGAGCTCCACGGCGAAAAGGTCGTCAAAGGCGACCTCGTCATCGCCGAGACCGAAGCGACGCCCCAGATCAGCGGCCAGGACCAAGACGGCGACGACATCGTCAACCCCGTCGAGGACGACGACGACGTGCCCCTGCGCGCCAGGCCGCTCACCGAGGAAGAGGCGGCAAGCGGGCGATACACGATCCACGACGTCGTGCTCCCCACGCCGGGCTACGACGTCATCTACCCGGACAACGAGATTGGGGACTTTTACGTCGAGTTCATGGGCCGCGAGGAGAACGGCGGGCTGGACCCGCACAAGATGCGCCGCATGCGCCGCGAGTTCAGCCTGCCCGGGCGGTACCGCAAGCTGATGAACAAGTTCCTCGGCACGCCCGCCGTCGAGTTCAAGACGTATGTCAGCGACGAGGAGCAGATGCACCCGACCGACCTGGACCTCATCAGGGCTGCTCGCAAGGCGAGCGGCAACGACAACAGCACCAACAGCAACAACAACAACAAGCGCTCCCGCGAGGAGGGAGATGACGCGAGACCGAGCAAAGTAGCCAAGGTCGAACAGGAGGACCAACAAGAGTCCGACGCGGGCACACAAACCAAGGAAACAAACAACGATGCCGCCGACAATGAAAACAAAGCGGATGAGCCCGCCACGGAGGCTACTACAGGCGCAAACGCAGAAGCCATGGAGGTGGACCAGCAGCAGCCCCTCAAGATCGCAGCAGTCATCAAGTTCCAGCTCGGCAGAAGCGCCTATGCTACCGTTACGCTGCGAGAACTCATGGGCGACCCCCCTGAGAGCAGCAACACTGCCTAATAAGGGGAAGAAGAATGCATCACGGCCATTTCTATTGCAACGGGGTATCTGGAACATGATTGTCTTGTCTGTAGTACAGCGATATCTTGCGTCTATCGGACGGAATACATTGGCATGTTTTCAAGTCTTTTGAGCTAATTGCTCGATATATGTTGGATAGACTAGAAAATCGATCCCATGTATATAACGCCGCGTTGATGAGAGTGAATAAGTACAACGATAAAAGGGGGAACAAGAAAATGATCGCTATGGACAAGCGCTTAATATCCAAGGAACATATGTCGACGGGGCCACGTTGACAACTTCAAGATGTAGCATGAATAATAGCTCCCATCATGAACCGTGCTCATCCACCTTCAGTCGCTTATCTTCAGTTCAGTTCGTTCGGCCTCCTCTTTCTGCTGCATATATGTTTCTAATGCAAATTCACCGTGGCTGAACCACCCCTATTCTCCTCCAAAAGAGAGCGCCGCATCAACTGGTGACTCCATGAATCACATGCCGCGTAATCCTGATTTTTACATGACATGTACTTCCCAGCTCATGCAAATCTCGCACTGCACGACGAGGCCAGCCTGCTGGTCCAAGTCGAAACGAACAGCAATGCAATGCAGTGTCATCGTCTCCAGACGCTGTCAAGGGTCGGGTTATTCTTTCAACGGGAGCTGTTGACTTGCTTCTCGTCCCAGCCCCATACAAAGGAGAGGTACTTGACCATGTTGACTCTCTTGGATCGCATCTCGACCATCCACGGGTGTTCAAGCATTTTCCAGGGACTCGCTCTGCGGTTAGGCTGCTTCTCCAGACTGCAGGACACGAAAGGGGTTAGCTCAAAGATTTCATTGTGGAAACAGTTGGAGCGGAACATACCAGCACTCGATGAAGTATTTGAAGTTGTCGCTCCAGTATACGTCCTTGTCAGGCTCGTCCTTGAGCTTCGGCACTGGTTGTCTCACAATGTACGTGAGCAGGTCGATCAAACCCGCACGGGGTTGCATCTCCGTGCCGTCTGCAGGGAAGGGGAACCGGTGCTGCGCGACTTCGAGCAACGTGACTCCCGTGGACCAAACGTCCGAGTTGATGGTGTAGGACTGGCCGGTGATACGCTCCGGAGCCATGTAATAGCTGGTGCCAATGAAGGTGTTGGCTTCACCCTTGGTTCCGAAATCTCCCGAAACACCGAAATCGCAAAGCTTGACTGAGCCGTCGCGGCACAGCAGGATGTTGGAGGGTTTGATATCTCGGTGGATGATCCTTCGCGTGTGAAGGTAGGTAAGGCCGCCAAGAACGCCTTCAGCAATCTTTCCCAGCACCTTTTCACCGGTGCGACCTCCTAGCCTCTTGACTTCCTTGTAGATGCTGTCCAGAGAACCTCCTTCGCAGAATTCCATGGCAATGGAGATGGTGGCAGTGGAAGGGTCAACAAAAGCTCCGTAGTAACGGCAAATGTGGTCCGAGGCGCATTCCTTGTTGAAACCCAGCTCTCGAACGATTTGCTTCTTGACATCAGGATCAGGGTTGGTAGTGATGACCTAGAGTGGCATTAGCGAGCCATCGGCATGTGGCACTTAGAATGGACTCGGTTCGACAGAGCATACCTTGAGGGCAAAGATGGTCTTGCCGCCCTTGAGCATGGCCTTGGTGACAGCTCCTCCTGCACCCTCGCCCAGGTTGCCCAGCTCAACGATTCGCTTCTCCAGGCTGGCAATTCTCCAGCCCTCGTCGTCCAAATCTTCGACATCGGCAGTCCTTGCTTTCTCAATGCTGAGTCGGTCAAAGCCCTCGAGGCCCTGCAGACTTCCATCTCGCTCCATAGAGACGCCACCTTCGCTTCTCATGGAGCCGACGGCAGACACAGGATCCGGGGTTCCCTGGGCTCGTGCGACAGGGATACCAAACTGGGAGGCAAATGAAAGGGCCGAAAACTGAGAGCCCGCAGACGTGGGGTTGCTCGCTCGCCCGTCAAGAGGGCCAAAACTGCCAGACCTTGAATGCGCCGCACTGCTCTCGCTGCCACCGCCTGCAGAGTGTCCGGGCTGTATCCCCTGTGGCCTTGCGGGCTGTTCAAGTGGTGTGACCTGGCTCCCCATGGGAGTGGCCAGGTGTAGAGTGGGCAGAGGGGGCCTGGCGGGCGGCTGGATCGTCAGATTGCCCACCGGCTTGGCGTTTGGTGAGGGCGGGATGGCCAGGCCCAATCTGGGCGCAGCGCGGCCGCGGCTCCCTGGAATGGCGGGACGCATGAGCGGTGCCGGCGAGTTCATGATCGGTACGGACATGGGAGTAGGTGAAGGAGTCGGGAGAGCGGCGGAAGAGGAGGACGAGGAGGACGAGGAGACGGGATGCTGCAGCACCAGAAGTCAGTCAGTCGCGCTGCTCACGTCTATGTATCCAGAGAAGGGGGGCAAAAGAGTGCATGCGACTCACAAGCTGAGCGGCAGGGTCGCTGCCCTGAGATTGTGAAGGAGCTGCGTCAGCCATGGTGGTGAGCAGTGCCGGTCAAGGCGGATTGTCGCAACGGTCTTCGAGCGAGCGAATTTGGCGGTGGTGAGAGTTGAGAGACCGGCGGTTGAGGAACTTTTGCAAGGCTGGAGGTCGGAGCGGCACACACAAAGACACGCGCAGGTCCAAGCAGGTACGGAGCAATGCAAACAGCCGCTGCAAAAAGAGAGCGCGAGTGAAAAATATGGCAGAGCAATCCGAACGATGGTCAGACAGAAGCAGCGCAAGAAGGACAGTGAGAGGGCGAGCAAAAGCTGAAATAGAGCGACGCCGATGCCAACATGAAACAGGAAAAAAGAACAACGATCCAATATCAGCGGGCGATTTGCGATGCGTTGGCAAAGTCGATATCTCAAATCGCAAGAGGCGAATGCACAGTCGATTGGTGCCAGCGTGGGTCGAAGGCGAGGGACGAGTGAGGGGACGCCGCTCAAGAGGGGATAGTCGGCTGAAGCGTGAGGTATCGACACTTGGAACGTCCGCTGGAAGGCAAAAAGGGCAGAACGTGATTCAAAATGGCAGCAGTTCAAACGAGGGATAAGCAGACGATGGCTCGGACAAGTTGAGGTCGGTCGGTGCTGGTGCTGAGGTGAAGCTTATGGCCAGCTCGGGGTCTCAGCAGTACAAGTAGTAATCCGGGCTTTCAATGGATGGATGTTTAAATCGTCGTGCTGCGTAGGGGGAGAGCTGGTGAGTGTGTGGGTTCCAGTTACAGCGGCTGCTGGGGGTTAGAAGGCACATCGCAAGTACCCACATGTATTGTCTGGAGCGGCAGATGCGCGCCAGCGGAGCCGTGTGGCATTGCGCAGGGCCTGGCAGCGCTCTGCAGGGCATGCGAGTGGCGGGCTGATGGGGGACTGCTCCCCTGCGGCGCAGCCAGCGGCAGAGGCGCTGCACCCGCCTGTACCCGCCTGTACTTGGAGGGCTCGGTCGGTACGAGTACCCAAGTTGTACACGCGCTGTCGCACCCGTCGAGGCGCTGCAGAGGAGCACCACGGGGCCCCTGTGGGGAGGAGTTGAGAGCTTCCAGGGCGCTGTAGGGCCTGTAGGGCTCTGTGGCTGCAGGTCAAGTGCCCCAACCAGACGTGAAGAGTCCCGGCTGCATGAGCTCTCGTGCTCGCGCTAATGTGGCCGTGGAGATGAGGGAGGGTGGAGACGGGCAGAGGATTCGATGGACTGGGCTGCAGCCGGTTTCCGCGGCTGGTGCTGATGCTGGTGAAACGGCGTTGGGACGTGGAGATGAGCCGGGAGCGCTGGCACGGGCAAATCAGACCGCAGAGGCGAGCAAACAAGCAGAGGGGCACGAGGTGACCGAGACCGAGGTGCTCTGTGTGATACATGCAGTACTCGTTGAGAAGACGTAAGCAGCTTCTCCGGTACGGGAAGACGGCACGGCCGAGGCCTATCAGCAATCAACTGGAAGCCGTCCACAGCCAGGGGCTCGGCATAAGGGTTGAACGGCAGCCTCTTCGTCCATCGCCTCAAGAACCAGATCGGCTCACACAAGCAAAACAAGCAAGGAACACTCTTACCGGGCAGAACAAACCGGCTGTGGTACCCAGAGTCCCGTGGCTGGGCGCAGGCGCAGTATCAAGCTCGCCCCAAGCAGCACATCCGGCTGCTGCAATGCTCCCCCCGGCTTACCCTACAAAACCACCTCGTGCGACTGGCAACGCCCAACTGCGCGGTTCTTGGAGCCCCTGATCCGTCCATGCACCTGTAGCATCAGTCGGAGCGCATTACGGCTCCGTTCAGCCGATGATAGAGGTGAGATTTGATGGTAAATGCGTCTGATAAAAGGGCTGCTCATCTCGAGGTGCGCTGAGAAACAGGTGCTGTCTTGTGCTTGCTGCTGACAGTCTCTCCTCACCTGAGCTGCAATGCTACCAAAATCACGCTCAACATAGTATCAGCCTTGAGCTGGGAGAAAAGTCCCGAACTGGCTCGACACGTGGAATGTAAGACCAGTGGCCACACCCTGCAGCAGCTGGAAGGAGTGGGCTGGCATCCATCCCATCCCATCCCATCCCACTCGAACATCTCTTGGGTATGGCCCCAGAAAATCCCATCAATGCCAGGCGTTGCTTGTCTGACACACTGCAGCAGCGCCGGCCCAATCGCAATGCATGGGCTCGGCGCCAGAAAACCACATCCCAGGGCCGAGACTTCGTTTGGGCGGGCAAACAATCGTCCAGCTGCAGCCACTCTTGGACGTATTCGGGCCTCTGCCTGGAGATTCGAGGGACGGTGGAAGAGACTCGGCTCAAGCCTCGAACATGGTCGCCCATATTGCTTGCTGCTCGACTCGACTGATGCTTGTTTCAAGGGCGGCGCAGCATGCAGACGGCCGTCATCGAGCCAATGAGCGGCGTGCGCTTGCAGCCTTCAAGGTTGCGTTTCTCCAAGCGCGCGTCTACAGCCTCAGCCGATGGTTGGTTCGCCATCTTTTTGCGTGTATGTACTCCATACATGTACGTGTAACGCGGCAGAGGTGACAGGCACAGCAGGGGAAGAAGCGAATGGTTCGGTGGCCGTGGAGGTGGGACTTGTTCTGCAAATTCTATGCTGTTAAAAATAGATTCACGGTGCTTCCATCCCGAGAAGATGCCGTTTCTGAGGTACGGTGCAGTCAAGCTCGTCACTGTCGTTGACATTAGACGCGGCTTTGATGCTGCGCAAGTGACCTCTTGATGCGCTTCCACCAAAAAAGCAGGCGGTGGGAGGCCGACCCCACCAAAGAGCCATGGCCCCACTTCCAATGGCCGACTTTCAACTTTTTTTTTCTTCTGAGGTACCGCCTCAGTTGGTAGTCATTCTTTTGGCTTGGAGATTAGCTGCGAGAGCGTCTACAAACTGCACAACTCCAGCCTTTCCAGGATGCCTTCTGCAGGTGTTGCATACGAGGAGCGGTCTTCGGACCCGGAGCTCTCGTCAAATGCGTCGGAGTCCGCCGACGAGTCCGATTACCTCGACAGCGCTGCTTCCAGGAAACGGCGTCGCACTTCTCCCGAACTCCAAGTCGGGGGAGACGAGAGCGATGAAGACGAAGACAACGACGACGAGACCCCGAAGCTGGTAGTGCCTTCTATAGCCGTGCCCTCTCGCATCAAGCGAAACGTTGGGAAGAGAGAGGACGGACCTGTCAGCAAACCCCCAGCTACTTCACAATCGGAACCACAACCACAGTCGCAAAATCCCATACTGGCGCCGACCGATCCCAATACTACATTCTCTGCCCTCAATGTGCGGCCGTGGCTTGTCCAGTCGCTTGGAAACATGGCCATCAGACGGCCAACCGGCATTCAAAAGGGCTGCATACCGGAGATCTTGAAGGGAAGGGACTGCATCGGAGGCAGCAGAACAGGTTCGGGAAAGACTGTGGCCTTTGCCGTCCCTGTGCTCCAGAAGTGGGCTGAGGATCCTACCGCCATCTTCGCCGTTGTCCTCACGCCGACCCGAGAGCTTGCACTTCAGATCTACGAGCAGTTCAAGGCGATTTCGTCTCCGCAGAGCCTCAAGATCATCCTTGTGACCGGCGGCGCTGACATGCGAGCTCAAGCCATTGCGCTTGCTCAGCGGCCGCATGTCATCATTGCGACTCCTGGACGTCTGGCGGACCACATCAGGACATCGGGAGAGGACACCATCTGCGGGCTTCGAAGAGTACGCTTCGTGGTTCTCGATGAGGCAGACCGGCTCCTGCATGCGGGCGGCAAAGGCAGTATGCTGCCAGACGTCGAGGAGTGCTTGTCAGTGTTGCCGCCTGCCACCGAAAGACAGACGCTTCTCTTCACGGCAACCATCACGCCGGAGGTGCGAGCGCTCAAGGAGCTGCCGCAACGGCCCGGAAAGCCGCCCGTCTTCGTCTGCGAGGTGGACACGCAGATGCTGGCCATTCCAGCAACCCTGAGCCAGAAGCATGTGCAGATCCCCGTCACCCACAAGGAGCACTATCTCCACGTCTTCCTGCTCACCGAGGCCAACGTCAACAAGACGGTCATCATATTCTGCAACCGTACGACGACAGCCGAGTACCTTCACCATCTGCTGCGATTGCTGGACCACCGAGTCACCTCTTTGCATTCCAAGCTCCCCCAGAGGCAGCGGACGGACAACCTTGCCCGCTTCCGAGCGTCGGCGGCGCGGATCTTGGTAGCGACGGACGTGGCAGCCCGAGGTCTCGATATCCAGGAAGTCAGCCTGGTCATCAACTACGATGTCCCCCGGGACCCTGATGACTACATTCACCGCGTGGGACGTACCGCCCGTGCGGGTCGCAAGGGTGAGGCCGTGACGCTGGTGGGCCAGCGAGACGTGGAGCTGGTCCTGGCCATTGAAGAGCGCGTGGGCCGCAAGATGGAGGCTTGGGAAGAGGAGGGCGTCAACCTGGAGACGAGAGTGATCCGAGACGCCCTCAAGGTGGTTAGCGAGAAGAAGCGGGAGGCGCTGCTGGAGATGGAAGAAGGGAGGGAGGTCGGCGGCAAGAGGAAGAAGACGAAGCAGAAGCTTCAGGCATAGTATCACCATTGTGTGAATTACAGAGCATCGTTAATCTCAAGCGACCATCTTCATCTTTCCCAAACAATTTTTGTTCCTTTTCATGGGCTCGGACTCTATCTGCCATGATGACTGCCGTGACGATTCCTGTCACCGTCCTTACCTGGATGGGGTGGTGCGCGGAAAGCATCGCCCGCAACGCTCGGTTACCTCCCGATACCCAAACCAGTCTGTTGGGCTTCCAGCACCATGGGTCTGGACAATTGTAGATCAGGGGAAAACACGTCAGCACGGGGTCCCTGAAGCCGACCGCAGCGCCCTACGACCGCCGGGCTCATACGAGTTCTGTATATTGCACAAGAGCCATGAGCATGGGATCTCTCACCTGTCGACAGCCCGCAAAGAAGGACCCTTCACCTTCACAACGTTTACCCGCGCAGCACTTACAAAGTATGGTGTAAGCAAATCGTTGCGCCCACGTTTTTTCTCACAAGGGTATTACGAGGAGACACGGCAAGAGAGCTACTAGCGAAAACGGGCCATTGAGTGTCCCGGTTCCATGCCGTCGGGTAAGCTGCCTTTCCCCAAAGCGGCAAATATCGCAAGGAACGCGGGATGATGTTCAGGGGGGGCGCGGGAGAAGAGGGATGTCAGACGGTATTTGACAGGTGTGTGAAGTATTACTGCTACGACTGGTAAAATGGGTGAGCGGTCGGGCGGGCGGTCCATTGCGCTGGGAACGGGAACCAGAAATAAGAAGCCGGGGGAAGAGAAAGATCTTTTGTTAGGTGAATTTTCGGGATGTTTGATGAGGGCCACGGAGGGGGGACATGGTATCTTGATGCCTTTGTTGATTTGTGTTTATCCTTTGTGTCATTTCGCTCTGCTTACGAAGCACGGCACAGCACGAGAGCTGGGATTGTGCAACTAAGGTAGGGGTGAGAGATGGGAGATTTCTGCCTTGTGAGCAGGGAAAGGGGGGGATGAGAGGGCATGGTTTGAGTGATTGATGGGTGGGTTCAATGGCGGACGAGCTGACTGACTCTGGCTGCTGGGATGGTTTCCCAAGGCTGTGGCACGACCCCATCGTCAACGGGCGATGCCACTCAAGGGCAGTATGGAGCCAACAGATTGCTTCGTGTTCTCGGACGAACAGGGCTGTCGGAGATGCTTATGAGCAATCTAGCACCATGCTTACACGTATTCTCAAAAGGGAAGGAAAGGGAAAGGATATGGATACGGCGAAGGTGGTGTTTGCCGAGCTATTCTATCTTGCCTTTGTCCTAGATCAGCTCTGAGTAGTAATATAGCAGTCTGGGGATGGGGAGGAACCTCGGCGATCTGGTTACCGACACTATGGTACGGGCGATCCCTGGCTGAGAGGAAGGGGGGGCAGTTGAATGTTCGCCTTTGGGTTTGCCTTTTTTTTTTTTTTTTTTTCTTTGTCTGTTCTTCAAAAACTGGGAGGAGGGATGTAGAGTTGCCATGGAGTTTGGTCTCATGCTTTGGTTCGGACGTGGGCATTGGCGATGCTTGCTTTGAGTTTATCCCAAGAGAAGCGTCAAGTCATGAGATCTGGAGGATCGATATTCGAGTGAATTACAAAGACTTGTTCAAGAGCATGCCCCCCTTACCCAGTGACTCGCTCGACTGACAAACAAACGGCACACGGCCATCGGCCTGCGTCGAACATACACCCCCCAGATGATCGAGTCATCAAGCCTGGAGAAAACAGCAGGGCTGAGATCATCCCCCATGGTCCCCTAACATCGGCTCCCGCGGAAACAACACAATCAAGAAGCAATCCTGAAATGTATACACCCAACAGGGGGGCTGGCTGGCTGGCTGGCTGGCTGGCTGGCACGTTTTGCCTCCAAAAGGGGGAGTGTACGATAAGAAACGGAGAGAAACGGGAAGCCGAGGGCAACATGACGATGTTATGGAGCCCGTTTTACATCACATGAGCAAACGTTTTGCCATCGAAAATGCATCACGCACTCCCCGTCTGTTACGGGAAGCAAGTGGCAATCGGCCGGTGAGGTAGGAGAGACCGGAAGATTCCGTTACGGTCGAGGATTGATACTCTTCCGTTTGAAAGTTCCATGGAGATATGATAATGTGATCTGCGATCGTTCTAGACGTTGCGATGTATTATCGGTTTTGTGCGAAGTGGCGAGGTTGCGGTTCGTTCGGATTATATGTCTCATACACTTTTTCGTTGGATGGCAGTTTGTAGCAATCGACCAGGCCCACCGAGTTACATGCGAGCATGGAGTAATTTCTATGAGCTTACACGTACACTCTGGAGCCGTGATTGCGATCCACGCGGGCCTTTCCCCAGGATTTTGTGAGTGGACCGTTGACTGCTCATGGCATCGCGTATTCTGGCCGGCCTATGAAACTTGCTTGCCATAACATGTAGGGAGTACCCGTTGTGAAGAAAACGAATTGATTCACCTCTATGAGAAGACATGGATGTCTAAGCGGTGCTTTCAGCTCGTCCAATGCCGTCTAACCAAAATTGCCTCGATATACCTCACGGCTTGTTCCTCATGTGAGAAACCTGGGGCAGAATAGTCTAGTGACCGTTTCCCATGGCACCGGATACATGACAAACGCTCAACGCCCGCAGGACAGCAACAAACCTCTTACTAACACAGGGGCAAGGGGGTAAACGGGACCGGAAGCAATAACTGCCTATTGGCGAAGCCCCTGTCTTCCCACCACAGGACCCCTAAGTATGACAGAGGGCACGAGAAAGACCGGAGTGAGGGAGTTACTGTACAGCATGCAAGGTACTACTAGAACAACATCGGAACGGACCCCCCATGTCCGCGGCGACGGAGTCTACCGAACCGCCGGAGAGCGAAGAAGTCACGAGGCCCTTTTTTCTTGGTGAATGGGGTGTGCAAAAGGGAAGAGACACAATTGGTGAGGCAAAGGCGGAATGGTCGGGAAGAACATGCATGGAAGGTTGCGAAGAAGGAGGGAGACAAGGAACCGAAGGGCATAGCCGAGGGCAAAAAAGCTTCCATGCATTCGACGCCAGAAGCAAACGGAGAAGCCATCGAAGCGAGGATCCCTACCCACGGATGATGCAGTCGGCTGCAAGAAGAAATTTTCTGCGGTTGCTGCAGGTTTGCAAAAGGGCGTTAGGCGATATCGTCGTCGTCGTTGCGGAGATGCAGGCTTCGCCCGGGCGAGCAGCAGCAGGTTTGCAAGGAGGGTGTGTGCGTTTCGAACAAAACAAAGTGATTGGCTGCAGCGGAAAGATGTCGGCAATCGGGCGACAAACGTTGAGGAGCTTTGAAGCGAACCGACGTCCTCCATTCTCTGCATCTTCCTTGAACCCTTCCATTTGCTATCAAAGCCCTGACAAAAGTCAGGGCTGGGCTCTAGACCCAATGCAGAAAAGCGTCACAGCAGCAGCAGCAGAGAACTGGAGGAAAGGGAGGATGACGGCACTTGAAGTCGGTGACGAGGGGTGATGGTTGTGCGGTAATGTCCGTTCCTTTGCGAGCTCGGCATCTCGGCGGACATAGAGCGGCATCTACCGCTTGTCGCTGGGCCGGGCGGGCGGCAGGACCCTGACGTTTCTGTGGGTTTGATTGCCGCAGTTTGTGCCGCAGATGTATGATGACGTGAGGAGGGATACCCATGGGACGATGAGTCTCGATTGGTTCTTGTCCCACTGAATTGACAATTGAGATTTCGCGTAAAAGGGAACCAAGAGGATGACGATGAACCCCGTTGCGATTGATAGCGAATATGCAAGGGGAGGAGGACCCTCGGGTTTGTTGCTCCGTATACGGAGTATGCAGGAAATAGTACCAGCACGAAGTCTGCAGTCGGTCGAGTTACCTGCTGCTCATGTTGTGCTGAGTAAACAACGCAGCATGAAGCAACAGGTCCGTAACAAAATGCAAATTCGTGGTGTACAACTACCTTGGGCAAGGCTCACCACATCCGTTCCCGTGACTTGCTGCCGAATACTCTCAACGCGAAATGCAAATACTAGATAGAAGCCACTTCCGCGTAGCAGCACGTGGGGAGACTATCTTGAATCCGCCACATCCCCTACGACAAGGACAAAGGACTTGCCCATGGAGGAGGTAAACGAGACAGCCGAAGCCACACAGCAAAAGCTACCGACAGAGAGAGCATCCATCCATGACGGCACCCATTTTTCTCGGTGGATAATCCCGCTGCCATGTGCCGCCAGCCATGTTCCACAAAAGCCCTTATCTAAGCAAAGCGAATCCGAGCGGACGGATGGGGGGGCCTCGTCACTTAAAGTTGGGCGCCATGCCGGAAGCGGCCGATTTGGAATGGAGAGGGAAAAATTGGGCCCATCCCTCAACTTCGCTGCTGACACACCCTCCCCTCATCGCCCATTAATCATCTTAATCATCCATCCATCCCCATCTCGCAAGCCCCGAAGCCCCGGCCCTGCTGGGGGGCTTCGCGTTTGACAAAGGACGAGCGCCTCGTTCCTTTGCCCGCTGGTTCGTGGCTGGTGTGCTGCGCTGTACCTGGGGCTGAAACGTGGATGATGATGGCGGTTCACGACAAATTGCAGGGCTACTATCAATCTCACTGTGGATGTATGTATGTACGAAGTAATACACGTGCGCGCGCTCCATGCAAGGTCTCCATGCCGATTGGGGTTCCTTTCGACGAGATGAACGGGCAGGTCTGTGCTTTGCTGAACCGTGCCATCTTTGCAGCGACGGCCAATATTACCTAAGAATGCAAAAACATGGTGAAGCTGCAGGGCTGAGAGAGGAGAGAGAGAGAGAGGAAGTGTCTCGGCGACTATCTGAGTCTAAAGCAAGGGCAGTCTTGAGATTTGATCTGGGCTAAAAATACTCCGTACAAACTACAAAAACGACATGGACAACTTTGCTAAGAAGCCACTATTCGCTGCAAGGGGGGGCGCTGAACGAGAACGAGCGGGCAATTAGTCGTCCCGTCCTGATGCATCTGCGGGATTCCGTCTGTTGAGTTGAGATTTGGGCACCTGGAGTAGATGATGACTGCTATTATCGACCTTTGTGCCTGGCCATCGATGATCCCTGTGGAGTTGGAGTGCGCTTCTTCCCTTCCCTTTCTCCATGTGCTACGAAGTGATACGGTGGAAAACGAAGAAGTAAAACCCACAAGCCCGAAACCCACATCCCAGACCCCGACTCGGCATTCGGGCGCGAGATTTGCGCGTATTCAGCCCTTCCAACCCCGTCTTCCCGCTTCGGACTTTGTCAGCAAATCTCAGCAACCCAACCACAACACACACAGCCAGGGAAACACAAATCCCCCCTTTGCCGCAGTCCGGTTCCGTGAGGCTTCATTGGCTCCCAAGGGCTGCCCTCCTCCTCCCCCCAAACCAACCTTAATTGGCCAGCCCAGATTGGTCCCCTCGTACGCAAAGTACTTGTTCACAAAGGTGCAAAAAAGCCAGCGCATTCCTTCCTCCCTGCGCCACGTCGCAAGCCGGTACAATAGTAGCAGCCCCCTTTCCCCCTTAGCTCCTGCTGCTCTGCCAAGGCACCGCTGTGTTGTGCCGCGTCGTCGGCCTGAGATCTCGGGATTGGAGCCCTATCACCAATTGTCATCGTTCAGCCCTGAGAGGATGGGGGATCGAGACTTTTGTGGCTGGCGTGTGATACGTACTCGCACTGCTTCTGATTGACGTGGTCTGTGCCCCGATTAAGGATTGACGGGATCAAGAGCTGCGGGAGGAGATAACGAAGGACAAGGTACGTACCCACCATTGCCGAGGGCCGTCATCGACCGCCTCCCCCACCGGAGGAGTCACCAAAAAATGGAGCCCTCTCATCGACTCAGCCCTACTGGCCGCGCCTCAGGCAAATGAACAGACAAGCTACTCCAGGCATCGCACAGACAGACAGCACAGCGCAGCACAGCCAAACCCCGGCCTAATCTCAGTTGCAGCTCGCCATGGCAGCGCCTGATTGGCTTGAGGTGGTGAAATTGGATGAATTCACGGTGATGACAAGGGACGCAAGGCCTTCTGCAGATTAATTAGGTACTCGTACATACATACATACACATCCGCCACACGAATGAGTTTGAAAGGAGTGAAGAGAGATGGAGCCAGCCAGCAATGGGCTTTCGTAAGGCAAAAAATGATGCCAAGTGCATGCATGCGGACATAGGACATAACGCAGGGCAGCTCTGCACAAGCAACAAGTATTTACGACCGATGAGACAAAACCCGTCTCGGAGCTCCGTCGCACTTCCCGTCTCCACGTCCCGATTCCGACGCAGCGATCCGCGATTCACGATCAACGGGGGGGCTTGAAATAGTAGTAGCCCAATCTGACAGGACTTTTCTTTTTTCTCTATTTTGTTGAGGGCGGCACGGGAAGGGGGATATCGGTGCGGGCACTCGGTATGACGAGCAATTTCAGTTGACGGGGGACGGCAGGCAGGCATCCATGGCAGATTGACACGGCGAGAAGCACCGCTGTTTGGTTTTTAGGTACCTACCCAGCGAACGCAGGGAGACGCAAGCGCAACACGACGCCTTGGAGCGGGGGGGTGGGCAGGAATTCGGCGATGCGACGAATACGCTGAATGTGTGCAGAGTGAACATAAGAAACTTGTACGGGGAGTAGAAGAGAGACAGACAGTGAATTGGGGTTAGTTAAGCAGTCAGTCCGAATTGCCGTTTCGGGCTGTGCTGGACGCTGTCGCGGCCTTTTGCTTGGCAGATCAGATGCGTACGCGGAACTGCGAGTACGACGCTGCGGACGTACGACGTACGACGTACGATATACGATGTGATGTATGTACTCCGTACGATGCACTAAAAACTCGCAGCACCACGAGCACCACTACCCCAGCTCACTATTACTGCAGAAACACCAAGAAGAATGAAGGAAGAAAGGTACACGATGTTACCAGAAAAGAGAAGCCGCGGAGACCGCTTTGGGGCTGAATGCGCGCAAAAGGATTTGAAACCTGGGGTTTCGAACACGTTCACGCGGCTGACTTGGCCAAGCCCCCTTCTCTCCGCCCCCCCCTCTCCCCCCGGGCTGCCATAGCAAAATCGCGAGAGGCCAGATCGAGGGCGTGCAGAGAGGCTGAGATGTTCGAATCGATTGCCCTCTTTTTTAAATTGCTGGTTATGGATCGCGAATGCGCGTCCCCTCTTGTGCAAGGCTTCGCTCGCCGCACTGATGCGCAAATGTGAAACGAATTGTTTTCGCCGCCTCATTACGTATCCTTACCAAACATTGAACTTGCGCAAGTTGAAATGCAGCGATAGCAACAAACAGAAACAGGTGGCAGTGTTTTTTTTCTTGCTTGAATGGCAAGTGTCACACTCACGATCTGCTCTCGAATTGCATTGCCCGAAACGGTAAAATCCGTCGCTCGAGAATTTGTTGCGACTGACAAATTGGGGCGTGCGATGCGAGTTTGGCGATTCGAACGACGCAGACGCCAGCGCCATTGCTCATGAACTGGGCGCGCACGCAATCAATTACTAAGGAAGGAACCAGATGCTAGATAGAAGACAACACCAAACAAGACAGAGAACGAAGGGGGGAGTGTGTGCAGAAAAACCCCAGGCTGCGATTGATAACCATCCCCAAGAAACACAACGATCGCAACAAAGGGTACGTCTTTCCAGCTAGCGTAAAGTCTGATCTCGCTGATGACTGTGCTGGGTGAAATGGGTGCTCAAACTTGGATTACTACGCTATGAAATTGCTGAGAAATAGCAACATGGGCGGGCTCGGATGACGGTCGTGATGTCGGACATTGCTAGCTTGGCTTGTTAATAAGCCATGCAAGGGAGAAGGGAAGAGGGACGGATAGACTGAGAGAGAGCCGGAGAGAAGCGCGGGTGGGGAACGCGGTTCTGATTCATAATCCACTCTGGTTTCGGCTCGTGCTCACGGCCGAATCAGCACGTCTTTGGGGTGCAACGGCTGGCTGGGCCAATCGCGATCAGTAATTGCGCGGGTACATGCCTCTTGGCCCGAGGGAAGCTTCCAGCTGATACCTTTACCTACAGCATGACAAGCGCTGAGCGAGAGCGAAGGAGAGCGTACCTAGTGAGAGAGAGCGAGCAGAAAAATCTGCTGGGCTCAACCAAGCTGTGACTAATCGGCCATATGCGAGTGCGAATTCCCTGATGGGGGATAGCAGTAGGCTAACAAGCAGCAAAGTCATCCATCATTAAGCAGCAGCCGAGAGGAGTCACCCAGAATGCCGAAGCCGTCCGCTGGCGCGCGCCCGAAAAGGGTACGTACCTGCTGTATTTGTGATTCTGTCGCTCGCACGAAGCCATGAATTGCCGTGGTATCTCGAAGCCGCGAGGTACCTGGGCGGCAGGCGGCGTGGCAGCCCGGGGTTCGGGTACCTCTCGCGGACGAGCGACTCGCTGTACGTCCGTGGCCGGAGACGCTGTTGCTTGCGCTTTTCGTGCTGGGCTTCCTCGGATTTAGTCAGCGCCAACGTCCTAGCGCGGCCACACGCCCCCCCCTGGTAGTTCTAGTCTGCTGGGATTTCTCACCCCGTTGTTGCTGCTGAATGATCAGCCAATGTCTCACCCCCCTCCCTCGCACTCATCGTGCCTTTTCCCTTCGGGCCCGCGCACGCAAAGTCCGCTTAGCCCGGGCTCCCAAGGGCGTGCCGGTAAGGGTACGTACCTCAACGCCGATGACTTTTTTTTTTTTCTTTGCCGTACCCCCATGGATGGGCTGCCAGACCCGGCTGAGCTTCCGAGTTAAAAGAATGCCGACTCCCCCGACCTTGAGGCTCGATATCATCCATCACGAACAAGCATCACAGCGAGCATCATTACAAGAGAGACAATAACAACTTCTCTTCTTCAACTCGACTACAACATTCAGACAACAACAACTCATAACAACAACGACAACTTGCTCGCACCGATACTTGATACAACACACCGCGGCACACTAGGCATCCAGGCAACTCGACCTATCCCTGCATTCGACTTCTGCCTTGAGTCACACAACTTGCACTATATAATACATCTGCCTCTCTCCACACCTCACAAAAATTCAAAATGTCTGCCTCATCATCACTCCTCCGACAAGCCACCAAGAAGAGCATGTCCATCACTCAGACCTACTACCTGGCCCACAAGGCCCGAGCAAAGCTCTCTCGTGAGGCTGCTCAACCCGATCATGACCTCCGCCTGCTGGTCGGACACGCCAACCTGCTCGACTCTCTGATGCTCGAGCTCGCCGAGGCCGAGCGGGAGCAGGAGCGCTGGTTCAACCAGTCCGTCCGCAACACCAAGAGCACCGCCGCCGCCAACAACAGCCGGCACATTCAGTGGGCCGACCGGATCGAGGAGGAGGCCGTCGACGAAGAGTACGACTCCGACTCCTCCTCCGACTCGGACGACGAGTCCGACTACGACAATGAGGACCTCGACATGCTCAACACCCGCACCACTGTCGTCTCTGCCGCCCCCGCAGTCAAGGTCCAAGAGGACGAGATCATGGGCGACGACGATCTCGAGGAGGACTATGCTCAGCTCGAGCTCGTCCGCACGCCTTCTCACTCCAACTCCCCTCCGGAGCTGATCGACCACGACTCCGAGTCTTCAGACGACGAGGCCATGCCTCCCTCCCCTGCCGATGCCGAGCTGCCTCTGCCCGCCAAGACCGAAGAGAGCGAAGAATCATATTACACAGAAGAGGACTTTTACCTGGGCCAGCGAACACCCGCCGGCCTGGTATCAGCCATCTCAGTCTACTGAGCGACAACAACAACAACAACCACACTCTTCTTGTACGACATTGTAAATGATTCTTCACTTCAGCTCTTTTCAGCATCTAGCGAATGGCATGGCTCTGGGTATTGGGCGCGGCGTTTCTGATATGGTTTTACATGATACCCCGAGAAGGGAAAATATAAAAAGGCACACGGCGTTTCTTTTGCATTTTTCATTTGTTCTATATACACCTACTAGAGAGATTCACAACTTCACGTCTTCATTTTTCTTTCTCACAATGTCATGGCAATGCGATGGATGGAATGGGTACATGGGTACACATCGGTGGGGCCGCTCCCTGGAACTGGTCTTCCCTTTGGTCGAGTGGACCACGAGTTTAGCAGCATGGGAACAAACGAAAAAGTCGAATAGCGATTTTTTTCTGTTTTCCCACAATGACACGAAATTACAATAACAAGAACTTGTTACAAACTCATCTACTACTACTTTCCCAATTGTGTGCATGCAAATGATCTTTTCTCACTCTTTCGGCTGCGGACTGTGACCTGTGATGACCGAATGACCAACAAAAAGCCTGGATTGGTACAATTTCCTGTTTCGGGACCTGGGACGGTTGACAAAGTCCGAGAGCCCGCGGCAATGGCGGATGGGCCGAGCGGCACACACCAGACACTCAACAGGTACCTTTATTACTCAAACAGCCACGGGTCATCAGAATGGCGGGAAGCTAAGCTACCAAGTTTATCGCTCGGACGAAGCGGCATCGGTGGGAAGTTGACACCCCGATAAGCCCTGCACCGGCAACTTTGTCAGGTACGTACCTTGCATTTCAAATCCTCGAGGTCAGATGAGTACCATCTAGACGAGATGCATTGCCGAGGAGTTTGCGGCTCCGGGGCAAGAGGTCGGGTACGTATAGTAGTATTACTTCTGGACGATTATTTACTTGTGGCGAGAGTTGCCGCGAGACAAAGACAGAATCACTGGCACCTTTCGATTGATTGATTATTTGATTGATGGGTTAATGGATTGACATGGTTCTGGTAGACGTTATGCTATGTTATGAAATTGCTAGAGGGAGCTAGAAGAAGAAAAAAATCTACATATACGGAGTCGTACAGGGCTCCGCAATATCCGCCTACCTAACCCAGCAAGAGACAAAACGGAGGCCGTCAAAAAAAAAAAAAAAAAAAAAAAAAATAAGCGTGAAAAATTAGAGGAGAAAATGGGTTGACAGGCCATATGGATTTTGATGTCCAAAGTGGGCGGTCTCGATCTACCCAAGTGGGCATTCTTTCTTTCTTCACCTTAATTGCTCGGGCGCTCGGGTCCCTCCTGGAAACGAGCCTGGACGAGGGTCCCGTGGACAACTCACGACTCAGCATCTCCGATGCTACGAATGATGTTACTACGATACTACAGTACTACCACGGACGATGCAAAGATTAGAGCAGAAAAGAGAAAAATTTTGCTGCAGCGGCGATTATAGCCTGTTTCCTTGCTTGTTTGCTTGATTTTGTGTAATACCAGGCAAGGGAAAAGGGGAAGAGAAGGCAAAAAAAAGCTACGAGGATATACCTAGGTGAGATCCGCTCAAGGTCGGAAAAGAATGGGAACACTTGAGGGGCGGCGTAGTACCATCAACTTTTCACGATGCGTTGGCGTTTTCTTCGATTCGGCTACCTAGGAGGGGGCAGGGGCATGCAAGATGGGAGAGAAAATTGCCGTGATCTGTGTGTACGTGTGCGTGTGTCTGCATCGCCGACGAGATCCTATCCAGATCCTTTTATCATTCGTTACACCTTGATGATGCGTTGCTCCTTTTCTCCCCCTCCTTTTTTTTTTTTTTTGCGGCGAAACGCCACCCCCCTTGCTTAACACTCGCACAGCAAGAAAAACAGGGAAGAGGGAGGCGGAGGCTGGAATTAAAGAGAGGCGGCGACGTCGATTTGCCCAACGAAAACATGCTGCAAGTTATTCACATAACATAACGGCAGGGAAAGAGTCACGATGTTGTTCTGGCGGAGGCTGATTCGTCAGCCGGCCGGGGGGGGGGGCCCCCTGGGGGTGTAAGTACTCGTAAGGCATAACGGCCCAATGATCAAGCTGCGCATGAATCACGAAGTCGGGGGGAATATCTGACCCAACCCTGATGATAACCAAGGATGTGAAAAAGACAAGAAAACAAAAAACAAAAAGCCGGTGTAGGTGTGTCCTGATGCAAGTGTCCGATGCTTGCTTGTTAGTAATGAGATCTGGGCATCCACACAAGGAAGATGCCGAATGGGTTCCTGTTGAAGCCCGTGCCACACACAGGGCCCCATTGCTTTATGGTGTATCTACGGAGTAGATGGATTGGAAATCCTCTGGCTTGCCCTGACCGAAAATCTTGGCACACCTTGGTAGCTTTTGGCCATAGGTCGAACGGACCGGCTTTGCAACTATAAAACACAAATCAAATCAGATCGTCAATCCCGCGCCGGAGCACGAAGGACGTAGTAGTAATCCGTGGGAAGGATCTGCGCGTTTGCTGTTTTGTAAGCCGCAGCCGCAACTTTCTAATTACAAGGTGAAAAAAATGCGGAGTTTGTATGATACCCTGCGCAATTCAAACACACGCCCCTTTGACCTGCTGGTGCTTTCCGGTGCCTTCTGGGGCGTTCCCCTGTCTTCTTCTTCTGCTATCTCCTTGTCCAAGTGACCAGCGCATCGGACATGGGCACATGTTGCCGCGGCGATTGTTAAGCGAGAAAGCGTTATGGGGAGAAGGAGAGCAAAAAACCATAACGAGGAGAGAGAGAGTGGGAATGGTACGCTTCCCCACATTGCATACAAGATCCCGCTCCTTGAACGGAAAAGAGGGGGAGGAGAAGTGTAAACTCCATGGACAAAGATGGCATCACGGAGCGCCGAAATGAAGGCACATCATGAGGGCATTCGGATATTATCAACGAACCATCATCTCATCAGACCATGTGTTATGTGGGCGCGATCGATAGCATGGCTATAATATCGAGAAAAACACACACGCCCCCCCCGGACCCTCTCTCATTCATTCTCCTCATGTTCTGAGGTGCTACGATAATTCTCAAAAATGTCCGTGAACTGTCCCCTCTTGGCGGTTAGTAACTGAATAACCCCTGTCGGCTCTTCACGTTAGCTGCCTCTGCATCGTGCAATGCCTTGTGCCAGTGGTGCTGCCATGATCTTTCTCCAGTGGCCCATTTCGCAGAATGGTACGATTTGCTCCGCAATCTCCATCTGCACCTGGCCTTATCGCGTTGAAGAAACCCGCAAAATGGGTAAAAGGCATGTGCTTAAGCAATTACTACCACTGCCCTAGGAAGTATTGGCTTCCCACATTATCTAATCGCGGCTTCGTCTGAGTGACAACTTCCCGCTGGAACGGCTCTCGATATGACACGCCCCGTTCATCATCAATTGCATATCCTCCAATCCCGTCAGGTGAGGTAGGGCTGACGGGTGCGTGTATCTTGGCCGAGGCAGACGGACAGACCCTACATACAGTGTGTTAGGAGTTGCTGTTCTTTCTTACACTTGGCCTCGATTTGGAAATAATGCCTAGGTATCTGGAGGCAGACAAACTCTCAAAGTTTATTCTTTAGAGCTTCGGTAAGCGCCAACCCCGAGGTCATCATGAACCGTCCCTCGCGGACGACCTCCGTCTCGCGCTTACTTGGCCAATTGGCGGGTTCCCGCCTCGTGCTTGTGGTGTTTTTTTTCGTCCGTTGGGTATCCTCTTATTGGCTGCTGCGAGCCGTGCTGATGAGGAGAAGAGCTTCTTGTTGGGAAGGGAAAGGGAAAACGCCAGAGTAATATCTTAGCGGGCCTTTTTGGCGATCTCTTGAGTTGCCGTTCCGCCGTCTTGCCGTCCTGCTACTTATCCTTAATGCTGCGGTTGTGGTGGTTTTTGTTTGGCTGTTCGTTAGTGCAACTTCTATCCTTGGGATAGGGGAGGCCACCAAGAGCCCTACGAGGCTTGAAGCTTGGGCGGACATAAGCTGGCTTTTTTGGGGGGAGCTCTCTATTTTCCGCACACCCCATTAGAATGCTGATTCATATGGAGAGGTGTCAAAACGAAGAGGGTTCGTTTCAGAGGCGCTACCTAGTATTCTGTGTTTGAAGCGGAGTTTGACAGCGGATGTTGTCCGCATTGTCGGGGTTGCGGCGAGTGTTGCGGCAGCTACTTATTGATAGGTAAGACATCTTGGCCGCGGCGGGTTGGCAGGGTTCTGCTGGATGCGCCACATGCCAGTGCTGCTTTTAGCACGTCAAGCCACAGGCTGCGGATGGAGAGCCGACCAGCGCCGTCCTTTGCATACCTAAGTCGAGTTATGCAACTGCAGGCGAAAGTGGCAACAACCTGGATAGAATTGGGTTTTGATATCTGATGAGTCGAGGATATGGAATCGAGTTTCGAATGAGTAGGCGACGAGTCGACCATGTGAGCCATCATGGTACTCTGCAAGAAACTTTTACCCAAATAGACTCTTCAATTCATCTACTTTTCTTCTTTCTCATCTATTAGTCTATGTATCTATCTTGCTTTGACTCAGGTCATGCTTTGTAATATCTGTTCCAGATAATCGTAAGTAGTGATAATCGTGGAGAGCCTCGTCGTATCATTGCTTTTCGGAGAATACCTTTGCTTCAATCCTCTTTTTGAATCTTAACGGCGCCAAGAATAGCGCTGCCCCAATGAACATGCAGCCGGAAAATATCTGAACGTCCAGGTAGACGGGAGCCTGCCTCCGTCGAAGTCCCAGAGCCATGGCCTCGGCAACTAGAAACAATCAGCCATCGCATTCAATGAGTGTATAGCACAGCAGACCTACAAGCCGATGGGACAGCGGAGATTTTCCACACTATGGACAGCGCCGAGGGGAGAAGCTTCATGCCAAAAGCATCTGCTAACATGGGTCCGACCATCTGTTAGGCCGTGTCAGTTCTGGTTTCAACTCAAGTATAGAAGCAGGAGATACTCACAGCCCAGCATGTACCAATTGTTGTCCCTCCAAGGATAGAGAACGCAAGCAAGGCCGCGTACGACGTGCCCGATGTCCAGAGGCACAAGCACCATATGCCAGCCAGCAGAGTTGCCGATATCACCATATTCAGTCTTCCAACACGGTCACTGAAGTAGCCCACAGTAGGCCTGCCGATGGCCATTCCAAGATTAGCCAAGGCTCCCAGGATAGCCCCTTGATGAGCAGTGAGGCCGATCCGAACTGCATTATCCGGAAGCGAGAACAAGACGCATGTGTACCCAATGATGCTGAGAAACATCCATGCCGAAATAAGGAGAAGCCGTGGTTTTCTGACGAGGCCAAGATCAAACGCGCTCTGAGTCGGCTTGATGTGCTTGTTCCGGTCCTTGATCAGGATGATGCAAACGGCGTTGACTGCAGCGGTGCAGATGGCCGTGATGCGAAAGGCCCAGGCAACGCTAATGTTGTATATCATGGCCTCCGTCGACAAGCTGTATATCAAGCCCCCAATGCCGCTCCCCGCCGCAGCAATCCCATTCGCGATGCCCTTCCTCCGGGCGAACCACTGGGGGATGATGCCAATTGTGCCAATGTACAAGAACGAGCAGCCCCAGCCAAAGAGGAGGCCCTGCGAGAGAAAGAGCTGCCACGACTGCTTCGCGAAGCTGGCCCCGATCAGGGCGCCGGCTTCCATGACCGCGCCGATGACGAGAGGGGGCTTTGTGCCGAAGACGCGGGTGGCGTGCGTGACGAGGGGGGCGATGAGCAGGATCTGGGACTGGGAGAGGCCGCCGATGAAGGAGTAGGCGATTTCTGAGGTGCCGGGGAAGGCGTTTGTTGAGATGTAGTGACTGAGATATACGCCGAAAGCCTGTGAATCAGAGAAGACGAGTTAGATGCTGCATGCTTGGAGGGAAAATCCTATATGATTGTTGCTGCTGCTGCTGCTGCTGTTCAGGAGATGCTTGGACTCACACCGTTGACACCCCATGTGCTCGCTGTGATCATCAGCTGGCATACCACGCACACCCAGCCGTATCCGCCATCATGTTTATCTGCTTGTAATTGTTGTTCTTGTGCACAATCCTGATCGAGAGTCTCTTCCGAAGCTGGAGTCTCGAGGTATTCTGTAGCCTCATCATCGCTGGTATGATTCTGTAGGACCGTCATTCTCGTTAAGCAAAGATCTAAAGAAACAATGGCGAAATAAAGTTATACTTTGGCGGCCATGTAAAAGAGTCAAGGCATTTATAAGGAGTGTCAAATTCGCAATATCTCATCCATGATGACACTATTCTCTCCTTTTGCATACACGCATCAATACTACCTGTATTATATACATGAGCAAATATGAGCTCATGACAAAGCTCTTGGAAATATCAATTCCGAATACCATTTTAATACCGGGCCCTGTCGGCCAATTCAAAAGTAACAATCAAAAACTTTTATGGTATTATTCGCTTTCGTATCTCGTTCAACTCGTCTCTCGTGAGGCTCGGCGATGCCATTGCATCTGCCGTGAGCTCGCTGAGGCCTGCCTAATACGGGTTAGCGCCCGCCATGTCGCGACTGGACGTCATCCTGTGAAGCTCTTCAGAGCATTCCTCGGAGAAAGCAATTCTGCCAAAGGGGAGAAAGTCCATGCATAATAATTTTGTCAGTGGCGGTACAGCCTTTTGAAAGACTATGTTACAGCTTGGTGTGCCCCTGGAATATTGACCTTCCTGGGCGATTTCAACAAGAGGGAATTGATAGGTTCCAATTTCCTTCGCCACGTGTTTTTTGGCACATATTCGGAGCATGATGTAGAAAGCATTGGAGACTTTGGTTTTTCAAATGTGAGATATAAATTTTGCTATACTAATGTGAGGTATTTGATTTTTCTGTAAAGTTATTGAACCCTCCGACGGGGATTCTTGCCGTATGAGCTCCGAATTATGTACATATCAACCTTATTGAAGCCAGGTCTGCACAACCTTGGCTCGCCGTCAGACCTGAGACACAGTCCTAGAGACAACTTCACTTTTGTGAATGACTCCCATTCTCCTTATTCCCATTCTCCTTGCTCCTATTCTCTCTACTCCCATTCTCACTCAAGCTGTCATTAGCTCCCCTCTCCGTGACTCGGACTTCGTCGCCAACTCGAAGCAGGGCCCCATTTGGGCCTGCAAAGGACCACTGCCCAAACACTGGCTTGACTGGACGAAATATGTCAGTATCAATATCTTGGGAAAGGATATGATAATTCCCTTACGAGGATATGCCTTGTTTACACGCCTGTCTTTCGCTATCAAGCCGTAGACTTGTGTGCGTCGTGGGGATCCAGTCCCTGTCTCAATATCGGCGTTGACACTTAGGCAGCGAGGGGTCTTGAAGACACATCGAATGATTGCTTTAGGAGTAGTTCCATCTTCCGCGAATACTGTGAGCTCTCTCCAGTGATCCTCGTCCCACGGCGCAACGGATCCTACGTCGACGTGAATATTAGTGCGGAAGCGGAGCAAGACATCTTCTTGCTGATTTTCTGGCGGTAACCGGGACCGAACGTCCACCTCGGATGCCGTCGATGTAACAAGAAAGGGTGCAGCATCTGCGAAGCGGATTCGCTGGGGCTGAAAATGATCACCCGCAGCTCGAATTGTCAAGGGAAGTCGATGTTTAGGAATATATGCGGCTCCTGGGATCTCACGGCTGCCCGAGCCGGAGATATATAGCAGTCTGGTCGGTATGTCGAGGTGTTTGGTGAAGAACTCCGCTGGGCCGTCTCCCATATCAACTCCCGTGGCCTCCGTGCCGAATATGCTCACTTGATACGACGGCGCTTCCAGACATGACAGCGGCGACGGCGTAAGTGGAATGGTAATTGAAGATTCCGGCTGGGCCGTCCTGTGCTTGATGGTCAGCTCGGACCAGTCGTCGTTGATTGACGGCTGGAAGAGCACCAGCTTATAAACCAGCTTGACGGTGAGGTGCTCGGCCAGATGAGGTCGTATCGTCGGATGGGTCCGAGGGTCTCTGACGAGGATATACTGTCTGTCAAAGCGAAACCCTTCACTTGTAATCTCGGCAATGGACACTTCAATTGGCAGGAGTGACTTGACCGGATAGATGAACAGCTAATGGAAGCTGTTAGCATGTGGCCTGTATGACTGCGGGCCAACCTGAGAGAGAGAACCCCCAACTCGACATGAGACGGTGAAGGAGCGAGCTGGTAATACCCTTTGGATTTTCATTTTGGCTGTCTAATGGCTGTCGGCCAGAGTTGCCGCATCTACACGTGTATGTAGGGTTGCGCTCAGCATCGCTCGGCGCTCGGCCTCATCACCACTATTCCGGATAGCGCAGGCGGCCGTCACCATTCGCTGCTGGTTGATGCTGATGTTGATGCTGATCTTGGGCAGTCTCCGCCCGGTGACGCCGTCGATGGCCCTTCTGCTGTGTCGCAGAGGGCTACACTGCCTACGACCAGATGGTATGGCAAGAAGATTGAGACAGTGAGCAAGGAAAGTAGAGGCCGAGAATCCTTGACGGTTTAAAGTGGTTCACAGCAGCCAGACGTGCCCGAATCGATGAGAGAATGTCGACGATGGATGACAAAGGTCGTGCTCGTTGTACCCTTGTCTCTCTATCTGACTTGCCCAGTTCGGGATGGCCTCGTCTCCGGCCGCTATTCCCAACATGGGCATTGTCGGCGATTCGCTCGCTCACCTTCGCCTTGAACAAGGCCGACCTGCTCTCGAACAACCCCCAGAGCTCATTCAACCTCTCATCAACCACGTCAAGCCACTCACGCGGGCCGCTCGGTGACTCGGCCCAGGGCTTCATTTTCATCGACGCACTCGTTCTGCATTAGGATCGCGGGAGCGAGCATCGAGAGTCGGTTGTGCTTTGATTGACCCGACACGATGGAGGTTTCCACCGTGCCCTGCACCCTCTGCAGGAAGCGCCGTGTCAAGGTATGTACCGCGTCCACGGCGAATAGCTTTCCTACCTGCTATTCGATTGTGCGGCTGTCTCACACCTCCTCAGTGCGACAAGCGCCTGCCCGGCTGTGAGCGATGTGAAAAGTCGTCTCGCTCATGTCCTGGCTACAACCATCTTCGCAGGTTCCTCGATGAGAGCCAGAACCTCCGCAAGAAGTTCTCGTCGGCCAGTGCCAGCCCGCAGGGAAGCAGCCTTGCCAAACCCGTAAATTCACACCCTGTGACTCAGCCGTCTTCTGCTTCATCGCCGTTCCTTGGCTCCTTGGATACGGCATCACTGCCCACGGCAACAACAACACCAGGTGAACCTGAGCTTGGCCGGACACAGGCCGAAGCTTCAACCCCAACTGACGCTCGAGCTCAAGTACAACATGAGGCTCTACAAGACTCTGGTCTGGAGGGGCCACCGCCGGGCATCCCTCCTACCCATCAAGGGATACCTGACCCTTCGTTTCTCACCACTGGGAATATCTCTGACACAGACTTTGAAGCCAGCTTCTTCGATATTGATCCTCAAATATACTTTGCCGACGGGAACAACTGCTGTGGATTCATACCTTCCCTTTCTTTGATAAATGATGCCAATGGCCCGCAAGGACCGTCGCTCTCCTGGCTTGGCGACGTTAATCTGGAAGGATTCGCACAATCTGGATTCGACATGGACGCAGATCGATCAGAGAGATCAGAGAGGTTAGAGACGGAACAGTCATCTCCGATGCCTGACTCTTCGAATGAGACCGACCAGGAAACTGCATATCTCATACGATATTTTGCAGAACGAATCAGCCCGTGTCTGGATGTCTTTGATATAGAGCGATTTTTCGGACACATTGTGCCCATCAAGGCAATAAGGAGCCCTCTTTTACAAAACGCTTTGGCCGCCATCGCGGCTAAGCAATTCGGGAAGACGAAGCGAGATACCTACACGTCAAACCATCAGACCCCTGGCCGGTCGATGCTGGAGCAGTACTCTGACACGGCTCACATTGACTGGTTCTACAAGGCGGCGAGCTTTTACGACAAAGCCATCGGCCACATGATGAGACTGCTGCAAACGCTCCGTGACGGCAGCCCTTCGCCATCACCAGCAGCCACACCATCGTCCGTGGACATGCCGTCGAGCTTGCATTCGGCCGTGTCACCCTCGTTCAAGAGGCGCCGAGTTGGAAGTGACCAGGGCTCTCATAACGTTGTGGACGATCTTCTGGCGGCAATATCTGTATTCCTTCTCTACGAGTCTCTTGACAATCGCCTTGCAGAAGTCTCCAGGTACACTTCTTGATGCCCCTCTTTCTACTGCCACCTCATTAGCTAACGATGATCCTCATTAGACACATGTCTGGTGCTCAGTATCTCCTGACTTTCAACCTGAGACAGATCTTCGAAAATACAGAGTTCAACATACGCGGCGGAACATATGGACTACACACTCGAAGAGCATGGCAAGCGTCATTTTGGAACATCGTCTGCATTGACTGGGTCACATCTTACGTCGAACAGACCACACCGCGCATTGACATAGAAAACCTTGAGCTCTGGAAAGCTGCCGGGCTGCCGCTATGTGCCGTTGATGGAATTCACATGCCTGTTTCTCTCTGCAACGACGAGAACTCGGGCCACCATATGCAAATGACGGAGACGGTGGCCTGCAGGACCTTGATATGGGTCATGCTGAAGACTTTGGCATTCGTGGCCACGGAAAAGGGTGGCGACAAATTAGCAGAAAACAGCCCGCCGGGAGTTGGCAAGGCGAATCGGAGTCGCTGGGATACCATCTCTCAGCATCTCGACAACTGGTGTGCCGCGCTACCAGATACCTTTGAGCCCTGCGCAAGAATAGCCCAGAGATACAACAACATCCCCACGCCTTCGGACAACATGGCGCCCAGGTCGGAATTTCAAAGTGTGTTTCAGGAGCTCTTTTACGCCAACGCCATGTGCGCAACAGCTGCAGTCCTGTATCATTTCGTGCAGCTCCTTCTGTTGCTTCACAAACCGCTCAACCAGAAGCTATCAGAGACACATCCAGAATTTGTGGCCAAGCGCCTCAATGCGTATCGCCAACTGTCATCCCAGATTGAGGGACATGCTACCGAGATATGCGCAATATCCCTGGGGCGACCAGACGATCCTGTTCGGCTTCATATGGTGCAACCGCTGTATATAGCTGGGCTTTGCTTCGAGACTCATGAGCAGAGAACGGCTTTGGCTCAGCTGCTTACCAGTATTCAAAGAGAAACCGGGTACTCAACGGCGGAGAGAGTTGCAAATTTGCAACAGCATTGGGGATGGGATAACACGCCGCCAGCGCTTGACGTGATATGAATCCACGGCCCAGATGCTTGGGGATGGGAGAACGAACAATATACGAACGCCTGAGCGACGAAGAGTTGCAGTACGGTAACTCGTAGCTCAAGGTTTATACATAAACTGACGACTATATAATGAATTTGAGATGGCGTTGGCTTCATACGTATTTCTTGTTAAGAGGCTTCGCCTCTTTTGTGAGTGAACCTGAATCCTAGATAACTTGAACTCGAGGAAATATCACGCCCAGAATAAGATCATCATTCAGACGTAGGAGGTAGACTCAAGTGGTGTAGAATGACGAGGACCGGCGCTTTTCCATATAGGGCAATTTCCAGCGAGCCATGTCTGGTCAATCGTTCAATCTTGGCGCTGTGTTAAAAGTATTGTGCTTGTTTTCTCAGTAATAGGCTCATGGTTCATTTCAATCATTGAAATAACAATAAGCTCTCAAGAGGGATGTATGTCAAAACTCTCAGCAACCTGTTGATGAGCCACGAAGAGGTTACGCTTACTTGTATGTCGTGCATAACTTGCATAAAGCGCCACAGTTGGTACGAGAAAGCGTTCGTGAAATCGGCAACAGCACTTAGCCTCATTGAGATAGGTACCTCTAGGCGTGGAGCGCTGAGCTGCTTAGGTAAGGACGGATGCCGACTTGCGGCTCGTCTGCTCCTTCCCGCTGGCTAGTAATTACTAAGGCAAGATGAAACGAAAGGCCTGGAGATCTTATACATGGCCAGACCAGTTCTTTCACTTGATCATTGTCCTTTCACCATGGCCTCAACCACGGGGAACAATTCTACGAATGGCAAATTTGATATTGAAAGATTTATCAGATTTGGACGGCCATTGACTTGGTCCGATACCACCACAGCTTGCCTTCCTATCCCAAGGCGAGAAACAAGCTCACCGGCAGCGAGAGTTCTCAGATACACCAAGCTTCCATCTTCTGCTACACGCTCCAGGGCCATTCGGAAAGATTCCCTACGCCGGGAAGATTTTAGCCGCCATCTGCATCTCGCTCGCGTGACTCCGAACATCGCTCGTCCCCGTGCGTCCTGTCCTCTGATCGCCGTGCACCGAGTGCCTTTGGACCGTGGTGTTTTCGTTGACTCCGATCCGCCGAGGAGATAAGTGCTTCCCTTTCGGCCTCCGATCGCGGTGCCTGCATGACCAAGTCAGGCGTGCCGGCCTTTACAAGAGCCGTTGCAACACTCCCCCTCCTTGCCGTCCACTGTCACCGCTCTCAGGAACCAGAAAGACAGGGGGAGGGGGGTTCCAAGGGCGTGGATGATCGCCTTGGTCGGTTGATCGCGCAATTCCGGTGTCCGGGACCCATCGCTGTCCATCACACGACCGAGGCTGCCCCACCTTTGCCGGCATCGAGCTTCCCCATAGCACGGGCAGCACCGGAGGGTTGACAAGCTTGACACGCATGTTAGCTTGGAGCTCCTATTGGGCTTGGGCTCGGACGAAACCGTTCAAACGCCTGTGCCTGAGGGGTGGCCAGTCCAGTGGCAAACGAATGGGCAAAGTCCATGGAGGCTCGGATTTCTCGCTTTGCTCTGTCAGCCGGCTTTTATGGCTCTCCCCCGCATAACGCTTTTTGCTGGAGCACGCGGACTTTGGCGGGCCTAGGCAACGATCATAGTTGGCAGGGCCTGTCGGTGGCTGAAGGATCAAGCTGGTATTATGTACCGAGCGTCGCCAGCAACGCCTCCATTCAACGGCCCAAAGCCCAGAAGCATGAGCACGAGGGAAACAACGCCCCGGACCATCGAGCTGCGAGCTTTCTCCTTGGCAGCTGTCCGAGGAGTCAACTCTTCCAAATTAGCAGAGGATTTAGTGCCAATCCGTCCGACCTTGATAGCTGTCTACTTCCAGCCATCCCGACTATCGCCCAAGCTCACATGGCTCCAACAACCAATCACCGAAGAGCTTCGGCTCACTCCCTTCTGATCGCTCTGAGTCTATCGGCGATCCATGATGAGGTGGAGGGGGTGTGAACCGACGCACGAGCATTTGTCAGGCTTCGACTCACGATTAGCGCCGGTACTTATCAATCACCGCGACCGCCCCTTAGGTCTGAGTGGCTTCCCTCTGGATGCTTACGTTAATCGCGGAGGAGGGGGACGGAAGTTCATGTGGCAGCCACGCATTTGCCCTCATTGTTCGCCTCAACTCGTGACTTAACACTCCTATGGCGCCGGCTGTTGCGGAGCTGTGGGTTTCCAACCTCCGGCAGGTTGGGACCGGAAATAGCAAGACACTGCTCGCTTATCAGCCTTGGCGGGAGTGAGGAGGGTGAGACTTCGGCTGTCATCTGGGGTAAAGGCGTTAGTTGGAGTGGTTCTCATTGATCAGTTCACCGAAGAGGCGTGCCGGGCAAGCTTACAATGGCCGCGCTTAAGACATACATTTGGAATGGAGTAGCCTATCTAAGGTGTTCACCCTCTCCCACTCTTGTCCGAGCAGAACCAAACCAATCACCGTCTTGGGTTGACCTTCCGCCCTCGGAAAGGCTCTCGGAAAGTCGAGTTGCCGCTTACTCTGACCGAGTGTGTTCAATGGCCGGTCTTACAGAGCAATGGCACTTACACGCGGGGAACAGAGTCCAAACGATCTTTACAATTAAGCGACCGCGGCTATTCGGACTGACAAAGCTGGTGTTTGAGCAACTTAACCGCCAGCTTGGTAAGGCTAACCGACAAGACGGCACGATGGACGATCAGGTATCCAGACACCTTGCTAAGATCCCGTCTTGGGGATTTAGCTTTGGGTACAAAGCTTAAAGCAATGTTACGATAGCTTTGCGGAGGCCTCTGCAAGTGGGAAGCTGTGCTCTTCACGCCGCCGAGCTCTGCATTTGGGCGAAGGGTCTGTCCAGATGCAAGACGAGAGCCGTCGAGCATGCTTTGGGGTACCTGTTCCAGCCTGTCTCGGATGGTTGCGTCTGAGCGGCAAACAGATGGAAGAGATCCGAGCTCTTCTCAATCCGGTTCCCCCCAAGTGCTGACTTTGACCTTGAGCATTGCAAACAAGTTGGGCGACGACAACGATGGCTGGAAATCGCGTCAAGTGTTGGGCTTGCTCGTCTGCAGAAGAGCTTTCTTCACAGGAATATTCCCTGAAGGGTGTTCCACGGCTGCGATGCGAAAGTCGACTTGTCTGGCTTGGAAAAGGCAATCTCTGGGCATCGTTCTGGTCAAATATCAAATATCATCACTCAAAGTTTACAGTGCTGGTGTCACAAATGCCGGAAGGATTGTGCTTACACAGTTCAGGCAGCTATTCGCCGCTTATGAGTCGAGCTTCAGACGTCTTTCGCCCATCACCCAGCCAAATTAGGGATTTGATGATAACGCCGAAGTCTTTGGAATAAGCCAAGCTGCAAACTGCGCCGGATTCGAAACTATTGAATTCTACTGCATATCTCGGCTAAATAGGTGCAACAGTCGCCAATAGTCGAGTACCTTTTGTTTCCGAAGCGCATGCCCTTGGGAGCGCAGAAAGCGACCTGTTACTTGCCTGCATGCCACGTCATGTTCTGAAAACGCACGCATATGTGAGTCCGGACATGTAAATGTGCATTCGGATATGCGGAGTCCTAGTTCGTTTTGGGCGCGATGAAGAACTCTGCCTCGCACTCCTCGGAGCTTCAGCCGCACGAGGCCGGCCATGTCGAGGCTGAACGGCCTCCCAGGTAAATATCGCAATTTGCCCGCAGTCCGCTGCTGCTGATGAAACATCGTGACAAAGGCTGCTTTATCGCGTACGGTTTGCCGTCAATGCTTGAGCCATGGCTGCGAGATCATCAGTTCGATACAACGTTTTTGACGATGCCACGGAGGAATTGAGCGATCTGGAGTTTCATCAGAGAGAACAAAGATCAATCCCGCACTCTTCAAGCGAGACCGAGGAAGATGGCCCGCGACCACCTGATCCTGTGCGAGGGACCGGATGTCCGCTCGAGGTGATGCCAGAATGCCCCAAAGGCCGGGCAGTCAGCTACTCGCTGAAGTGGTACTATCTCCCAGACATATTCGACGACGCGGCGGACTACTTGATATGCGCCAGATGCCATGCCGACTACATCCAAGGAACCGCTCTCGAAATTCAGTTCAAGCAGATAGAGTGGCCCGACGGTGAAATTGCTGCCTGCGGGTTTCGATTCCCTCGAGTGAAGCAAGTCCTTTGGCCAGAGGCCCTTCGAACAAACAATGTGAATCCCCTGCGTGAATTCATGACTAGGCGTCTGCAGATCAAGCGCTGTCCTGAACAAGTCTTGACCGAGGACACTGAGGGCAGACGCCTCTATGGCATGGTGGGGGGCGAAGTTGATGGATTTGTTGCGTGCGAGGCCTGCTTCGAAGACCACATAGCTGGAACCAGCTTCGAGCCCTATTTCGGTACTTATCCTGAGGGGGTCATCACAAAATGGAGCTGCGATTTGAGCATTCCGTACATTTCGAGTGCTGCTGCTTCCATGTCCAAACACAGTAACTGGAACGGCTTCGTGGCCGCCGCTCGTCGTCGACTTCAACTTCCAGCGTGCACAGGCGAGCAGATACGGTCCGATGCCATGCCATGGTACATATCGAAATACTACGGAATCGACAAGTTTCAAGTCTGCGAGACGTGCTATCTAGACAAACTGGCGTTGACCCCTTTCAGGCGTGAGTTTGAACGCCTGTCCGACCACACGGATCTGGAGATGTGGCCCTGCCGATTAACAGACAAGAATCTGTCCACTGCGATGGCGCTGGAGGCAGCGCTGAGAAGACGCGACTTTGAGGTCTTTGCAAAGGCGGAGCAGATCATCTGCAGCCTCGTTCCGTGCACAGCAGACGGGATCCTCTACGGCAACTGGTGGACGCTTGCGGGGTGCGAGAAGTTCAACATCTGCGAGGCGTGCTACGCCGGGTTTGTCCAGACGAGAGACCTAGACCGATTCTTCCGACTGTCGGATCGAGACACCTACACTGCCTACCTGTGCGACTTTTGCCCCGCGAGCCCGCGCTTCTCGCAATACATGTGCAAGTTTGCCGAGATGCTGGACCGGGGCGTCTTCTCGTACCTGTCAGATTTTGTTGGGACGTTTGCCGGCGTGCCTGCTTGTCCTCGGATCAAGGGGAGCGGCAAGGCAAAGTGGTGGGGATATCCCGAGGCCCTGTTCTGCCATGAGTGCTACGTCGACTTTGTGTCTCATACGCCGCTTGGGGAATCGCTGCCGATTAATGGCGAGTACATGGAGCAGGCGACAATCTGCCAGATCTGGTCGCCACGGATGCGCGATCTGTGGCTCGAAGTCTGCAGAGCGGGCGACCCCGGATCCGAAGCCTCGGAGGCCGCACTGGCGCAGTTCAAGACGTGCTGCGTGCAGAGGTTTCAGGTGTACGAGGCCACCATCTCGCAGATCGAGGTGATCCGGACGATGCAGGACATTAAGCGGCAGAGGGCCTTTACCGACGGGATGCTGAGTATCCAGTACAGCGGCATGGACGGCATGGCGTCGATGTTTGGCAACGGGGATGGGTACAGACATGGGAGCAGCAGCCTTGGATGGTTCAACACGAGCTATGGGGCGCAGTCGAAGCAGTACTGGAATAGCTTCAGTCAGGGGCTTACGGATGCGAATCGGCCGGAGGACTGGGTGCGCATTGCGCAGCTGGAGAATCTTTGGAAGCAGGTTGAGTAGGCACCGTCTCTGTCTCTGTCTGTACCTTGGCAGCTGGCATACAGACATGTGTACCCGGCCGCGACACAATACTTTCACATGATTATCAAAGCCAATGGTTCGGATAGCCTGGAAACGTGGCAGTCCTGGATAAGAGGGTGGGGAAGAGTTCTGGAAGAGGGAACGCCGGTCGGTCAGTTGACATTCTTTGAAACTATCAGGAGCGTTCTTTCAGTATAGGAGAAGTGTGATGAACGCACTTCTGTTCGTTTGCTCTCAGGAGCTTAACTTCCTTATTCTCCACGCATCCGTTCACCCATATGAGAAGTAGTTCGCAAGACTTTCATATGCCCCCCTTCTTCTCTTTTTCATACCTTATCTCTTGACATCAGATCAACTGCTTTGTCTTCCTCGGTCTCTTGTATGTCTTGCTGACCAAACCTCGTTCTTTGATACGTCTCTGGACGACCACCCTTGTACATCTACCTATCGATATCTACTTGTACTACGTTCCTTGATTTCATCTACAACATCCGTCTATACCCGTCTACAACATCTACGTCCATTTGATTCAGGCACGACCTCGCCACCAAGCACCAGAACCATGCTTACCATGAAAGCCAACTGCAGACGAGGCCATGCTCATCATGCTTCTCCAGGATCCCAGATGGCCAAGAAGCCACCGGGCATTTTTCACAGCGGCAAAAGTCGTTCCGTTTCATGCCATATCCAGGCTGTCTCGCCTCTCTTCATCCTCCCTCGGATCCCCTTGGTCGCCATCCCCGTCTACCTAGGTATCCATCTGGCAAGAAAAGGTCCGACCTAGACTAAGGCGGCCCTTCCAATACGACATCATCCTCATGCTGCCTGCGAAACGAAAAGCAAATCACCGCCTTGATGACTGCGATGCCTTATCTCACCGGCTTTGATGTGGCACCCCACTCATGTACCATCAAGTCTGGGAGAAACAACTGGAGCGATACTACAACTTCCTGATCCCTGACTACATACAGCCTGCTCCGGGACACACCCTCGCTGTGAACGATGACGGACTACTGACAGCTGTGGGAGTTTCTCTGCCTTTGGTGGTTGACACGAACGAGCCCGGTACCTACATCGTGGGCGGGACCCCCGAGGGAACCCACGCCGGCGGTTGTGTCCTGCTATCAATCGACTTCTGAGCGACTGGGAACGATTGGACTCGAACCGACACCTGACTTGGAGTCCTCACTCAATCGCAACAAGCCCAAGCAAACACCGCTTGCAAGCGAAGTCTGTGGATATCAAATCGCAGGCAGCTCCTCAAAGTGCCGAGGAGTCGGAGCTTTATAGATTGGGGCTTTCAACCCGTCCAAAACTCGTCGCTCGCACGTCCGGGTGAGAATCCGAAAGACAGCCGTTCCGCTTTCCGGTCTCTGCGGAATCTCCTCCCCTGGCGGCAATGGGATGTGTTTTGTCCCCTCTTTATAGAGACACATGGCTGATACGACTCTGAAACCAAGCAAGCCTTCTGTTTGTCGCTCGATTTGGCCTTTACTTTCTGACGCCTTCACAGCGAAGCTACTCCATGGCAAACGACCAGCCATCGTACCTGGTTTCCCAACATTGTTGGACAATGTGTGTCTCGACCCACCTCGACAAAGGAAAAAAAGCCCGAACATGACTGTCCCAAGCGGATCTGCCTTTGGAATCCCTCCGCAGCCATTCCGGCTCCTTGGTGGGCGTTGGTTGCGGACCAGCTGTCCGAGATGACTGGACTCTATGGCCCATTCCTCGCTGCAGACCTCCGTCTCTCCTTGCGTAATCTCGAAATGCCGGACTAGCGATTTGAAGGTATTTCGGAGGCCCAGGGTAAAACCCTTTGTGACCTATACTCATAGCGAAACCCCCTAGCTGGAGTCGTATCTACGAATGCCGGCACTGGGAAGTAAGAAGAAGGCCGCTTCCATCGATCAGTATGGGAATTTAATGACCATGGATGCCTCTGCTTTCAAGCAATCAGCTGTTTTATGATTTAGGTCCGTCTTGCAATGGGTATGCTTTTGTTGGAAGCAACGGCTTGATACAGTATAAAGGGACGGGGAACAGTCAATCACAGTAGCAGACGGCGTCGCCTGGCGGAATCTGGTACCGTAATTGCGTTGCGAGAGGAGCTGGCCTCGTCGCACCGTGGCTTTCTCGTCCAACTCCTGCAACCAGTAGGGCATCTGGGTGTGCAAACCCGACACAATGCAGTTATAGACTTGGGACATGAGAGCCTCATCGGACGTGAGGTGGCACATTCGGTTGACGGAAGAATTGGCTGATACATATACATATGTATATATATATAATATAGGGTCGGTGATTCCGTGACCCAGGTGATCGAAACAATGTCGTCGTTCGTCAGAATGGCCGCATGGGGGTGTCTAGAGTGCAGGAATAAGGCTATTTGCTGCGTGATGCGGCGTAGTTGGTCTGATACCATAGGGAAAACGACTGTCGACAGTCGTTAACGCACAGAAAAGAATTGGAAGACAAAATAAAGGAAAGACAAAGTCTTGGATTGAGAGACACAAACAAGGGATCTCAGCGTGTTTTCAAACAGAAGTCGGTTGCTGGAAAATGAACAAAACAAATGGCAATCAGGTCGCAGACCGTCTGGTGCAATTGCTACTAGTTGATTTGTGTCTGGCTAATCGTATGTATGCCTTGATAGACGCCCAGGGCTACGCCCATCATACCGCTACAACTATATATATATATATATATACACATGTATATGTATATACAAATATCACTCCGGTCACATTAGCTAGGATAGAACCTAGACCTTCAATCGATACACTTTTCCTTGTGACCCCTCCCCTCAGTGCATCTTCTTGACAAGTTTTGTATCCACACAGGGCCGACTAGACTTCTGGTATAAGGAGGACGGGGTTCCTCAAGTGGCTGATGCCCCTTTTTAATTTGCTTCAGAAGACCTTTGCCAGACAGTGAGTTGCTATAAGCGAGTCTTTCGAAGGTGAAAGTCCTCGAAATACCCAGAATTAGACGTACGAACAAGGCTAGATTGATCTCGTCGTATCAATAGCCCTATCGATATACGGACCAATGGCTCGACTGAAGTAGGACAAATCATGTGGCGGATATGACTGCTGGTTTATCACTTGGCTGGAAGGCTGATTGTGTCCTGACAATGATGGAAGTAGATTTAATACAAGAGACCCAATAGCCAGCACATCTCTGAGTGCAAGAGCGATTTGCAGCTCACCAGGTTCGAGTGGCTCTCTTACAGCCCCCCTTTCTTGAAATCCCCTTTCACCCCTATTCGTTATCCATTGATTATAGCATCACAATCTCCAAATACACGGACGCAGCATGTTCACAGTGCCTTATAATAAATCTAGTTTCATGATGAAGTAAGGCAACTTCAGCACCGTTATACAGACTGGCACGCCTATGCAAACCTGCCGTGACACCCCTCCCCTATTCACCATGAGAAGAATCACGAATTCCCAAAAGCAGCGTTTACAACTTCTCAGTCCCAATGTTTCTTCCCCTCGTCAAGCAGTAGACTTGGGAATCCCCCCAAACGACCAATCACAATCTCCACGAAGCGCCCTCTTCTGGTAAAGTTGGAGATGGAAACGCCACCGCCGATATCAGATTGGCTTTGGGCAGCCCAGTTCTGGGATGTCTACGAGCTGAAAGAAACCGGGTTGCATGTTCTGCCTGCTGTTAGAGCGCCACAGGCGTCGGATTGATGAAAACTTTGTGAAAGGGGAAGCCGGCTTCATGGGAGGCCATGGATTAGTGAACATGGAACATGCATATGGCTGGTGATGAGAAGCCGTGGCGACTGACTCTATTCAGTCGTTGATATAAGGCTGGATGGGAGCTCATAGAGGTTGGAGAGCTCATCAATACTCGGATTTCAACGAGAATCAACTCACGACCCTTCATCAGACTGCCTCAATCGAGTCGATCGAAGTTACTCACTACTTCCGTGAAGCAACCATGCCAGGCAAAGTTGAGTCAAATCACAACAGTTCAACACAAACATCTACTCACCATCAACAAAAACGACAACAACAACACAGGTCGTCACTCGCGAAGAATGGCTCACCGCCCGACGAGCCCTCCTCGCCAAAGAAAAAGAACTCACCCACGCGGGCGACGCCCTCGCCGCCGAACGCCGCGCCCTCCCCATGGTCAAGGTGGACAAGCCCTACCTCTTCCAGGGGCCCGGCAACACGGCGCCGCTCTCCCTCGACGACCTCTTTGGCGGCCAGGAGCAGCTCATCGTGTACCACTTCATGTTCGACCCGGCCGACGACGCGGGCTGCCCGGGTTGCACGCACATGGGCGAGTCCCTCCCCGACGTGCGCCACCTGCGCTTCAAAAACACCAACCTCGTCGCCGTCTCGCGCGCGCCCATCGCCAAGATCGAGGCGTACAGGAAGCGCGCGGGCTGGACAACGTTTCCATGGTACTCCTCTGGCGAGTCCGACTTCAACTACGACTTCCACGCCACGCTCGACGAAGAGAGGGTCGCCCCCAAAGAATACAACTTTGCAGAGCTCAGCGAGGACGACGCGCGATTCAGGCCGGACTTCAAGGGCGACGTGCCCGGCTTCAGCGTCTTCTTGAAGCAAGGAGGCGACATCTATCACACGTACTCGACGTTCATGAGGGGAGGCGAAAAGGTGCAGCCTACGTTGACGCTGTTGGACATGACGCCCTTGGGGAGGAGGCTTGTTTCGCCGGGCGATTTTAAGCTGCGGAACGAGTATTGAGGCCTTGCAGATTGTTCTTCTTTTGTGGTGTTAGCTGGAGGAGCAAAAGTTCTGACATGGAAATGAGTTGTCAATTCTCCCCCCTTTGCCTCTGTTCTGCCGCTGACGACATGTGATCCGGTGGCTTGACAAAGTTGTAAGTTCCGCTTGGGGAGCTCCAAGAGCAGCCAGAGTCAAGCAGTAGCAGTATTCTAGTACTACCAAGGTCCCCTCGAGATGGAAAGCTCACAGAAAGCTTTGTCATTCCATACGTAAGTAAGCTCAAAACATGATTTGCTTCGTTGTCCAGAAAGTCAGCCCCCTTAGCGGCTGATGCCCGAAAACAAGTGCTTATCCAGCTTTTGGGCCTCGTAATACTCCATCCTGCATGGGCGAATATGTACAACATCATTGGATTTCCACTTATATATTTCCTTGTCAAGCCCAGATTCCAAATGCTAGCCCACCCACGATGCCCTTATTAAACACCCATCGCCGCCTCATCCCACGACCTCGACTCTATCAACCCTCTCCACCCACTCTAATACAATCCCTCCCCGAATCAAAAATAAAAACATGACAACCTCAACCTTCAAAGACACAAACCTCCTCACCTTCCCCCACACAATCCCCGACCCCCAGGAATCCGCTCCAGCCCTCCTCTCCCGCTGGTCAGACACCCTCGTCGACTCCCCCCCGGCCCTCATCGCCGTCCCAAACACAGAGCAGGACGTCGTCTCGGCCATCGCCTTCGCCCGCAGCAACAACCTCGTCGTCCTCGCCACCGGAGGCCGCCATGGATCCGGCATCCCCATCACCCCCAGGACGCTCTACCTGGACCTGAGAAACCTCAACGCGATCCAGCTCGACGTCCTCAAAGAGCAAGTCACCATAGGAGGCGGCGTCCTCACGGGTGATTTGATACGGCACCTCGCCGAGGAAGGCTACTTCACCGCCGTCGTCAACTCAAACGCAGTCGGCGTCGTCGGCAGCTTCCTCGGCGGCGGCAACACCTCCGTCAACGGCCTCGTGGGCTGGATGGCCGACAGCGTCGTCTCCCTCCGCATCGTCACCGCCGCGGGAGACGTCCTCGAGGTCGGCTCCTCCTCCTCCACCGGCGAAGAAGAGCGCGCCCTCTTCAACGCCCTCTGCGGCGCCGGCCACGGGCTCTGCGTCGTCGTCAGCGCCACCATGCGCGTCTATCCCCTCAGCTCCCTCGGGCTCTCCCCGACCAGCAGCGAGGACCCCACGCCCAGCATCTGGAACCGGACAGTCATCCTGCCCCCTGACGCCATCGACTCCGTCGTCAACACCTTCCTCGCCTTCGTGCCCCCTCCAGAACCCATGAACATGATCCTCGCCTTCTCCCGCGGGCCCCCGGGCTCCCCCCTGGCGGGGAAGCCCATCCTCGTCCTCACAAGCACATACTACGGCCCGGCCAAGGACGCCGAGGACTCCCCCGCAGGCGCATCCCTCCGCCGCCCGTCCCTCGCCTCCAAGGCTCTCAAGACAGACACCACCCAGGTCCCCTTCCCCCGCGTCAACGCCGGCGTCGAGGCCCTCAACGCCCACGGCGGCCTGAAAACCATGTTCTCCGCCCGAATCGGCCGCCTCTCTTCGCAGGCCCTCAAGGACGCCTACGCCCGTTATGTTGCCGAGACGGATCGCTACCCCGACGCCCCTCGCACCGCCATCATGTTCCATAGCTTCAACCCCCGCAAGTCTGCTGAGCTCAATGCGACGCCGGAGGGCGCGGGCAAGTTCCTCGAAGGCCGCGACAGAGGCATCTGCATCGTCGGGGTGTCGTGGTGTCAGGAGCCTGCCACCCAGGAAGCACTCGCTGTATTCTTCGACGAGACTCTGGCGAGTTTGCAAAAGGCCGATGAAGAAGACGGTCGTGGCCCTTGGACCTTTCCGGGAACGTTTAAATTCCTCCCTGAAAGACGGAACCTGCTTTCCAGGGACAAGCTGGCTGAGCTTGATCGGCTACATGCCAAGTGGAATGGCGATGGACTATTTTGGAATCCGTATAAGGCGTAATGTCGGCCATGTCAGGAAAATGTAAAGCAAATGGACCCTTGTTCATGCTTCCAGAAAGCATGGTAGTCACCTGTATTTGATTTTAATCATGAAATGTATTATATTTCTTTTGCATTTCTCTCCTCGTGCTGAGTGCCAGCTGGACCCCTGATCTTGCCTTTGTCAAAATCCTCATGAATCGGCTGTCTTCCTCTGGCCCTAGTAGGCAATGGTTTTTGCAGTCCCATGGCCATAAGTTGACCGATAACCTTCTATGCGTTTTTTGGTCCCGTAACTGAGCCATGGCCGGCTCAGGCATGCATATACTAACATATACCCCGTATCTCGATTTCCCTTGTGGATGCCTGTAAACTGCTCGCCTTCATACTTGCTGAAAGAGAAATGTCATTACACCAACGCCACGTACACTTCATAACCACCATTCGCGTGTCATGAAGCTATCAATCAATGATATTGCGCATGCCCTGGGGCACAGATTTGGGAGATATCGTTTCCCTTGGCCTCTTGAGGCTGTATTGCTGCGTGGGCGCAGCCGAATTGAAAGGAGGTAGAGCGTTTGACGCGCTCAGTGGAGTGGCAGAAGAGTAGCTCTGAGGCTCAGCCTTGATAGCCTTTCGATTCGGAGCCGATGGTAATGGCGTGCGGGAAGGTTTTCCGTCCTTGCTCCCCTGAGAGAAGCTTTTACCAGTTTTAAACAGGTCTGTAACCACATTCTTGGGAGGTGCCTTGGGTTTGGCGGGCTGCTTCGTCTTCCTGGAGCGGGGCTTCGCTGCCTTGGTCTGCTTGTCATTCTGCGGAGGCTCTCTTCCGAGAGGGAGTTTGACTTGTTTCTTGGCCGCGAGCTTGGGGCTGGGTCGTGGCGTGGGAATGGCCTCTGGGCCGAGGTCATGGTGGAGATCTGGCGAGCTGGAGGGGAGCGCAACCTCAAGCTTGGTGTTCTTGAGCCGCTCTTGGTTTTGGCTATCCTGTTCCGCAGACACCAGGAAGTCGTTGCCAATGTCGCAGTCCCATTCGGGCAGCGCTGCGAGTTGAGCCACTTTGTCGCACGGAGAGCGGACGACGAGATCCCAGCAGTCCTTGAACAGCGCATCCTTGGGTTCTGCGTCGGTATTGATCCAGATTGTGAGGCCATCCCTTCGGCCCCTTGCCACCTGGCACATTTCCCTGACCAGTCTCCTCGTGCCCGGGACCTTGAGAGTAGTTCCGACGACAATGACACAGTCCGGTCGGGCCTTCAGGTCGGCACTCGAAACGTTGCCAATGGCTTCTTCGTCGGGATTATACTCGTTGTAAAGCACGAACCGCGGTCTTAGACGTCCAATTCCGTGACTTCGTTTGCCTGCATGCCTTGTTCGGACTTGGTCGTCGACTGTGCATGCCTCGCACAATGGAGCCTCGGGGCCGTCGAACAGCTCCCTGTTGAATGGTGCCAGGTGGCCACATTTGCTGCAAACCATCTTCTGCAACCCACCATGGAGCTGAATGGTAGCCGGCCAGGGAGCCTTGAGAGGCAATGGTACCTCGGTCGCCAGCGGCTCCATGTTTGCGTCGAGGCCGTCGATGTTCTGAGAGTACAGCCGCAGCAGTCGTCCTTCCTGGGCCAATGACGCGAGCAGACGATGGAAATCCGTGGGAGTCGCCTTCTTGGACAATTCGTCCATTTCCCGCACCATGGTGTGGAAATGCTGCGTCGAGGAATCATGTCTGTAGACAGACGCGTCAAACAGGTGCTTGCCTGAGCCTTTGAGCTTGTGTTGGTTCTTGGCACGCGCAAAAAGACCAGAAGACGACCGAAAGTCAGGAATGCCCGCCGACACGGAAATACCCGCGCCGGCAATGACGACAATCTTCTTCTTTTTCCTCAACGCCGCAACCAGCCTCTTTTCCTGAGCCCTCTCCGCTTCTGTCATATCCTTGTCCTCCTTATTCAGGTAGTTCAAATATTCGGTTGTGCGTTCTTTGGGTTGATAAACCTTGCGTCGTTTTGCCGGAGGTTGGTCGTCATCCGCGCTCTTGGAGGACTCATTGTCGTACACGGGCTGTCCAAGGCTAATGGTAGCACTTATTCTCATGGGAGACTGAGCTCCTGAGGCAGTCGTAGACATGGGCGAAGGGTAGCGCCCTGAAGGGTCGAGCGCAGAGGCGGCGGTATCTGGTAAGGAGGGCGTGGTCGAGAGAGTCGAGAGGGGCGACGACGGGGTAGAGTCGCGCAAAGAGCCGGGAGGCGAAGATAGAGGACTTGAAGGACCATCCATGGCGTCGCTGGATCGAAAGTCGGTCACTCTGGTGGGAAGAAAGCAAAGATGCAGGGGGGAAGGGAATAAAAGGGTAGCAGCCGCCGACGCGCGAGGTCGTCAAAAGTGAGGAAAATCAGGTGCAGCGCGACCTCAGACTAGACCATCTCGCAGTGTGGAAAGTTCCCTTCCTTTGTGTAAGGTGCTTTTTATAACTGGGCCTTCTCTTGAGCTTTGAACACTGCTTCCTTTCAGCCGCCTCGAGTCGTGAGCAAACGCGGTGGTGAAAGGTCCAAGAGCGAATTTGAGGCGGCTTTGCGTCCCAAAGGTTTTGCAGGTCCAGATGCGGAGATCCGGGAGGTGGGCAGAAGAGACAAGACCCGGACCAGTAAACAGAGAGAAGGGTCGCCGCCAAATACCCCAACCTGCAGCCAAATCTCCAGCTGGCTGTGCTAAAACCCGGCACGCGAACGTGCAGCGACAATCTTAGCGCTGCGTGGGGCGTTGCAGACCGGTAGGGGGCAGGCCCTTTTTTGAGTTCCAATTCACTTTTGGCGTGGGAGAGACTCACCAGAAGCGGGCTGAGGCTTACAAGTCTGCCAGGTCGCGGACAGTGTTCGCCTTGGACAGCCTCGTCTCCGGTAGACTAAGGTAAGGTTTCGCAAGGGCCTGTGGGGAACTAGGTACAGCACTCAAATTCAAGAATATGATTTCTGGGTGACGCTTTGTCGCAGGTCGTGGCTGTATCCTGTAACGGAGATGGTCGAATCGGTGGCGTCAAGCGCGTTCGTTCGTGTATCGCAGCAGAGCCTGGGCGACTTGGGAGGTTGCAAAAGCAGGTTGAAGCGGAAAAGCGAGGCGCTGCAGCAACGATTTCTGAGTCGGTGTCTAATGAAGCGGCCAATTGGGCAGCCCTGCCGAGATGTGTGATGTGGCCGGCGGTAGCAACGAAGAGAGCAACCCTTTGACAAGGAGATGAAACAACAGCAAGGCCACAAGGAAGCAAAAGGTGGAAGCGCAACACTCGGAGCACGCGATGTGTACTCTCTCGATGCCTGCACACAATCTAGTATTACATCTTGCAGAAGAAGAAGGAAGGAAGAACAGACAAGCAGAGGATATCGTCATTGTCCTTCTTTCCCGTTCTTCTTCGCATCGATATGCACCTTCCCACACCCGAAAAAGCGAGCCCAGCGCCTGCCAGCTCATCACAGCACCTTCTTCAGTGGGGCCCGTTGGGTTCGTTCCTGCCAAGGTGGTCTGTTATGACGCTGTCGTTGCCCGGAAACTGCAGCTGCGCTAAGGAAGTAGCGAGCCAGGGTCGCATTTTCGATGGTGGGGCTGTTTCCCTTTCTGCAGCCTTGGACTGCCGGTGTCACCAGCGATGACGAAGGGCTGCAGCAGGGCAGAGTGGCCGATACAGGTACCGAGTACGTACCGCACATCATCACCTGCAAGGCGTCCTCGCCTATCATGCAGATGACCATCGTCAACTTCATTTGCAGTTGTATCGAAAAGGCACACAAACTGCTACTGCTTTGATTTGTTGACAGATCTCATCTTACAGAACGAAGAACCAGCTGGCGATGTATGTAAGTGAAGATTGGACGGGACATCTCTAATCGTCTGACGCAGGCGAAATATCCTCCAGTGCTTTTAACTGGCCTCTGATATTCCCAAACCCCTCACGCCATGCCATGCAAAGAAAACATAAGTAAGTGGTGTTGCTACATGAATACAGTTTTTACACCTTCAGAGCATCTATTTCCTCTCATCGGCTACTGCCCCGCGTTCCTCCGCCTCCCCAGACAGAATGTCAATCACCGCCTTGTCTTCTCCCGGCGGCGTCTTCCTCCTTTCCGTCCTATTCAGAAGCTCAATCCCCAGAATACCGGCAATCATGCCGGCAATGTGAGAAGCAATGTCCACCTTGAGCTTCACCGTCTTTCCCAGACCCGCCAGCTGCACCGCCGTGATGAGCGCCAGAAACACGATGCCGTGGACACCATCCTGCGGCAGCCCAAAGATCTTGAAGCCGTCGGTGCGATGCTCCCAAAAGTACGCCGAGCACAGCCCCAGCGTCGCGCCCGAGGCGCCGAGAGACGTGACCGTCAGCCAGCCCCTGAGCGTGTACGTGATCAAGCTGCCGAGGAAGCCCACGGAGCCGCAGCCGAGATAGAGCGCGAGGAAGTCCGCGCGTCCAATCTCGTCGTGCAGGCACGTTCCGACAAACCAAAGGGGCAGCATGTTGACCAGCAAGTGGCTGAGCTTGGTGTGCGAAAAGGCGGCGGTGAACAACGTGACGGGCCGCACAGTGGCCACGACAAATATCATATACCGGTTGAAAAGGGACCACAGCGGCGGTACCCTCCAGCCCAGATATACCAGGGCATTGATGGCAATCAGGGCTCCCACGGTGGCATGCGATGTCGACACCTCTCGGAACAGCCTGTACCGCGGCGCCGGCTCCTCGTAGACCATGGCCACGGCGGCGATGAAGCCCAGCACCAGGGCCACCACGGTGGCAGACGGCAGGATCCGCTCCCAAGGCTTCAGCTCCGGCGGCGCCTCCAGGTCGGACTGCGCAGCCTTGTAGTATTCCGCCACGCGAGGGTTGGTAATCTCTCTGACTTGGTTATCCGGCTTCGCCAACGGACCTGAGACGCCCTCGACCGCCTCCTTTGCCTTGCGCTCCTCTTCGAGCGCCTTTTCTCTGGCCTTTTCTCTGGCCCTGTTGCGGGCTCGCATCTCGTCAATTTTGCTGCGGCCGTAGATGGGATCGGGCTTGTACACGTCGGCTGAATCCTCCTCTTCCTCTTCCTTGCCGTCTTTCTTGCTCGCTTTGGCCTTCTTCTCAGCCGCCTGTTGCATCTCCAGCTCCATCTGTTCGAGCTCGTCTTCGGCTCGAAGGCCCGCGTTCCGGATCTCCTCCACCGGCACCGTCTTCCGCAGGTATGCCAACGCCCTAGCTTTCTCTTCGTCCGAGAACTGCGCCGTATGTATCGCAAACGCAGGATCCTCCAGCGTCCCGGCCACCCTTCTGCCGTGTAAGATCCGCAGCAGGTGATTCGCCCTCTTGGCACCGATGCCGGGGCCAAATATCCTATCCACCTCTGCCTCGGACAGGTCTCTGGGGCCAAATGCAAGCCCGGTCTGGTCGCGGTAGTCCTTTGGTAGCTCTTCGTAGTCGCGGATCGTCTTGGGCGCAAAGAATGTCCGGCGGCCGCCGTCAAGCCGCCGACAGGCCTTGAGGCCTGACCATTCGGTCTGCCTCAGCGCTCCTTTCCCCGAAGCCCGAAAGGAGCAACATGAGATCCATCTCGAGGCGGCGGCATTCGCTGCGCTGGTCGCAACCGAGCACGTCGCAGCCTGTCTCGAGATGCCCCTCGCGGCCCTCAGCAGCGACCGCGAGGCATTCGAGCAGCCGAGCCCGTTCATGCCGCAAACCAATGCTTTCGATCCTTCCTTCTGTCTCTCGTGAAGTGGAATCTCTTTTTTTTTAACTGAAGCGCCAACTGCGCGTCGAGGGTGCCTCAAAGGCCTGCCCCCAATTCGAAGAGAGAGAGATATTGGACTAGTTTTGCCCAAGAAATTCCTTGTGCCGAATCCGCATCGGACGAGGAAAAGCTGCGGCCTTGGTCTTCCTTCCGCCTTGCGCCACTCGTGGGACTTGTAGGCTGGCAGGGGTACGCCATCCATTGCCCTTTGGAGGGCAACCCCACTACTAACGCCTTTGCTTGCCGCCTGAGAGCTGCCCCTCCATGATAACCTCAACCTTTGAACAGCTTCTCAGCTTGTGCGACATTCAAACCAGATACTACTATACCTTAGAAATCTGCTTACCTCTTTCTCCATACGCGCACCTCATCCTTTATCAGGGAGAGAGACAGATACAGACAGCCAGCCCAACATGTCCGCCGACACAACCCCCATATCCCCCGCGCGCTTCGCCTCCGCAATCAAGGACCTCTCCCTCAGCATGCTGCACCTCAAAGTCCTCGAGATCCGCAACTCCATCGCCCACCTCCAATACTCAAACGACCAGCTCGCGCCCTTTGCGCAAGGCACATCTGTCGCTCTAGGCAGCAGCAGCACCACCACCACCACCGAATCCTCCTCCTCCTCCGCCTCCAACAACAATTCCGTTGATGCAACAGCTACTACTACTGCGCCGCCGGACCAAGACTGCATCGACGCCATCAAGGAAAACGAAGCCGTCATCGACCGCATGGCGGAGCGCATCGCCATCATCCGCGCCGAGGTCGAGGAGCGCGGGTGCAGCTGGACCGAGTTCCAGAGCCAGGACGAAGTCGAGGCCAATAATAATGACAACACCAACCACCAAACCACCACAACTACTACTACTACTACAACGGCGGCGGCGGCGGCGGCCACGACGAATGGGGAAGGACTGCCCAATGGGCAAGGAGGACAAGCTGGTGCAGAGGAGCTGCCGCCGCCGCGGCATTCCGCTTGGACGGACGGCACATTCCAGACAGGCACGATATCCAACGGCCAAGTCCGCTTCGACAGCCAACCGGGTGCGCAAACGAATCACGATGGGGCGCAGTCATCGTCGACGACGACAAGGGGACAGGGACAGGAGGAGAGTGGTGATGGTGCTGCGGACGATGGCGGCTTACATCTATAAGTTTGTACATACGACTTGGTGGAAGAGCAATGAGACGGCGATGGGGGGGACGGGCCTGCATGGTTGGCGTTTTCTTGGGATCCTTATTGGGTTGGATGGACACCCGTCTCGAATGATATATACCCCCCTTTTAGGCAAAATATTCAGTTTCACAGCATTTCGTCACGACAGTAGTAGGATACACGAGCTGATCTCACATCATAGGCACAAGATGCAAAGAGAGTCGTCACGTTCGCCAAGCAGAAAAGGCAAAGAATGTGTGGGTGGAAGAATCAATCCCAATGTTGTCATCCCAGTGCAAAGTTAGCACTGCAACCCCCGTCTAGGCTATACATACAAGGACTCGCCCTATTTTGCCTTTGCTAGAGTACACCAGTAAACACAGTAAAAGAAACAGAAAGACAATGAGAGAACCAAGACGCCATGCCTTTTTAAAACACGCACCGAGAAAAAGACACAAAAAAGGCAGATACCAACCCAAAAGGCTACCCAAGTATACCTCCCCTTCCCCAGCGCCCGTGTGTGCGTGTGTGCGTGTGTGTGTGTGTGTGTGCTATGCGTGAACAGAAGCGAAACAAACAACCAAGTGCAAACAGAAACATGAAAGACAGAAAATGTGCAAGTGAAAGACATAAAAGCAGCAAAGCAAAGACGATAGAAGAGACAAAGGCATTTCAGAAGCGCTTCATGCGGCGCATTGTTCAATCAGAGTCGTCTCCCACGGGCGAGCCGGCTCCGGGCAGCGTCTTCTTGGACCTGGTCGATTTCCGCCGCCTTGATGATCTCTTAGATCGCGAACGGCCGTTGCTTTCGCTGCTGTTGATGGTTTCCAGCTTGGGCCGCTGTGATGCGTGCCCGTTCTGGCTGGTGCGGCTGGTGGTCTTGGTGACTTTGTGTGAGAAGATATCCTCGAATTCATCCTCGGAATCTTCATATCCAGGGGGCGTGGCCAAGGCTTTCAGGCGGGTGCTCCGCTTGCGTCTCTCGAACGAGGGGTTGCTCCCGTCCAAGGCTTCGCTGGAGCCGTCAAAAGACAGGCTGCGTGTGCGCGTCATGTCGGATCGGACGCTCCTGGTTCGAGTCACGAACAGTGAGTCAATGAGCTCGGATTCGGTAGGCATCTCCTTCATAATCTTCTCCCTAACGAGCTTCTCCTGGAGTTGGCGAGCCAGCTTCTCCTCACCCCCGGCAACGGTTCGTCCGCTTGTCCTACTGCTGGAGCTCATGGCTCTGCTGACGGGCACCTTGCCTTCCATGACCTTGGCGGACGGCGGCGGTTGCAGCATCCACTTGTGAGCCTCTTTGTGGGGAAGCTTGCTGCTGACGACGGGCGGATGTAAGTCGTTGACGGGTGGGTTTCTCGGGGCCGCATAAAAGGCGTGGCGGTCTTCTTCTGTGATTTCCTTGTCCATGCCCAGCGTCGACTCAATCAGTCGTCCGGCGGAATCCCTCGCCTTGGAGAAGGCGTCCTTGATCTTGTGGCCAGACCAGTCCGCCCCCCACAGCTCCTCATCCTCGCGCTGATAGCCGTGTCGCGAATTCCAGTCGTCGGACAGGATGCCGTCTTGCGATACCACCAGAGTGCTGTCTTCGTAGTTGGTGTGATGGCTATCGCCTGTATTCGTACGCCCCGACAGGCTAAGGGCACTGATTTCTCCTCCCGCGCTCATCAAGCCCCGTTGGCTGGAGTTTTTGCTCGTCGACTTCTTCGGTAGGCTGGGTCCCATGTTGATCTCCTCCTGCCAGTAGGGGTTGGTGTTGAACGGTGACGGGTGTCGATATAGGCCGGGCTGCGACGTCTCCAGCTTTGCCTTTTCCACCCTCTCCTTCTTGGCCTGGTCCTTGGCCTTGTGCCGATGCCGCACTTCGGCGCATGGTGTGCAGGCGAGCAGGTAGAAGATGGCCGACTGTAGCGCGACGGGGAAAGACATGTTGGACGGCTAGAGGGCACGTCCCCGTATCACGAGTGCCTTTCAATTGACGTATGGTCTGTCCAGCATGGAAGTAGAAATGGCGTGTCTAGGCTAGGAGGCGAATTCGAAAGCAGGACACCGTTGAGAAAAGCCGTGAGAGATTGACTGCGAGAAAAGTCCACCCGGAAATCCAACGAGCAAAAGAAACAAGAAATGTCAGAAAGAAGCCAAGTGGCTGGCTGGTCGCTAGAAAATGCCGTTCGTCGAGTGCACTGGAATGAAGGAATTCGATAGCTTGCCGTTCGATTGGAGCGTGGGGAAGCAAGTACTAGTATGTATCGTCAAGAGAAGTGATAAGGGGCGTTTTCTGCGACAGTTTCACGTCTCGAGACGCCCCAGAGGTGAAATTGCGTAGAAGTGGAAGAAAGGAGCCGTGACAAAAGAGAAGAGCGCAGTGAAAGAGGAAAAAGACGGACAAGAAGTGAGAGGTCGTCACAAAAATAGAAAGGCTAGAAAGGGAAGGAAAAGAAAGAAAGAAGAAGGCGAGGCAGGCAGACCGGCGTTGCGTGATGAAGGAAGAGAAGCGACGAGGAGGACAGAGGCCGAGGTGTGGAAAGGAGAGCGGGCGATCAAATGGAGAGACGGCGAGGCGAAGGAGGTGCGTATTTGCCCAGGAGAAGGTGCTTAGGCGATGGGATTCGTTTCAGCGGCCAGAAGCGCGGCAGACGCACCGCCAAAAATAACACCTTGCTGGGCTGGGCTGGGCTGGGCTCTAAGCAGCGGCCAGGAGAGCGAGCGGGCGGGCGACTGGGGAAGCGCCTGATGGCTGTGGTGCTGTGCTGTGCTGTGCTGTGCTGTAACGTGCTGAAGACGTGGCGCTACAGAATTGACGGATTGAAGGGTTCAGGCTCAGACGGAGATGCTGCAGATTGGCATGGAGATGAGATGGGTGGGAGTGCAGATTGTGCAGATTGCAGGTGCCAGAGCAGCGGCAGCAGCAGCAGCAGCGGCGGAGCGAGGACGATCACCACGCACGAGACGGGAGGATCCAAATAGAGGGCGCAGGGGGTCCTTATGATGCCGGTGCCTGGGCTGTGACGACTTGACGTCTTCCGTGCTGTGCCATGATTCAAATGGGCCGAACAGCACTGGACCTCCATCAGTTAATGATTACGAGGGCCTCAACTACTCCAGTGCTGCTACTAGCAACGCCCAACCCCGCCCCGGACTCCATCTGATGGTTCAATCGCCACAAAGGCCTCAAACAGCGCTATATGTACAGATGCTGCAAGTACGACTCGGGCAAGTGGTCCGGCTCGGCGCATCTGGGATGGGGATTCGCTTTTGCATGCGGTTTGCCCGTGACGGCGGCGGAACAAAAGGCGCCGCTCCAGAGGCCATTCGCAAGCCATTGAAGCCCATTTCTTGGACAAACTTTACGCCATTTGCCAAGATACCTTACCAGTCACGCAGACTACATGTACCTTCAATGGCAGACGACAGCCTCAGTTCGATCAATCCAGCAATCACTCAGTCAGTCAGTCAGTCAATGTTTCAACCAAGCAATCAATCAATACAATCAGATTGCAGGCGGCCTCAGACACGCGCCTGTGTCCGTACTAGGTATTACATATTATTAAAACTCCCCCAAAGAACAGAACAGCAGATACGATACGGAGACGTGGGATATTATTCTCTCATTTCCCTCCCACGCACGGGTACCTGCCCCCCCAATGCCTCTAGCCTCTAGCCTCTCGCCTTAGTGCTCGGGCCCTCGTCACCGCTCCAGGATCCATTGGATTGGATGCAACATCAAACCACTCCGTCCCAAGCCTTTCCCCGTATTTTTGTCTCCAGGCCGTCCAGCCCTCTTTCGCGCGCGCGACCTGCGGGTTTGGGGAGGCGCTGAGAGCCCAAGCCTCGCCGATGAAACAAACAACGACCTGCGATGCTGTTTCAACTCTTGGGCCGGGCCGGACAGGGGAAGATTGGGGTAGGGGTCTGTTTCGATCCTTTTGCGCATCGTCATCTTTCATCCTCATCATGGCCATTATGTCACAACGGGGATGCCACCCACAGAACTGACAGACCGAACATTGACCTTCACCAGTTCAGTCACCCGTAGGGATCTGGGCGGCACAACATTGGGATCCACAGCCGCGACATGGATCCGGCAAGCGAGAGGGCGGAACGGGGACATGCCTGTCGTCGTTTCATTAGCAGTCTGTCCTCCGTGGCACCAGGCACTTGCAATGGTACCAAGTGGCCAGCCAAATTGAGCCCGTCACCCCTGGTTCCAAAGGTTCCTTTTGGTCGACAGGGGCCGGGATGCAAAATTGGATCTCGAGGTTTGGCATGTTGCACCGACCACTGGATGGCCGTGGCCGTGCTGCCCGTACAAAGTACAACGACAAGCACGAGATTGCACTTTGGACGACTTGGAGCAGCGCTGCAGTAATACCTGGACTGACCAGGTTCGTGGGAGCGAAAAGGCTTCAATCTTCAACAAGTCGTTCGTTCTCAGTCTTGGGCCTTGTAGTACTGCCTACCTAGAACTTTTAGGTACCACGTCCGCCGCCGGTGTGCTTCGTGCCGTGCGCCAATGGCAGCATGTTGGCCGTCCTCGACGTCCTATTTGCTGTCCGCCAGCGACGCCTCCTGGACCTTGACATCACAACGACTCAAGAGAGTTCGGGCCCTCTGCTGGCCAACCAAGACATACTATGATCACGCATTGCGTCTTTTTATCCTTTTCCCCTCTTTCAATAATACTGCTACTACTTACAACACAATGCACTCAACAGGTCAACAGGCGAGCAGGCCGTGGCCGCATCTAGTACCGAGATGCCACGTCGTCATCCACCAGCTGGGTTCGCCTTACAGCTCACTCACCTACGCACAGACATACATAGCATAGCTGCAGCCCAGACTAGGGCAAGCCAGCAGATTCGGCCGGAACTCTGGACCTTCAGAAGCTTTCTTCGAATTCTGCTTCACCACTCACGACTCGTCAACAAGCTTTGTTGGCCGTGCGTGCTGCTTCTCCACCTGCTGACAGCTAGACGGAAGAAAGATGAGGACTGAGAAAAGGGAATTATTATATCGCTCATCCCGGCGTTCCGTGTACGACGCAATGAGGCGCAGAAGAAGAGGGAAAGAATAGGACATGCGTCCCCATCTCGGGCCTGGCGGAAGGGAGAGCAAATGCTAATAGCACGACGTAATGTGCAGTGCTTCACCTCGCCCACTCACTAATCAGCCCCAGCAGAAGCAAAGGAAGAATTGGAAAAGGGAAGAAAGAAAAAAAGAGAAAAAGTCATCCGCAGCGAAGCCGCAAGTGACGGGTGTCACCAGCAAGCCGGCACGTCCGTCTCGCCAGAGTGGCAAGCAGAAAGAAAAGGCCGTCTCGGAACCGTGTCCATCCGTCTTCCCGTCCATCCCGCTCACACACGCCGCAGCAGAAAGTCTAGAAGCAACGAAGAAGACTGCAACCAGAGCCAGACACAAAAGCTTACTACTACAATTGGCACCATGAAACAAGAAACATCTTGATCAAAATCCAGAGACATTTCCCCAGCGTCCTCGCCAAAAAGCCCCAGCAGCAATTTCAGATCAAGATCAAAAGAGGCCCTGAATCACCTCTTGTTGCCCCCAACCCCAAGGGCCAATTCCGATGGAGTTCGATTCATCCCCGCATGTGCCGCTAAATAAAGAGGGCTGCTCCCCCCATCCCATCCATTCCTGTCTTGGGGGGTTACAGCGACTCCATACAACTCCAGACGCCGGAGCCTTTGTATTGCAGGGCCCCTTGGAGTTTGGATTTGGGGCCCTTTTTCGCGGCACCCGGCTTCCGGTTTTCTGCTCACCTCACCCTTTTGGTGCCAATGCAGGTTGGCAGTGCCATGGTGTGCTCTTTCGTGTATTGGCCATCTTTGTCTTGTGTGTGTGGCTCGTTATTACAAGGTGTTGCTCGCTCGTTTGCCACGTAATGGTTGAACATCACAGCCACGTTGTATCATGCCTCATCGGCCATATCTAATTGGTTCAAGGAATTGCCTCCAGCGGGCAAATCCCTTATGGCTTGGGAAAGTAAAGGTCTTAACTTCGTGAACGGATGCTTTCAACGACCCCCCAAGGAAGGGGACACCGTTGACCGTTGGACACGGGAAGAAAAAAAGGTGGCGGCAGAATTTCATCAGGAACATGAAAAGATAGTGGCGACAAGTTTGTTCTGCGTAGCCGAGCCGGTTGGCCCGCCCCAGCCCGTTTCCTCTAGCCCAGTAGCTATGTAGGTAGGCGGCCCAAAATCCAAGCTATTGATTCCAAGTTCAAGTCAAGGGAAGCAAGACACACACGACTTCAACGTTCAAGGACAAATACTTCCCAAAGCACCAGGAACACAATATCATCAAGGTACTCTAGCATATCTCATACCCAAATAGTATGCTGAAGGCCTCCTTCCAAAGGGAATACCCAAGGGAAGGAAAAGAAGAAAAAAAGGCTTTAACTTGTTCCCTGCAGCTTTGTGGCTTTTTTTTTTTTTCCTTCCTCACCCATGTTGCTTCCGGCTTACCCTTTTGCCCTTCTTCCTCCTCCTCCTCCCCCTCCATATATGTCTAAACAAACACTGGAACGAGAAAACCCCCCGGAAAGCATGGGAGCATTGTGACGTCTTGGTTTCATCTGAACCTACATGCAATTGGACCTACATGTTGGAAGTCCTATGGATTCGGTATGGTGAGTGTGAATATCGTGATGCCTTCGTCTTCGAAAGCGGACATCACATACGAGTTACTTCCCATTCGTCACGCCAACATGACGGAACAGTTTTGAACCATCAACCGGTCAATCACAAGCATGGCACGCATAGAATCATTGCTTCTTTTGCGAGCTGATACCAACACAGTATATACACACACACGTTTCGTTTCCCTGTATCTCATCCTTCAGCCTCCCAAATGCACTTTCTGTGACCCTCTCCGCTTTTGGCTTCCCTTTGTCAAGATCCCGTGTCCCAG